GAAAAGTGTACCCAATGTTAGGACTTATTCCATACCAGTAGCATAGAATATATATTCTGTACGGAAAAAAAGGCCAAAATACACCTAATCGTTCCGATCTTGGGGAAGTCGTGGAGGAAGAGCAGGGGGTGCTAGGGAAATGGGGCATGTAAGTCCTTAGGAGGGGAGTTACGTGCTAGTACAACTTAGGGAAGTGGGTCGAATCAAGCTTATCTTATCATTGCGTAGGGGTCCAAAAAAAAAAAAAAAAAAAAAAAAAAAAACCTACGGACATGGGCAGCCAAGCGCTTGTCGTGTGGGGTTCCTAGACGGCGCGGAAACACAGCCAATGTCCGGAGCTTGCTGGATTTTCTCTTACCAGCGCCGAAAAACAGGATCGACGCGACAGCACCCAATCCTCTACTCGAACCCGAAGCTCTGCAAAGATGGGTGTCGGCCGGCGCATGAAGAAACAGGGCATGCCCGAGCCCCTTTCGGAGGAGCACTTTGCCAATCTGAAGCGCAAGAAGGGCATTCCCGTCGACGATCAGCCCGCCCCCGAGGCGCGGTCGAGCAAGAAGCGCAGAACCTCCAAGAAGACGGAGCAGGTACCCAAGGCCCAGGCGAAGGCCAGTGACAAGTCCAAGCTCTCCAAGAAGCCCGCATCAAAACCCAATGGCTCCAAGACCGCAGTGACAGTCACCAGCAACGGCAAAACGGCCTCCAAGTCCAAGAAAGCCCCGGCGCCGGATTCAGACGATGATTCAGTCGCCTCGTCGCTAGGCGATCTAGAGGATCTTGACGGTCTCGAGGATAGCGATGAGCTGAGTGGCGCCGCGCTCAGGGACGACTTCCTGGATGGCGACGACGACGATGACGATTCCGTCTACGATTCGGACCAGGACGCGCGCAAGGAGGCATTCGTCTTCTCCGAAGACGAGGATGAAGACTCTGACAGAGAGGAGAAGCTCACAGCCGCCAACATTGAGGGGCTGTCGAGGATATTGGATAAAGAGAGGGAGGAGGAGGAGGAAGAGAACGAGGCGGAGCTCCGCGAGGATGCGCTGCAGACCAACATTGTTGGAGACAAGCCGCACGTCCTCGAGGACGACGAGGATGACGAGGTTATGCCCAAGGCCAAGGCTCTGCTGGCGCCAGACCTTCAGATGCTCCGCATCAGGATAACAGACACCGTCCGCGTGCTCGAAGACTTTACCAAGCTGGCCGAGGAGGGGCACAGCAGAGCCGAGTACAGCAACCAGCTGCTCAAGGACATCTGCGCCTACTACGGCTACAGCGAGTACCTCGCCGAGAAGCTGATGCAGCTCTTCCCCGCCCGCGAGGCCTTCGCCTTCTTCGAGGCCAACGAGACCCCGCGCCCTGTCGTCATCCGCACCAACACTCTGCGCACCAGCCGCCGCGACCTGGCCCAGGCGCTCGTCAACCGCGGCGTAACGCTCGAGCCCGTCGGCAAGTGGTCCAAGGTCGGCCTGCAGATCTTCGACGCCAACGTGCCTCTGGGTGCGACCCCTGAGTACCTGGGCGGGCATTACATCCTCCAGGCCGCCTCGTCGTTCCTTCCGGTCATGGCCCTCTGCCCGCAGGAGGGCGAGCGCGTTCTCGACATGGCCGCCGCCCCCGGTGGCAAGACGACGCACTGCGCCGCCCTCATGAAGAACACGGGTGTCATCATCGCCAACGATCCCAGCAAGTCTCGTGCAAAGGGTCTCATCGGAAACATCCACCGCCTGGGCGCCAAAAACGTCATCGTCTCCAACTATGATGCCAGGGAGATCCCGACCCTGATGGGCGGCTTCGACCGCGTTCTGCTGGATGCCCCATGCTCCGGCACTGGTGTTATTGCCAAGGACCCCAGCGTCAAGACGAACAAGACGGAACTCGATTTCATGCAGCTACCGCATATCCAGAAGCAACTACTGCTAGCGGCCATTGATTCGACAAAGAGCGGCGGCTACCTTGTCTACTCTACCTGCAGCGTCACCGTGGAAGAGAAGTACGTTCACATGGCCATCGCTAGCGTCCTGTCCGTAGGCACACCCACGATTACTAACAATGGTTGCCATGTAGTGAACAAGTCGTCAACTACGCACTTTCGCGTCGTCCCAACGTGGAGCTACTGGAGACCGGCCTGCCTTTTGGCAAGGAAGGATTTACCAACTTTATGGGAAAGAAGTTCCATCCCAGCCTAAAACTCACCAGGCGCTACTACCCTCACACGTGAGTTAGCCCGGTACACTCACTACTGGCTGATTGGGGAGATCCTCCTTGACCTCTTACTGATATATGTATACAGATACAACATGGATGGCTTCTACGTAGCCAAGTTCAAGAAGACGGGCCCAACACCAGCCAATGCCCGTGGCGCCGCCCACACATCGACTGCATCCACCGCGGCCGCCACTCCTGCTGCCGGCGGCGTCAACGGCGACGAGATGGACATCGACAAGACACCGGTTCAGGACGAGGAGAGCCAAGATGACGAGTTTGGCGGGTTCGACGACGACGAGGACGAGAAGTACATGGAGCGCGCCAAGCGCAACGCCATGAGGCGCAGGGGTATTGACCCACATGCGCTCAACAAGCCGAAGAAGGAAAAGGCCGAGGAACAAGACAAGGCCGGGGAGGCGAAGGCAGAGAAGGAGACGAAGCTGCAGAAGACGGAGAAGAAGTCAAAGAAGGAAAAGAAGGAAAAGAAGGAAAAGAAGACCAAGAAGGCCGCATAGGCGAGGGGCGCGATTGTCTTGTAATACATGAAATATGCATCATCTGCTGGTTTTGCTTTGTCGTATCTAAGACAAAGGTGGTCAGTGATACCCCATTGGTCTAGGCTCTATATGATGAAAAGAAAGAAAGTACGATTCCTACCGGCACAAGCGGTGTAGCAGCTCTGCGTGACATTGTGCCTGCCATTACTGCCAAATCGGCATGTGTCTGCGTTTTGAGGGCGTTATCACGAAATTGAACGCCAAAGGGCATCAAATGTCCAGCCCCGAGGTCAGCGTATCCAATTACAACAACCCCACAAACTTAGCAGGCTACTACATCGACAACTCGTTGGAGAATTCGTCGGAGAATTACGTGGCAAGGGAGCGAAGCAACTGCAAGAGAAACTACGTAGTGATTAAGTAACGAGAACCCTCCAGAACAGCCCCGTCTTACACATGGCGAGGGGGACGACGAGGTGACGGGCAGCAGGGATATAGACGGAACAGAAAACAGTATAGAAAAGAAAAAAACAGTATCAGGTATAAAGTGCGCCGCGCGACGGGCCCTCTTTGTGATACAACTCTTCAACATGTATACTTTCGGTACAGTGTGTTCTCCTCATGCGCGCTTATTCGCTATTCTCACTCTCCCCGGTTGTTTTCTTCCCCTGCTGGCCTTCTGATTCCGTCGGGGTTGATCAAGCACGAGGAACCCACAGAGTTTTGTATGGCATCCCTTTTGATTTCACCCCGAGTTGGCCCTGTCGACCTGTGAGAAGACGTGGGGAAATGTGGTAGCAGAAGGAAGGTGAGAATGTGATAACCAAGAAAAAATGTGAGAGAAAAGAAAAGAGAGAGTAAAGAAAAAGACGAGGCTCAGATCAGCGAAGACCGATAACGCTCATCTCAAGAGTCCAGACCCTGCGAATCCAAACTTTGAGCTTGCCCTCAACGCCTTCGACGTTGTCGAGCTCGACACCCTCCCACCAACACCGGCGCGCAGGCTTCCGCCAGAAGAGGAGCAGCTTCTGCGCCATGCCCACTGCATTGTTCCCCATGTCGTTACCACGGATGTCACTACGCAGGCGCGCCAGTGCCAGGCTGCAGATTACCGCCTTGTTGGGCTCGCCAGCACGGTGACCCCAGATGTCATCGTGATCGAAACCACTGTTGTCAGAGAGCACAAGTCAGCAAAGAGTTCGTGAACCTGCAGCAGATCAAGATATGCGGACAAGTTGACATGTGATATCAAGGGCAAGAAGGTGGCGACAAAAAGTATTACTAACCCAGCCGTAAGCATTTCAATCAGGTGAGCCTCGGTGGTGCCGGGCTCATCACTCCGCTTGAGGCCGCTGAAGATGCCGTCCTGCTTAAGCAGCGCCCTGGCCGCGGCTCGCTTGACCTCGATCATGTCGGGCTGCTTGATATCGGCTCTCGGGGGGATGGCGTAGAAGTCGAGATCCTCGCGCAGCACAATGATGCCCGCCCTCTTAGAGGAGTCATCGCGGCCGGCACTCATGGGTTCGATCGGCACCATCTCGCCGTCCTGCGACGCGCTGGGCGACGAGTCCGTGGGGATTGTCTGTGCCACGTTGCGGAAGAAGTCCAACATGTATTGGAGCGATGCCGGGTCGTACTTCAGGTAGGAGCGGCGCGTGACGCGATTCTCAAGTTAGATCAGGGAACATAGCCAGGCGGCAGCTGCGGGACGGGAGGCAACTAACATCGACCTGGACGGCATCGCCATCGGCGAAGCCGCCCATGTGACCCTCTGGGAAGAGTCCATTAGGAAAGAGCGACAAGAGGACAAATTCCGGCAGCGTTAGCAGCTCATCTCTGGAGAGCATGAAACGGGTACCACTAAAAATCGCACAGCAGGTCAGCACTGCCGTAACCCAGCACACTCCTTCGAGGCCAAGAAATCCGATCATCGGTTTCAAGAGTGCTTACCGAAGGTCCATGGTGATTGTCTCGTCGGCGCCAACATCTAGACAGAGTCAAGACAAGCATGTCAGCTACCCAGTCGCAAACCCTCACGAAAGGCCATTGAGCCTCGTGTTAAATCAACATGGGGCGTTCGTATCCCGGCGGCACCATTAATGTTGCTTGTTGTGCTCACCTCCGATAGAGTTGATGGGTGGCCCCCCTTGCTGGACCTGAGTAATTATACTCGAGGCTCCTCCTGCGGCCGCCATCAGATAGCTGAAAGACTGGAGGGGACTGAATCCCTCCTCGTATGCCGGCGGCGGTTCGGAATCGTCAGCGTCCTTGCTGCTGCGCGAGGGCTCGCCTTCTCTTTTGCTGTCGCGTGGGAGCGAGCGCTTGGTCTCGTCCTGGAAGGAGCAGCTTCCCGACGGATCGCTGGACCCCGAGGCTAGGGGCGCGTAGGCTGGCGCGGCTGCGGACTCGAAGAGCTCGAGGCTAGACGGGTCGTCTCCGTCGTCGCTGTCGGAGTCGCGGCCGCCGGGGATCACAAACGGAGCGGGAGCGGCGACGAGGCTGGAGAACGGGGGCGGACCGGGCCGGAAGGAGGACGGAGAGGCGTCCGAGGTTTCCGAGGCAAGATACTGCGGTGGCGGGCTGAGTTGCCTTTCTGGCGGCGGTGCAGGGCGCGAGGAAGAAGAGGCGGGGGACGAGGGCGCGGTGGACGGCGTCAGGGCGTCAACGAGCTCGGAATTGAGACTTGCTGGCTTTCCGCTGGTGACGGCGTCCGTGGGATCGAAGCCTGGTCGTTCTTCCCTGGCGGCGGCTGTCGTTGCTGCTGCCGTGGCGACCGTGGCGACCGTGGCGGACGCGAGCGAGGATGGAGGTGGGTTGGCGGAGTCCAACTTGGCGGAATGGCGGCGACGGTCTCCCGTCTTCCAAATCGTAGGCGCGGCTGGATGTCGAGGGCTGGTGGGCCGCCGGGGTTGGCGGATAAATCGACTGCTATGTGGCTAAGAGTGCCCAATTTTACGGTAGCTCATCGACACGGGCGTTTTGCGATGGCAGTGTGCATGTGGATGTATGTATGTAGGTGTGGTTTCGGGGGGGTGGTGACAGTGGTGGTTGTGGTGGTGGGCGTTGAACGGCTGTCTAATTTCCAGTGAGAAACAGGCGGCGGTATGATGGATGTTGACTGATGGATGGGCGGGCACCGCTCTGGGCTGGGCTTGACGCCGAGCTTTGGTCTTTGCCAGGGAGCCTGGTCTCGCAGCGACAGGACCCTCTGAAAGTGGATTGGATTGATCTTCTTTGGTCGTTCGCTTCCATGTGCCCTCCACCTTTGGATGGTTACTCGATCAAGACGACAGTGGACGATGATCAACCACACATTAGATGCATTTACACGCCTACCGTCACAACAAGCACTCGGTTTGGTCAATGGCAACAAGTGAGGGCGTGCCTGGGGACAGTGCCGAGGTGTCAGCATCTGCGCCGGGTCAATTGAGTGGCCAGGCTGGCGTGCAGTAAAGACTGTTGTTCTCGTTGGTTGCCCGACCTTCATGGTTGAATCCCATCCCATTTCGTGAACCAAAAGAACGGTCGCTGCTGCTGGGGCCTGGGTCCCGCCTGCCCCATCCAGACAGCCCCTAGCCTAGCCTTTCATCTTGGTTGTACCCGCCGCCGTGGGTCGCCAGCCAAAGATACTTCCCGCTCAGAGAACCCATGTCAAGAGTGGCCGCTAGCCAGACTCCGCCATCCCTAATTGGCTAGGGCCCGGCGGCTAGCAAGCCAGCCGGTGGGGCCCAGCTGAGGTTGTCTGGCTTCCATGTACGCCTTCACAACGGCCAAATCCCATCACCCGACTGCATCGCATCTCGCTGTCCTTGCCGCTAGGGGATACAGCGCTTCTGGGACCAGAGCACCATGCTGCTGCACGTAACACATGCTGCACAACTGCCGTAACCAGCCCGGCTCGACACGGCATGCCCTAGAGTCCAGCCTTGCACAAGGGGGGCGCCAGGGTATTAAAAATCGTCAGGCTGCTATGTCCACAGCGGTTGGGGGTATCAAAAATAACGGAACAAGCTCTCTGCTCAACTGTCCGGGTGTCTCTTATTCCTCCCCATCACTACTATCCCCAAAAACGGCCTTAAAAACCTCTTCTCTTGCTCTGGCCTTCTCAAGAGCTGCATTCCTTGTTGGATCCACCGCGGCCGCGGTGCCACTAGATTCAGACGAGACTTTGACGTCTGGCGCGCGGGCCTCCTCAGGAACGGCCCGGCCTTCGTGGCTTCCACCATTGCCGTGCCCACTTTGGGGACCTGGGCCGCGAGAAGGTGCATCGCAGTCATATAAATCCGCCTTGGATGGCCGCTGGGGGACTGTGTTGGCTTCCACGTCCGCATCTGTCTGAACCACGACTGGGGGTTTCACATTGAACCGCTTGCAGAGGAGACGCGCCGGGTAGAAGTCGTGTGAGGATCTCGTCAGCGGTCCAAACATCCCCATCTTAGCGGCCTCTTCGGCCGGGTCTAAGGGCTTCGGCGGTGGCCTGGAGACCAACGCGCCCTCGGCAGTTGCGCCTCCAGTCCTGTCTGAGGATGGTGCCGTGGAGGAAGATGAAGGTGTGAATCTTGACGCCATAAATCCAGACATGGGTTTGAAAATCCGTGCGCAGTTGAAGAATTCGTGGAACTCTCGGAGCCAGTCATCATTGCTCATGCTGGCCGGCTTAGGGGGCAGAGCAGATATGAATCCAGCCTGATACTCCAGGTAGGCCCGGTATCTGGACCGTTTGGCTTCGTTGTCCGCATAGGGGGCGCCCCCGCTAGCCCCACGGGCGATAGCTGCCGCTGCTGTGGCCTTGTCCAGTGGCGGGACGTCCTTGAGCAACTCCGCCAGCTTCTCTTGCGCAGACATCGCGTAGGCTGCCGGTATCTCTCCTTTGGCCTGGGGAAGGTTCGTATTTCCCGTCGCATTGACCAACCGATCTCTCGCAGAAGCAGACAGGAAGTCGAAAACCGACTTTCCGGGTAACTGCTTCTCTCCCAGCAGTGTCGCCCGAGATTTGGGATCTAGTTTGGAGGATTTCGCTGCGTCGGCGGTTGACACATAGGCCACCGACTCGGCTTGTGCAGACGCCGACTGCCGCGATGGCCTCCAGTCGGGCGGCACCTGAGGTGGGGGATACTTTCCGCTGCTGTACATGTCAGACACCAGAGGATCTGGTTGTTGCGGGAGAACAAACCCGTCCAGCGGTGGACGGCCATCGTGGCACCTCTTAACTCCCAGCCTCATTTTTTTCGAGAAGAAAACTGGCTTTGACTTGAGAAATGGGTTTGCTGGTGTGGCTGGAACGGCGTCCTTCTTCTTTTTCTTCTTCTTGTCACCACCGATGACTTTGTTGTACGCTATGCGCGGCCCAATCTCATACGGGTCCTCGTCGTCCGAGCCTGTATCGTTCAGCACGCCCATACCAATCCCGCCGCGACCCTTTTCCGGTTTCTTCGTCTTTTTTCCCAGAAGGGATAACGGCTTTGAGGGCCCAAGGAAGTCATCCTCGCCCTCGTCCTCATCGTCCGAATGGCGATCCTCACTTGCGGGTTTCATAGGAGCTAGGCGAGTCTCTCCAGCAAAGCCGAGGCCCTTGTGGTCGGTCTTCCGAACAAATCTTATCATGACAACATTATCGGGCGCGAAGAGGTGCGTTGCCTGCTGGTCACCGCCAGCCCGAGTGCCTGGGCCTACCTCCAGCCGGGCTTTTCGACAGATCTTGGGCCCGATGCCCTGACCCTCCTTCCAGCCCATTCTTTTGAGGAGCTTAGTGCCCATGGTTTCGCCCTCGATCCGGAACAAGTCAGCAAGTCCGCTAGATCGCCCAACCTCATGCTCGGTCGAGCCGAACGCAGCAAAGTCTGGTGCTGTCTGCAGCTTCCGTGACTCTTCGGCATCGGCAAAATCTTCGTCATCCATAAAGTCTTCGGGTCGTTGCTGGGCGGCCTTGGGGTCGTCCTTGCGACGGTTGGTCCGTGAGGACACAAAAGTTGCCGGCGTCCATCCTTCTTTCGACCCAACGGTGTTGAAATATCTGTGCGCACACGAAGACCAATTGGTTAGCCATGTGCGATGACACTTTTTGCGATCAGCCCACGCGAATGAGCGAGGGCTTCCTTGATCTCTAACTTACCCTGCGCTAAATCCGCCCGTAAAGGCGCCGTGAAGCCGTTTGCGGCCGCGCTCGTCCCTCACCTCCTGCTTCCAGACTGGAACGTAGGATCCATCGTCGCGGACGTCGGGGTCGAGGGGCGGGAGGGGTGTTCCGAAAAGGACGAATGGCGACTGCTTCGCCTGGACATCTGCCTCGAACGCAGCCCTTGGCCTCTTCACGGACATGGGGGGAAATGCGGATATCGGCAGCAGATAGAGGTGTCGTCGAGGTTGCAACTGTTATGATTTCATGGTCCCCTCTGTGAGACTCTCGTGATAACGGCTTCAGCCAATCGCTAATTCCTCGAGAAACATTCCACGCGGCGCCGCGGCAATTGGTGGTTGAACTTAGCATCGCTTCTCTAAATTGAGGCCCGAGCACGCTGAATTTGGCGTCATCCATGGCGGCGGTCCAGCGAAGTGGGTCGCACCACCGACGTGTGCCCAATGCTGACGACGTGGTCATTATTGGCCCCTTTCAGCCATTGATGATATCCAGGACAGTGTGTGCAACCAATAAACGCAGGAACACTACAGGAACGGGATTGGCAATAAGTGAAGAAGGGCATTAACGGCGACACGATCGCTGTGATTTGGCGAGACCATCCGGCATTACAACAAACCAATACCACAAGGGGATTTGCTGCAGAGTGTGTCAAAGGAAACCAAGGAGATGACTGGTGCGGAGTGCCAGGGCATGTGACATCATTGCATGCACAAGGTCGTGTCGACAAACTACCACCTTGATCCCACCTACCAGGGGCAGGCAGGTAGTGGATGAGGATAGGCCAACCATATCTATCTGGACTGACGCATTGATACCAAATTATCTAGAGGGAGCGTGGGCTGGCGAGGAGACTGCGTCGACGAACCATCTATGTGTGAAACGTGCCTAGTTCACAATCGGAAATGGAGCACCTTGAGATAGGTTGTAACACCAGTATATGATTGGGAGGTAACAATATGGCCTGCTATGGAGGATGTAATAGCTGTTTGTTGCAAGTGTCTATCACACGTGGTTAAACACATACATCTTGAGGGTGGGCATATGAAATATACATGTACGCATCAGTCCGGCCTTGATGATACTCGAATACCTTTAAAATATTCGTGTGAGATGAAACTGGTAAACAAGGGCATCGGGATTGTCCTTGCGCTTGCGCAAGTAACCGCCGGACGCCTGGGTACATGGACACTTTCTTTCTCCGACAAGGACAGACCAGGGGATGGACAGGCAGAACCGAGAATGTGAGCAAACAATAGCAGGTAATGATCAGGATTGAGGCCAAGGTCAGACCGAGCCAGCACTGCATGGAGATGCCTCGAATGCAAGGAGGGGGAGAAGGAGGAGAGCAAGGACTGCCCGGAGAAGAAGAAGAAAAAATGGACGAAAATCTTGCAAAGGTGCAAGCGACGCGGGGACTGTGGTGTTTTCCATTGAGCTGACATTTAAAGATGTACCCATGTATTTCAAGTGTGACGACGGTGTTGTGCAGAAATCGTTCGAGCATAGAAGCAAAGGAATCGTGCTGTTTGACAGCTGGGTCAGATGCTGAGGCGCCTTGGCTGCTTGTGCCCAAGTTCGTGAATCCCAGCTGCTCACGCACCCAACCAGCTTGAGACTCAACGGGATCGAGCCTGCAGCGAACACCCAGCTCCCTTGACGAAACTTCCTAACGCGAGCCCCGGCCGAAGCCAGCATATGCGACGGTCCGACTGTGTTCTTGTTGCTTTCGCAGCTTGCCGGCGGTCGCTGCCTTGTCCCATCTCCTGGCCTACCTGGGGACTGTTCTGGTTTGTCTTGGCGGTCGAGCTTGGGCGCACAACCGTTTTGGGGCGGGCATTGACGTCCATCCCACCAGCACATGCACCATTACCGCTTCCACAACTCGCACAGCTCCCGCAACCACCACAACTCAACCACCACCGCCATTGCTCACTCCTGTTGGAGCCGTCGGGACATCAGACCTGGGCTTCGCAGGAACAGGCGTGGCGACGCGGGTGAGGCCCATCCGTGTGGTGCACGCTGCGCAGTAACCCAGCCCGCAGCCGTTGTGGTCCCCATCGTGGTCCCTAGCCCCAGCCGCGGGCCTTTCAATTTTGCATTCGTTTTGGCTTCCCCACTGCTCCCGCCGCTAGCAGGCTCGCTCCAGGGTGTGACTGGTTGTACCACAAAAGCCACCAGCTGCCGTCGTTTCCGCCTGGCTCCCCTATTCCCTGCCCGCCGTACCGGCCTTTCTCGTTGGGGGGTTTAGAGAAGCCTGTCGGCCGTGATAAGGGCACCACCGTTGCCAATCAAAATCTCCATCCCCTCCCCGTCCCCGTCCCAGGGCGTCGTGCGCTCTGTGGTCGTCGCTCCAATACCAGACCTGCCTAACCCACCTAGGCAGAGTCCTCGCACCAGCATCGGCCACCCCCCGTCGCCGCGTCGCCGTCATTTCGCGCCCAAGAGACTTGGGTGAAAAAAAGAAGAGGAATAGAATAGTAATAACCGCCGCGAAATGACAACCGCGGTCTCGGGCAGCGTCGTCGAGCCACCGCATCCCGCCTCGCCAGGAGAGCGAGCCCACGCCTACCCGTCCGTCTCGAGATCGCAGTCGACACGCACTGCGCGGCCTTCGACAGCCCAACAAGCACATCGGGCCGCATCCCATTCGCATTCGCACAACCATTCAGCCAGCATGTCTAGCCGTCCCTCCTCGTCCACCCGCCCCGTGCAGGACGTGCTTCCCCAGCATGATTACGAAACGACGAATGTCGCTCAGAAACGGAGCTCAAGCAACGATCGCCACCAGCCGTCGTCGGCGAGGGCCGAGTCGGGCACCAGGCATCACCACCGCACCCCGAGCCAAAGATCTGCCGCCAACGGCACTGCCGACATGCCTCCTCCTCCCTCTTCCGACCAGAGGTCTCGCAAACCGCGCACCATCATCCCCGCCCAGTCTGGCAAATGGAGCCTGGGCAAGACAATCGGGGCTGGCAGCATGGGCAAAGTCAAGCTCGCCAGGAAGGAGGACGGTTCCGAACAGGTGTGTGCCATATCTAGCTGCCTCGATCACGCCGTGCTTCGTCGCTTGCCGCAGACACTCGCCCGGGTTCCTTGCTGCCTTGCTAACACTCACCGTCATTCAACAACAAGGTCGCATGCAAGATCATTCCCAGGGTCACCCCTGACGATGGCCACACACCTCGCGCAGAGCGGGAAAGGGCAGACCTGTCCAAGGAAGTCCGAACGGCTCGCGAGGCCGCCATCGTGACACTCCTAAGCCACCCTCATATCTGCGGCCTACGCGATGTCGTCCGAACCAACTACCATTGGTACATGCTCTTCGAATACGTCAACGGCGGCCAGATGCTCGACTATATCATCTCGCACGGCAAGCTCAAGGAGAAGCAGGCCAGGAAGTTCAGCAGACAGATCGCGAGCGCTCTCGACTACTGCCATCGCAACAGCATTGTCCACAGAGATCTCAAGATTGAGAACATACTCATCAGCAAGACGGGTGATATCAAGATCATCGACTTCGGCCTCAGCAACCTCTTCTCCCCGCGTAACCACCTTAAGACCTTCTGCGGTAGTCTATACTTCGCCGCCCCTGAGCTCTTGCAGGCGCGGCCGTATCAGGGCCCGGAAGTTGATGTCTGGAGTTTCGGGATTGTGCTCTATGTCCTGGTGTGCGGAAAAGTCCCGTTCGACGACCAGAACATGCCTGCCCTTCACGCCAAGATCAAGAAGGGAATCGTCGACTACCCCAACTGGCTTTCCACCGGTAAGCTCTCAAGCATACACTTCTAGAATCACAGCTTGTGGTGCTCCAAAGAAAGGAAGACCGAGCATTGTCAGATGCTAACTTTTTCTGTCTGGGACTACAGAATGTAGGCACCTTCTCTCTCGAATGCTCGTCACGGATCCGAAACAGCGCGCCACGATGGCCGAGGTCATGTCACATGCCTGGATGACCAAGGGCTACAGTGGCGCGCCTGAGAACTACCTGCCGCACAGGGAGCCTCTCACACTTCCCCTAGACCAGGAGGTTGTCAACGGAATGACAGGTTTTAGCTTCGGGCCGCCAGAGGTGATCAAGGCCCAGCTTACACGGATTATCGAGTCCGAGGACTACCAACGCTCGGTGCGGGTGCTCGCGCGGGAGAAGGAGATGCAGCAGCCTCCCAGAGAGCAGGAGAAGAAGCGCGGGTTTGGCTTTTACAGGCGACGGAACTCATTCAGTAGTAAGGATACTCTGACCACGCCGAGTTCCGAGGGTTTGCAGCTGGGTAACGACCCACTCAACGCTTTCAACCCGCTTGTATCGGTGTATTATCTTGTTCGGGAGAGGCAAGAACGAAACAGTCTTGATCGACGGACCGTGGTCAGCTCTGCCCCCAAGAAGGACCAGGTTCCAGAGATAGTGCCACCTCAGGAGGCGCACACCAACTCGTCTGCCTACGAGATGCCTGGAGAGAAGGCTACCGGCGGACGCACTCGGCCGCGGGCCCGGACTCATGGCGAAGATGACGCCCCCGAATCCGTCAAGGCTGCCCAGCCCTCGCTCACCACGGCCATTCCTCCCGAGTCGCGGCTTGAGCCGCCCAAGAAGGAAAGCACGGCTGCCGGGTTGCTGCGCCGCTTTAGCACTAGGAGAAAGAAGGACTACGAACGGCCCGAGAAGGACCGCTCGCACCCGCCGGTTGTCCAGGTCCACTCGCCGGTTGTCCAGGTCTACTCGCCGGGCGAATCACCATCTTCATCAGGCATGCGAAAAAGCTTCAGTATCAGACGTGGTCGGCGCGAACGCGAGGACCATGCATCCGACTCGCAAACCCTCAGGGCTGGCAGCAGCCAGCCGCAGCACAGCGACCTGCTCAGTCCTCCTCTGTCGGCCGGTGCGAATGTCACTGGGTTTAGGAAGGGACTAGGCCGGTCCGCCAGCGTGAACTCTGGTGAGTTTGGTCGTCGGAGGGCGATGGGATCAAGGTCCAAGGACCCTCCACCGACTAGCGGCTCGGACCACTCGACTATTCACGAGAAGCCGCAGGCCGAACAGCAGAGCAATCAGCTACAAGCCTCGGGACAACAGAACAACATGGCGATGCGGGCCAAGTCGCTTGGACATGCCCGGCGCGAGAGCATCCAGGCCAGGCGGCAGCGGCGTGAGGCCGAACGGGGCCGCGAGGCTAACGTCCCTGAAGAGACGGACGCCGAGGTGAATGGGGCCGGCGATGGCGGATCAGAAGAGCGCGTCACCGATTTTGATCTGGATAAGCCTGTATATCTCAAAGGCCTCTTCAGCGTGTCGACGACGTCGGGCAAGCCGGTGCGTGAGATACGCAACGAGATCAAGAGGGTGCTGCGGCAACTGGGCGTCGATTACACGGAGATCAAGGGTGGCTTCAACTGCAGGCATTCTCCCAGCATTGACCTTGAGAAGGTGTCAATGGACCTGCCGACCAGCCCGGCAGCGCAGACGCCTGGTGGGACGCACAGACGGCGGTTCAGCTTCGGCCTGCGCGGAAGCGATAATAGGGAGGACGTGCGGGATGCGCTGGAAAGGGTTCCACCCACGCCGCGGACGCCAGGCAGGGGCGGCCATGGCAGCCACCAGCGCAGCGACTCGAGCTCCGAGATATCCGACGACAGCGAGGCGGTACGGGCGGACAACGGCGAGTCGTCGTCGCGCAAGATGGTATCGCAACCGGCTGGCGAGACGAGGACGCACGTGCGGAGCGACATGGGAGGGAACCTGGTGCTCGAGTTCGAGATTTTTATCGTCAAGGTGCCGATGATCTCGCTCCACGGAATCCAGTTCAAGAGGCTGAGTGGAAACACTTGGCCTTACAAGAACATGGCGGACCAGATTCTGAAGGAGCTGAAATTGTAGTGTTAATACTCTATATCGTGTTTCTCCTTTCCACCCTTGGTGTTTTCGTTTTCGTCTCTTATGTCTCGCACCGCTCGCTCCATCATCACGCCGCAGCCATTGCAAGATTGGCTTTATCATTTCTTAGCACCTCCACCATTCCAAGCCCACGTCTCTGTCCGTCTCCGGCAAACCCATCTTCCTAGGCGCCTTTGTTGGACTATATCTTGTCTTATTCTATCTTCTTCCTTTTCTTCTCGGTTGAGTCGTAAACGAGGTTTGGTTTCTCGTCCTGTTGACGTTCCGCAAAGCTTGTATTTTATTCGCTGGAGCTCACGCGGCTGGCCGTCTGACCACAAAGTCTCGGGTCTTCATCGATGCGAAGCATTTGCGTGCCGGTTTTGTATCAGCCTGTTGCCAGTTGCCCTTTCATCTTTGTATACTTGTGGCTTTCGCCTTGTTTCCTATTATTTCTTTTCCCCATAATTTGGTTGTCCCAGAGGTTCAAAACGTAATACACAAAAATGGTTCTAATGCACAAGGGCGGATCTTTAACATTTTTCTTCTTCATTTTCTCTTTTCCCCATTTTCGGATCTGCAATGACGAAGTCGAAGAAGCCCTAGCTGGATGTGACAGGAGCGACACCACATCCATCACGTCACAACAGCGACGGTCTAGTGTCGTCACTCTAGTTGCCAGGATGGAGGATAGTCGTATATCAGCAAAATATTGACACGGCCTGAGGTTAATGATTGATATGGAGGTTGCGTGGGTCACTGCACTTTATGGGTGGGTGGGTGAGTGGCTTTCATCCCTCAGGGCAGTTGTTGAGCCAGTGGGGGTTTCAATGGATGGATTGGGTTTTTTTATGGGCCGTGTTCTAGAGCTGCGAGCCCCAGTTCGCTTGGGGTCATGTGCTGCCGCCTCCCCGCAGAAGTTGGGGTACAGGTGGCAACGGCGGCATGGTGGCAGGTGGGGGTCAGCACTGAGAGAGCAGGCGCACGTCTGGATATGTGGGTGCCCATCCGAACAGCCGGTGCCCATCCGAACAGCCGCTAGGCACAGGCACAACAGGCACAAGGCAGGCAGGCACGCAGGCACACACAGTGGGTGCGTGGAGATCGATCGATCTTCACAAGCTTTTTTTCTTCTCTCCCTCCCTCGCCTTTCGCTCACCCTGTCCCCGACGCGCGCCACATCCCCTCACCTGAGACGGCGGGCACCTACTACCCAGGTAGTGCATATCTCTGTGCCTCCATACTCGGAGCTGCTCTGTCGAGCTAGGCTGTCAGCGGACCATCCCGAACAATTTCTTTGCGGTCCGCCAGGCTTTTGTGTGATAAAACACACTCGGCCTCCTCCCGTCTTTCCCTCTCGGTCCCCTTTTCTCTTGCTACTCCGATGAAGAAGTCCCTCAACTCCTGTTCTTTCTACTCATCCTCCCCCTCCTCCTCCTCCTCCTCCTTTTTCGCGCCTTCTATATCGCAGCCAGGCGTTGTGTCCCTCCCTCACTCTCCTGCTTCACCACTTCCTCCCAGTCCTTGGCTTATCCACACACCCACCCACACTTGGCCGCACGCCCACACCCGCGCCTCTGGATATCGGCAGACAGCACCACCACCCCCGCAGCAGCTCGACCCGAGTGTCTATCCGCGCCATAACCGCACCGTCGGCCTGTGCGCCGTCTCAGCCGCCTGGGTTAGTCTGCTTCGTCCAGTCGTTTGCTGAAGCCGGGGCGGCAGGGCCTTCTCCTCACACGCCAGCCAACCTGCCGAGCCTCCAACGATAATAATAATACCCCGCCCTGGCAGCAAGCTCAGAAGCTACCTCGCATCCCGCTCGCCCTCCCGCTCCCGCCAGTGCCATCACATATCGCGCAAATCACGCGCTTGTTTGGTACCGTCAGCGGCGGCAAAAACATCACACCCTCTTCATCCTTCTCTTTTCAGCTTCCTGTTCGGGTAATCCGAACAACGCCATCCCCCTCGTTGGCACACTTCTTTAGCCGCTCTACCTCGTCATCTTTCTCTACCTCCACATCCTCCTCATCCTCTGCAAGACCATCCTATTCATCATCCAACATGAGCTCAGCCATCGCATTACAGGTGGCCGCACCGCCGGCGAGTGTTGGTCGAGAGACAAAGCGCCCTCGTATAATAGAGCCCGAGGTCGTTGAAGCTGTGGTGCTCAAGGACACGATTGCAGACATTGTCCCGGAGATTGAGGTGGTGCAGGTTGAGAACGCTGCAGTGGCCCAACATGTCGAGAATGTTGCGCAGCCCCGGGAGGCGCAACCTGTAGTCCAAGATACGGAAGGCGAGGTCTTTGTGGGCAGTATAGACCAGGGGACGACCTCGTCGCGCTTCATCATATTTAACCGCCAGGGGGAGCCGGTCGAGGGCCACCAGATCGAGTTCGAGAACCTGTATCCCGAGTCCGGGTGGCACGAGCACGACCCGCTTGAGCTGCTCTCATCGGTCGAGGAGTGCATCGAGCAGACGATGCGCAAGTTCTCGGCGTCCCGGCCTGGCGCCTCGGTGCGCGCGGTTGGCATCACGAACCAGCGCGAAACGACAGTCGTGTGGGATTCCGTCACGGGCGAGCCGCTGTACAACGCCGTGGTCTGGCCCGACACGCGGACGGGCGGGCTCGTGCGAGAGCTCCGCGCGCGGGAAGGCAGCGCCGACCTGCTGCAGCTCTGTGGCCTGCCGCTGTCGACCTACCCCAGCTCCGTGAAGCTGCTGTGGCTGCTGCGCAACGTCGAGGCCGTGAGCCGCGCCTACGAGGAGGGTCGCCTCGCCTTCGGCACTGTCGACTCGTGGCTCATCTACCGGCTCAACGGCGGCGCAAAACCGCCTGGCGGCAGGGGTCCCGTGCATGTCACGGACGGGACCAACGCGAGCCGTACCATGTTCATGAACCTGCGAGATATGAGCTACGACGACAAGCTGCTCGGATTTTTCGGCATCGACCCGGCCAAGGTGCAGCTGCCCCGGATCGTGCCCTCGGCGCACCCCACGTCGTTTGGCCAGATGGCTTCGGGGCCCCTGGCCGGCGTGCGCATCGCGGGGTGCCTGGGAGACCAGAGCAGCGCCGTGGTGGGACAGTGCGCCTTCGAGGCGGGCCAGGCCAAAAACACGTACGGCACCGGCTGCTTCCTACTGTATAACGTAGGGCCGGAGCCCGTCATATCAAAGTCCGGGCTCCTGGCCACCGTCGCCTTCGACTTTGGGCCGGAGCTGGGCGGGCGCGCGTACGCGCTCGAGGGCAGCATCGCGGTCGCCGGCAGCGGCGTCAAGTTCCTGCAAGGGAACCTGGGCTTCGCCAAAGAGTCGGCCGAGATAACGGCACTGGCCGAGGGTGTCAAGGACAACGGCGGGGTCGTGTTTGTCACGGCCTTTAGCGGCCTGTTTGCACCGTACTGGATCGACGATGCTAAGGGGACATTATGTGAGTCCTGGGCTTATGGCTCCTTTTCTGTTATGCTAGTGCCTAGCGATTTGCCTCGTGCTGACATGTTTCTCTACAATGCAAAGTTGGCATCACACAACACACACAAAAGGGGCACATCGCCCGGGCGACCCTCGAGGCGACATGCTTCCAGACCAAGGCCATCTTGGACGCGATGGAGCGCGATAGCGGGCACAGGCTCGGGTCGCTGGCGGTGGACGGCGGACTGTCCAACTCGGACCTGTGCATGCAGACGCAGGCGGACATCAGTGGGATATCGGTCGACCGGCCGGCGATGCGGGAGACGACGGCGCTGGGGGCGGCCATCGCGGCCGGGCTCGCGACTGGGGTGTGGAAGGGGCTCGGGGACCTCGCCGAGGTCGGGCGCAAGAACAGGCGGCTGTTCGAGCCTAGCAAGGCCAAGGGCAACCGCGCGCGCTTCAAACGCATGTTCGCCAAGTGGGAGCAGGCCGTCGAGATGAGTCGGGGCTGGGTCAGGGAGGAGCACGAGGCGGACGAGGCGGATGAGGATGAAGAATAGCACGAGGTACGAACAGACATGAATTGATGGCTGGAAAGGGTTTGGCGTCGGTGGTTATAGGGGGCTACTTTGCAATACAAGCTGGAAACATTCTTGTACTGTAAAGAGGCACCATGGCCTACTGCAAAGATGGACCGTGTTCATGCATGGTGTCCCCGAAGCCCGTGACCCTAGGGCGCCGCGGCTTGCACCTTGGGAGCCTTCAGGTGCATACAGCTAGGCAGCTGGGGGCACCCCAGAGCCCGGCGGGGGTTATCGTCAGCATGTGGGGGCAGCCCGATCCCCGCTCCCGATTGGGTCCTATGCCGCGTTGGGAAGCATTCGGCAAGACGGGGTCGGATGGTTAGGCGTGGCGCCCTCGGTCTCCACGAGAGTACGTGAGTCCGAGGGGGAGTGAGGGAGGGAAGCGCTGCTGGCTTTCCTGCCTCATGTGTGTCGTGCCACGGTGCGTTTCCGAGATCTGGGGATCTTCCCAGTCCGCCCTCGGATTGTGAGAAGGCACCTACCAGATAGGTACAGCACCTATAAAGCAAAAGGATACCTATATTAGACAGGTAAACGGCACAGCAACAGCACAGGGCCGTCACCCCACCTCATCAATCGCGTTGCGTCATCCAGGGTCCCCCCCACCAGCGCCACCCCGCCCCAACCGGCATTGTTTGTCTGTGGTTTTGGCTGGCAACACTACTGAGCTGCGCCTCAATTTTCTTTCTTTTTATTGCGTCTAGACACGTAGGTGGCTTTTTTCTTCTTCTGCTTGGTTGCCCGACTGGACACGGATTGGGAGTGGCTGGTTCGTTGGTTACTACCTATCGCTGCCTGACGAGTGAGCCACCCACTTACCCCCGTGCCAAAAAGGCAGCAGCGCAAGAAAAAGAAAACCCCGTTTTTCGCCTCTCGAGCACGAAACAAAAACAGCCAGATATACACAAAGGAGGCCTTTCCCGGCCAGACTTTTAAACGGAAATCTGCATTGAGAGCCAAAGCTCCACCCGCCGCCCTCCGCTCCGTATTTGCAGCAGGCAGGCACATCCATCCATCCCCCGTGTCTCCCCGCTCTCCCGCTGCGTTGCCTGTCTTTGGTGAGGAGCCTCTCTTTATTAGTCATTCAGGCTTTTTTGCTGTCGACTGACAGTGCTAAACCTTGCTCCTCCATTTTGGCAAAACGGCAACCTTCCTTTGCTACCTGCCTTTCCTTTCCTTCCTCTTCTTTTCCTTCTTTTTCTTCGTCTGCTCTTCTGTTTGCTTCCCAGACGGACAGACAAACCTATTCGATCGATAAAAAGGCCCGCCGTTTGCTCTCATCTGTTTCTGGCAGAACAGACCGATTGACCGAGCGCTCGCCGTTTATTGATCCCACCTACCCTGCCTGCCTGCTTGCCTGCCTGCTGAGGCATTCCTGTGTGCGGCACTCGCTCTCCTCATTTCTGCACTTCCGACTCGTTCTTGGCACTGTCTAGCTGCACCTCGCTAGCTCTTTGGCACTTGGTTACCTATTCCCCCATCCATTTAAGGGCCGGCAGACGCCTCGCAGAAACCCATTTCCTTGGCTCGACGCATTCGCTTGCTGCTGAGCTTTACTAGAACCCTCAACCAACCTGTCTGACATCGACGACCACCTAAAGGAACCGGCACTTTCTGGCCCTGCACCCTCGCCGCATTGACACCCGCATACAGTGCACAGTGCAGCCGCCTCCCGCGGTTGCAGCCGTTCTCGGGCCTCCAAACCAACCCCCCAAACGCAGACTACAAAGTACCAAGGCCTCGGTACTCCCCTCCACGCACTCAACCACCACCGCATCCAATACAAAGCATCACTTAGAGCTTCGGCCGGCGCCATCGCCGCCGCCCGCAGACATCACCATCACCATCACAATGGCTTCCACCACAATGGCTTCCACCACGCGGCCCCAGTTCCCTACCACTACCACCCCGACCTACCAGTTCCCAACCGACAAGCTCCGGCTTCGCCAGACTCAGCATGGCAAGACCCCGCTTGTGCTGGTGAGTTTTGACCTTTCATTTCCGCGTTCCCACCGGCATTCGTTTGGCGGTCCCTTTGCGCCTCTGGGCGGTTCCATCAGAACCTGGCTGTTACTGGGAGAACGGTCCCGCTGGCGCCGCCCCCGCTGGCCCGCCCCTCGCGCGACATCGGAGCAACGGACTCGCGAGGCTCGCTGGGCGTAGCCGGCGCGGAGCTGATTGTCCTTGTCACTGCCATTGTCATGGCAAAGCCCCGGTGCCCCGGCCGAGGACTGCCTGCGTCTCTTCTGGTTCCTATCGCACGAAATGCTGACATGCTTTTTCTCCTTGTTTTCAGGTGGCCTGTGGGTCCTTCTCGGTTTGTTCTTGTGCCTCCTCGGCGGCTCAGCGGCAAGAAGCTCCGCGCGGGAGACGGCCATGTCCCCGCCCGCCTGCGGGCTAGACACTATCCATAGCCTTATGCTAACCCGTGCTCTGGCAGCCCATCACCTACCTGCACTTGAGAATGTACGCCGTTTCCCTACTCTTCACCTTTTTTCTTCTTTTTTTTCGTCACTTGTATACAGTGCGAACGAGCTAACCCGCCCTGCTCACAGGTTCGAGATGGCCCGTATGTGCCTCGACCTCTTTTCTGCTTCTCTTTGCGGAGGCTCTGGCTGACCACCATGGATCAACAGGCGACTACTGTGGCATCAACACCAATTATGAGGTCGTTGGTGGCTACATCAGGTATATCTCGTCCCACCTGCTCAACTCCGCCCTGTAACACCCGCCGGAACTGGCCCGCTCCCGAATCGTTCTGCCGCGACGCCGGTTGCCAAGCTTTGGGTCGTAATAAGCCTAACATGTGTCCTTACCTAGCCCCGTGTCGGACGCCTACAAGAAGGCTGGTCTGGCGCCCTCCTACCACCGCATCAACATGATTAAGCTGTCTCTACAGTCAAGCTCGTGGATCATGGTCGACGAGTTCGAGACCTCGGTCCGCAACCCTGCCACGGGCGAGCCCGAGTACACGCCCACTGCCCAGGTGCTGGCCAAGCTCGATCACGAGATCAACGTGAGTGCACCCAGGACCCCAGGTCTCGGCAGAGACTGAAAAGCGGGGTGACTGACTAACATGGCTTTTTCTGCAACAAGACCGTACGAGGTGGCATCCAGTCAGTTGAAGATCCCTCCATCAGAAGGCGCGCCAGGATCTGCCTGCTCGCCGGCGGCGACCTGATCCTGACCATGTCCACCCCTGGACTCTGGGCCCCTGTGGATCTCGAAGTTATTCTCGGCCACAACTTCGGCGCCTTCATTGTCGAGCGCTCTGGCACCGATACGGAGGAGGCGCTTGCCACGCTGCAAGAGTACCGAGAGAACATCTGGGTCATCCCACAGGTCATTCAGAACGACATCAGCTCGACCAAGATTCGGCTATTCCTTAAGAAGAACCTGAGCATCAGGTACCTTATCCCAGACGCCGTCGTACGGTACATCGAGGAGAACGATCTGTTCAACGGCGAAGTCTCCTCCAAGAACGAGGATAGCGCCCCGGCTGCTTCATCCTCGGTAGCTGGCCCTTCGTCAGCACCAGCCCAGTCAACAACGGCCGACCCTTGAACCCGCCCTTGGCGGTTGGATCCTGTTGTGTTTCTTTCTCTTCTTCCTTTTTATTTTTTATCTTTGCATTTTTCTGGACATCTTCTAGCCCGGCAGCGAACTAAGCGGAACCCGGCGGTTGTGGCACGAGCCCGTGTGGCTGCTTAGGGGAAGCTGACCCCATCTTAAAACTAGAGGGCTGGGCGGGCGCGATTCCCGGCGTCATGACACTGTACTTGGAACATGGTACCCTGTTTTTTTTATTGGCCATTGGTTATTGGCCATTGGCTTCTACATAGCGACCCAGAAGCTCGACCGAGCGGCATTCCGTTTCTTGTTGTTTCTGCTTGCTTTCTTGTTTATCAGTCTTGTCTGGCCTCTAGGGTGCGATGCAGAAATTGGTCTAGCGGCTGACGTCTCGCTTGATATCATTGACATGGAATCGAAAATTTCATGGCCTGTTGAGGAGCTTTACACTCTGCTGTTCTAGTCGATGCTGTATGGGAACTGAGCGCTGTACGTGGTCGAACTGTCGTTAAATAATCCCACGTCACACAACATAAAGGGTCCGGCTTGGCGAGCTGGCGACGCTACACCAAGGATGTCACTCGACGGCCGCGCCCAGGACCCAACCGTCATTAGTCCTACAACAACAGGCCATGACGACATGTTTCCTGCAGTGTGAATCCTTTTTTGTTTTGTTTTTTTGGTCTTCACGTCCGGCCGTTCGGAGAATTCAAACAAGCGGAGGTTATGGTGACAAGAAACGTAGACGGGCTGCAATTCATAATTAGAAGACATGGTAGCCCCGAGCTGTAGTCTTACATGGCGTTACGCCTTTATAACATGAACAGCGCAGCCGCAAGAGAAATAGGCGGACAAAGATACGGTAGGCACGAGATGAGGTTTGGCGACGCCGCCAACAGCCATAGGAGAGGTAAAAACACACACAGAGGAGGACAAGGAAAAAGAGGGACGTATATAAAAGCAAGGCATTCATAGGGCCATTTCCCCTCTCTTCCTGGTCTCCCTGGTACCCTGTAATTTGTTTAGATAATCCCCCCCTGTCCGCTCGATTTCGGACATGTCCCCCGCCGCCGCCCCCTGTGCACTCCTGTGGGATTTGCTGCACTTGCTGCACGGGCCTAGCCCTGTTTACTTTTCCAACCTTACTAGTAGATATAGGATAGTGACATTGAAAAAGAAGAAACTGAAAAAGAAATATAAAAAATGCACATCGCACCCTCCTCCAGTTGGACTTGGGTTTCAGGTAGTATCCCGTCACCACCGCCGCCCCCCCTTATCATTACGTCATCTTCTTCCTCGCCTCGTCGTAATACGACTCCCCATTCTCCTCATCATCACTATCGGCGCCAATCTCCATGCCGCCGGAGCCCGACGAGGTGTGGCGGTCGAGGCCGCTCTGGCGCCTGCGCATCTCACCGCGCTCGCGCATGGCCTCGCGGATCTTGCGGCTGGCCTCGTCGAACCCCTCTTGCGAATCCAGGGCCGTGAAGCCGCTGATGGGGAAGCCACCCATGGAGCCGAACCCACCCAGCCCGCCGCCGCCGCCGGCGCTGCTCGTGCGGCTGCGGTTGCGCGACGGCGGCCGCGTGGCAAAGATCCCCGCCCGCCCGATGTTGCTGAAGGACTCGTTGCGCGGTATGGCGCGGCTCGACTGCGTCGTGCGCCGCTGGATGCCGCCCGGCGGCGGCGTGGGCGGCTCCGACGGCCCCGCGCTCGCCGACGACTGCTCGCTGTCGCGCCGCTTCTTGCCCGCCTGTTGCCCCGGGTCCCTCGGCTGCTTGGACGAGGTGATGGGCGAGAGGGGCGAGAGCGGGGCGCCGTCGGCCGCCTTGATCAGGCGCGTCTGCTCAAAGTCGGGGAACAGCTCGGGGCCCAGCGTGTTGACGAGGTGCGTCACCTCGGCGCTGAGCTCGGCCCGCTGCTCCTGCAGCTTCTGGAGGTTGTACTTTGACGTCGGCAGCATGCAGAGCAGCAGCGGGCGGAGCGACTTGAAGATGTCCATACCGATCTCGCCGAACCGCAGGGCCGCAAAGGTGATGCCGATGAAGATGGGCCAGCTGATGGTCCAGACGACCAGCGCCACCACCTTCCAGTTGAGGACGACCACGTTGGTGGGTATGAGGCCCCAGAAGCCGTCGGTCGAGACCTTGTAGGCTACTAGGGTGCAGTAAAAGTTGTAGAAGCAGGGCGCGACGACTAGCGAGACGAGCAGCTTCCACGTGGCCATGACGTCGCGCCCCTGGATCTTGACGGTGGACGCCGCGAGCGCCTGCTCGGCCTTGCGGATGCTGATGATCTTCGCGATGACGAAGACGGGGAAGAAGAGGACGAGGCCCGGGAGGGTGGCGAAGAGCAGCACGACGAGCTTGATGAGCCGCGCCAGGAACGTGCGCACCACGCGGGGCCACGACATGCGGATGACCTGGACCTGGTGGTCGCGCACGTTAAGGTAGCGCAGGGCCTGGTTGTACTTCTTGACCGACTCAAGCACGCGGATGACGCGCTCGTCGTTCTTGTAGCGCTCGTAGCCCAGCGCCAGGCGGCGGTTCAGCTCCACCACGACGGGCAGCGGCAGCTTCTTGCCTGTAGGGTTATACAGGCGGCGGGCTGCCTGGATCAGCATCAGTGTGTCGTAGTCGGGCGTCGACACCGTCACGGTCGAGAGCCCCTGGTGGACCTGGTCCAGCAGCGTGCCGACGGCCTCGCGGCGCTCCTTGCCCTTGTACTTCTCCACCAGCTCGGCCGGTACGTCGATGGCCGCGCCGAACTCGACGACGGCCCGCGAGCGGAACTTGTGCGCGTGGAAGTAGTTCATGCCCACGGGCACGATCTTGACGCCGCACCCGGGGTTCTCAGCCATGGCGCCCAGCGCCATGATGGACACGCCAGGCTTGAGCGGCAGCAACTCTGTGCGGTCGTGGCTGCCGCCCTCGGGGAAGATGCCCACGCAGCCGCCGGAGCGGAGCCGCGCAAAGACGGCCTCGAACACCTTGCTCTGGTCGATGTGCGGCGCCGTCTTAAACTTGGTGCCCTGGAAGTTCGCCGCGCAGCCCCTGTGCTCCTTATTTGTGAAGTTTCCGTCCTCATCGATGTCGTCGCGCCCGGTGAGCTGCTGCATGGGCAGCTTCCCCTTGAGCGGCCGGCGGATCCGGATCTCCTCCGGGCCGATGATCTGCGCAATGTCCACGTTGGACCCGGTCTTGCCCTTGACCGACGGCAGGAAGAGCCCGCCGCCGACCTCGGCCTCCCTGTCGAACCGGGTGCCGTAGCCGCGCACGAGGGTCGGATCGCCGATGGGGTCTGGCAGGTAGATGGTGCCGCTCGCGGGCCTGGCCGAGTCCTGGGCGCGGCCGACGGGCACGGCGCCGACCTGGCGCGAGGCCCAGCCGATGAAGCCGTGGACCGATTTCTGGGCGATGAGGAGGGACACGCGGCGGGCGGCCTCGCGCTTGAGGGTTCTTTGGAGGATGAGGGCGTCGACGAACTGAGTTTCCGCGCGGGGCGCATTAGGAGTTTTGTACTAGGCGGTGCAAGGGGGCAGGCACACAAAGGCGAACGCTGAGGGACCGACCTGGTTGGCGTGGGGAGCGGCGACAAAGAGCACGGGGCCATTGCGCGGGATCTTCCAGGAGCTGCGCGGGTGTATCTCGCGGAAGAAGAGGTCGGCCGTGATGGACATGACCCAGAGGAAACTGTCGTACTTCCAGTCGACCATGGGGTACAGCTCCATGGGCGCTCTGCCCCGGTCCGCCTCTCGCGCCGGCACGCCGGCGCCAGCGCCGGCCTGGCCATTGGTAGCCATCGCTGCTGCCGCCCTCTCTCGCTCGCCGCCTCGCTGTTCTCGGTCGACGGCGGGTCCGGTGTGCGTGTTTGCTAGACAGCCGGGCACTCACGTCTCGACGCGGGCATGTGAGAAGCGGGCGAAAGGAGGTGGGGTTTGTTTGCGGACGAGGGAGAGCACGCGAGGTGGTGAGTGGCCTGACGAGGAGGCCGCGGGCGTGTGCTAAGCCAGGCGAGGGCGAGGCAGAGATAGCACAGGTGGAGTGGCGAGGTGAGGGTCTCGAGGGCCGAAGGGCTGCGGGCTGCGATATAAAGCACCTGGCGAATGTGCACAGACGCTCAAGGTTTTGGGAAGGATCCAGAGCGAAAAAGAAAGGATGATGGCCGGAGAATTACGAGCAAAAGTAAAGAGAAGGAAAAAAAGAGGCTTTGGGTTGGCAGCAAGGGGTGCCGCTGATGGCTTGGAAGACAAAAAAGAAAAGTGCATCCATTCATCGCTAAAAGGATGGAGCTGCACCTTGACGGCAATTGAGTACAAGGGGGATACCTACGGCTGGAAGGATGGCAAGTGGGGTAGCTCCCCTGAGGCGCCCCCCAGCGCGTCGGCTTGCCCGGGCGTGGCCTCATAACGCCCTGCCGCAGGTACCATAAAGGTACCAGCTCCACTGCGATACAGCAGGCAGCACGCCATTACGGGCCAAATTCAATTCGCGCCTGCCCTCGATTGGCCCGCCACACCTGTTGCCCCTCGCCCATCAATCGATCGATCCATGGAGGAGACCAAAAAAAGCCCACGCCCCCGTGCCATTCCGTATCGCGCCATGCAAAAAGGCGCAGCAGTTCGCTACATCGTTTTTCTTCGACCCTTGCTCGGCATCCTCAGCCGTAACGGCCTAGCAACGTAGAGCAAAGCCGGTGGTGGGTGCGCTTGCCAATGACACGACGGGCGGGGGCCATCCAACCACGTCCTTTTATTCCTCGCCCTCTTACACAGCGCCCGTACAAGCGAAAAAAAGTGCTTTGGGTCGGCCGACCCATGACACTATGGCTCCCCTCGCGCCGACCAATGCCGTCCCAGCATGCAGCCTGAGACTGACTGGCTGCCTCGTGGCCGCCCGCTCTGAAGACGTTGGGTCTGTGCTTGGCCCAGCTGGGCTGGGGGGCTTGGGATTTGCTTGGCTGGTTTGTTAGTTTGCTGGTTGGCTGCTTCATGCCGCCTACCACTCTCTTGTTTTTGTCCGCCATTACCTCTCAGGGACAGTGGTGTTACATGCGCTAAGTGAACCTGCAGAGAGATAAGGGGTCGTAGTTGGATTAAGGGGCCGGTACGCTCCTAATTCAAGACCTGTAGCCCGTATATGCTTCACAGCTGGGTCGATTGCTCACAGAAGCCACAACTTTCTTTGTCTTATCCAGCAAAATCAAAACTTCTGCTGGCCCTACCTCCTACCCCAGACTGTCCCCCAGAGCCCGACTACTGTAGCACAAGGACAGGCGCTAGCCCGCCCACTAGCAGAGTGGCCGTTTTGCCCTCCTCATGCGTCATGCATCGACTTTACCTGACCGGTCCCAGAGACACGTTCTGGGCTAGTGGGAGGGGGGGAGGGCTGGGCGGCGGCGGCGGCGGCGGCGGCGCCTCAACACTTTTTTCTCCTGGTCCGCAAGACGAGTCGGGAAATGTTGGGAGAAGACGAGAACGAGGATGGGCTTCCCGTTGTGCGAGCCCCTCCCTCCCACCTCAGGAATCAAGCCTGCACGGGCATGCGGCTCGGGGAGCAGGGCTTATCGGCTGCCAGGGCCTGCTGGGTCGTTGAGGGTTTGTTTATCAATTGCTCCACGTCATTGGACGTCACCACGTCGGGTCCTGGCGCTCTGATATCTTTGCCTTTGATATCCACATCTCCGCAGCCGAGTCGACAAAGTCAACTGTACTGGAGATAACAACATGCCCGTGCTCCCGAGGTTGCATGTCTTCACAGCTTCCGTCTCCGCTTGTCAAATACACCCCTGCGCTCGTATCGCCGAGCTCTACGCTCCCGGGAATTGCCACCCCCCGCCACTTATACGTCACCTCTTGGCCCGCCCCTTGCCCTTCCCCTTCCGCCTCTCCTCGGCCGTCGCCGGTACGCTCGCCGAGCCCGCTTCCAGCTCGCCAGCCTCAACTTTGCCCTCGTTCTCGAGCTCCCTCAGCTTCTCCTGCCCCGAGATGAACATGGTCAGGTCGCGGTTCATTTCCTCGAGCTCTGTCTTATCGACCTTAAGCTGCTCCACCTCGCGCCTGAGCCCCTCGAGCTCGCCATTGACGTGCCCTATCCGCTCCATCAGCCCCTCCCCAACCTTCTTCTCCTCCTGTAGTGTCCGGCCGAGCGACCGCGCCAGCTCCGACGCCTTGTCCGCCCGCCGCCGCTCGCGCTCTACGTCTCGCTCGAGGGAGGGTATGACCTCGCGTTTCAGCGCCGCATGCGCCGCCCGTACCTCGGAGAGTTGCCGCAGGGCGTCCGAGGCGGCGCTGCCTGCCGCCTCGGCTGCTGCCCCCGCTTTGGCTGCCTTGTCAGCCGCCTTGCTGACGAGCTCCTCAAAGTAGACGCGCTGAGACTCGAGCTGGCTTGTTAGAAGATGCGTATACTCGAGCCCGATCCGGTCGAGTTTGGCTCGAGGTACTACGTCATCGTCGTAGCCCTGATTCTGTCCCTCCGGACCTCCCCTCTCGTCCCATCCCCCTTCGTTACCCTTGCCCCTCTGCTGTGCCGCGTTGCCATGGTTGTTTCTGGTTCCCGGGGTCACGCCCACCGACCCCGCCGGTAGCTCCACTACCTTGCCCTCTCCCTTCTCACGTATGAGTCGGTGCACCCACATGTCCCCCGCGTAGTCCCAGACGTGCTGCGTTTCCAGCTCAAGGCTGAAAGAATGTGCCGTCTCTTTCCAATGGTCCTTGGCGTGTCCACCCCTGTACCGGCCGCACCCCACGTTACCGCAGATGAGGCAGATCCACAGGTCCTCAGCCTCGTCGCATACACGACAAAGGTTGGAAACGCCCGCGCCGAAAGGCTCCGGGTACTGGCCGCCGCTGCTCCTGTCGGTCGCCGTTGCTGAGGACGAGGACTGGGATGGTCCCGTGTCGGTCGTGCTGCCGGCAGATCCGAGCAGAGAAGGGTTCGTGGCCCGGCAGACGGGACACCCAGACCCTTTCCACGTTTGCAAACAGGTGCAGTGAAACACGTGCTGGCAGAGTATGGTCATGAGGCCTGTTGTGTCATCCATGCGCTCAAGGCAGACAGGGCAGGTCGGCAGCTCGACAAGATCGGCGGTCGGTGGTGGGAAGGGCCGTAGCGAGTTCGAGACGGAGCCCGATGGGTCCTGAAAGCGGGCTAGCGGCTGTTTTCTCGGTGTCTCGACAGTGATCGATTTGATAAACGTGACATGGCAGATCTCCGCCTAGATGGGTGCATAGTCCCTGGGCATCAGTTTCAAGACCCTCTCAGCATCGAGTGCTTCGGCTGGGACAGAATGTGGATCCTGAAGACATACCTCGAGACTGTTGAAGACCTTCCCATCAAACTCGGTACGCCACTCCCTGGCCCGCTCAGGGTCTCTGAACTTCATGAGAACCATATAGCGGTTCGTCCGGCTCGTCATAACCATGCGATAGTGGCTCACATCGCCACGCCACGTTTCGCCAACGAACCCGACGAAGTCGCTCGGAGATAGATAGCTTGGCACCGCAGGGACGCACAGGATCGTTCCCTCGTCGTCTCCTGTGCCTGTGCCTTTGGACTTGCCATCTTCGCCTGTGGTGAGCGCGCCATCCGCGCCCCCACCGCCGCCCTCCCTGTAAAGGTGCACGATGCCCCAGCCCACCGCCGTGTTCTTGGTCTCGAGTGGCGTGAAACGCGCTCTGGTCGCCTGTCCAGCGCCTCCAAGGGTTGGTCCGAGCGACGCTGCCGGAGTGATCAGCGACCCCTCCCCGTCGCCGCCTCCAGGCGAGGAAGCGACCTGAGTTGCCCCTGCGCCACTTCCGCGCGCCGGGTCCCCAGCCATATCAAAACTCTCGATATTCAACCTGCCGAAGCGCCAGTCCCGAGCCGCCGTCTTAGGCCCGAGGCCAGCGTCGAACCTCGGGGGAGGGAAGCTTTGAGATCTGGCCCGCCACTGCAGCGGCCGTCGCTGCCGATCTGCCGTGTCCGCGGTGTGATGTGTGTCTCCAGAGGACGACAGGTTCGACGGCGCGGTCGGCCGCGATGTTCCGCAATCAACCACCCGTGAACCTGACAGCGCCGCCGCCTGCTGAGTCGAGCCAATGTGATGCCGATCCTCTGGCGGGATGTAGTCTTCGACGACGAATCTTTGCGCGTGCTGCTGAGGCCCGACTCCGCCACAGTCCGCCGGCGCGGCCGGTTTCGCGATCGCTCTACTGCGGGGATGGGAAGGGAGGTTGCCAAAGAGGGCGTCACCGTCGGCAGGGATCCAGATGGTGTCGTTGGCGTCGCCTATACCTCCGGGTGGCGAGAAAGCTTCAGGATTTGGGGATGAGTAGAGCTCAAACTTGAGATGGTAGTGATACGAAGTCATAGCCCTTGTGTCGCTATGAGCAGCTTAGTTTTCGTGTCGGCCGTTCGTTTGGTAAGAGTCAACGGACAAGGACCTGAGAGCCTTCGTCTTGGGGCCCGCTCAACATCAATCGGGTTGGGGCAAAATTAGCGGCGCTGTTCGTGGCCCCCAAGACAGCGAAGAAGGAGCAGTTTCCCCACGTGCTGGAGACAGCTCCTCGACTTGGGGACCGATCGTACAGGCCATCCGATCCGGCATGATGCTGCCAACGGGAATAGCGACGTTGCACACCAAAAGGAGAAGGCAGGTGGGAGGGAGGGGTCGTGAAAAAAGCATGCAGATAATGAAAGAAGAACGAGCTGCTTAACCCCACCGTACTACATGTTTGCACTCCGCCCAGGCTCCACATGCATCGTGGCAGTGATGTCAGCCGTGTCAAGGTTTCCGATATCGCCAAAATCGGCAAACGACAAACAAAGATGAGGCGCTGACCGATTGTATTCACACTACTCAAGACCTCTAAAAAAAATATTTAGAGGCTTCACGGCGCTCCTGGGATGTTCACATGCGCATGGTAAAGATAAGAGCAGACTGCACTCAGAGTCTATTGTGATGGCTTCCACGCCCCGTGATGTCCGAGACGGCAGAACTATGGAGATCCGACGAGTTCCAAACACCCGGCCATCCTGTTCATTACTGACCAAACCCGTAAAACGCCGATCCATATGTCATTCCAGTTCACGTATCGATTCGAGCTCTGCCACCTCACTGGCCACCACGGAGGCGCAGCACCAGGTGGAGAGTCGACTCCTTCTGGATGTTGTAGTCCGACAGTGTGCGGCCATCCTCCAGCTGCTTGCCCGCGAAAATCAGGCGCTGCTGGTCCGGAGGGATACCCTCCTTGTCCTGGATCTTGCTCTTCACGTTATCAATCGTGTCCGACGATTCAACTTCGAGCGTGATGGTTTTTCCGGTCAAGGTCTTCACGAAAATCTGCATGCCACCGCGCAGACGAAGCACCAGGTGGAGGGTGCTCTCCTTCTGGATGTTGTAATCTGACAGGGTGCGGCCATCCTCCAGCTGCTTGCCCGCAAAGATCAAGCGCTGCTGGTCCGGGGGAATGCCCTCCTTGTCCTGAATCTTGCTCTTGACGTTGTCGATCGTGTCGGAAGACTCGACTTCCAGCGTGATGGTTTTGCCGGTGAGTGTCTTGACGAAGATCTGCATGCCACCGCGGAGGCGGAGGACGAGGTGCAGCGTCGACTCTTTTTGGATGTTGTAGTCGGAAAGAGTCCGACCGTCCTCGAGCTGCTTTCCAGCGAAGATCAGGCGCTGCTGGTCGGGCGGAATGCCCTCCTTATCCTGAATCTTCGACTTGACATTGTCGATGGTGTCGGAGGACTCGACCTCCAAGGTGATCGTCTTGCCCGTGAGGGTCTTGACGAAGATCTGCATACCGCCACGGAGGCGGAGGACGAGGTGCAGCGTCGACTCTTTTTGGATGTTGTAGTCCGAGAGGGTCCGGCCGTCTTCAAGTTGCTTTCCAGCAAAGATGAGACGCTGCTGGTCGGGCGGGATTCCCTCCTTGTCCTGGATCTTCGACTTCACGTTGTCGATGGTGTCGGAAGACTCCACCTCGAGGGTGATGGTCTTGCCCGTCACTGTGGTGCAAGAGACGTACTGTCAGTAAACTGTGTCGCTCAAAGACTAGATGGTCGAGTGCGAGTGGCGAGCGGACTTACGAGTCTTGACGAAGATCTGCATGATGACGGTGGTTGGGTTGTTGATGGCAGTAATTGATGGTGTAGGAGGTGAAGGAAGATGCGACCAACGCAGTTGGTCAGATGGCGTACCAAAAGCAGATGCAGATGGCAGTCGGGGTATCGTGGGAGGGTGAGAGTGGAAGAAGTCGGGGAGCGGTCGGGAGGAGTCGTGGCAGGTTTAAATACGGGAGCTGACTGGGAGTGGAAGGACGTGGAAGGCCAACAGGCGGGCGAGGGGGATCCAATAGAGGGGCAAGGGAGCCTGGCCGCCCGGCGTGGCTGTGAGTGCGTGCGAGGAAAGAGGCAACGCCCAGCGCTGCGGCGTGACCCTGCCGTCTCGGACCATTGAATGGGTGATTCATCAGCGATAGCAAGCGCGTTCCAGAACCGGCTAGCAACCCTGCAGGCCAAGCAGATAAGGAAGTCGCCAGGACTTTTGCTGCCTGCGTTTCTGACCGTCACAATGTGTACTCGATACACCCACGGCCGCGTGGATCAAGCGCCAGCCCACATGGGCGGCCCCACCCCAGCTCTGCCTGGTGACCCCCAGCCACAGGTTGGGACGAGGAGTGCCCAACCAGGAAACAGCGGAGAGCGGCCACCATGATTCCAGTCCAGATCTGCCTCAGCTGAGGGCAACAGCCTTGATTGCATATTTGTTTACTTCTTTGTATTGTTAACTCGTCACGTCCATGCTGAATATCTTCGAGACGCTCTCAGAATGGCTCCTTTGGCCAGGACGAGACGCTTCGGCTCACGCAGACCTCACCACGCTGAAGTCGGAACGTGGGAAGCTTGGCGACCGAGCTTGGGAAACGGTCAGTCTGTTCCGACAAAATCGATCAGCCATAAAGGATACAGAACCTATGGAGAACCCCCTCGTAAAAAAGAATGATGATTTCCCAAGAGAGAGAAGAGAGCGCTTCCAAGCGAGGCTCACGAGAAGCGCCTCCCAAGCTCAGCGCCGTCGACGTCGATGAGCCAGGTTGCCCTGGCCTCTGCGGCTGGCAACTCCGCATAATGACCAAATTCCCCCGCCGCGCGCCCCAACTTACCCCTGTCAATCGCTCCACAGTGAGCACTTTGCCTGCCAAGTGTGGACTCTGCCTCGGATCCTGCCTGAGCTGCCACGCCCCAAATCAACCCATGGACTCGAATAACTGGACAGCAAAAAGAATACGGAAGATGGGAGCAGGTCAGTCAGGGAGAGCAACAGTAAGTAGAGGATGGGGAAGCAACAGAAAATGGTACGGAAACAGGTTAAGCAACGACGACTCCAATCAGCGTTCCTGTTTGGCCACTGAGCCACGGAGGTCGAGGCCTTCTTGCCTCGCATCAGGACATGTTTACCATCACTAGAATCTTCTACCATGAGGATAATGAACTACGAGAGCCCTGGGCCATTGTAGAGATACGTTCGACTTTGCTACCGAACCGCGCCCCCAAACAAAAGTCTGTATTCCTTGAAATGATGAGAAAGAGGATAATGAAGAGGGGTGGCAATGGATTCCCAACCCTTATTATTAGACGTGCAGATTCTTATTTGGACTTTACGACGAGCCTTTCCAGAGCCGGATACGCTGTTCATGCTGTTTGTGCATTCGGGTTCAACTACTATCATATCAGCTCAACTCTGAACACAGGTTGCGAGACCGGCGGAAGTCCCACGATAAACACAAACAGGTTAACCGGGGCAGCCCTGGGTCGGGGGCAGCTGACGACGTCATCCAGCACATGCCCCCTAGTGGGTGGGTGTGATGGCGGGCTGGCAAGCAGGGAAGGCAACAACACAACGACCAATTCCTCCGGGCCTCAACTCCCTTTCCCTCTCCCTCAACCAGACGCCGAACCGCCGAGAGCCTAACTCGACCTAACCATCGAGGAGGGTATATATATATATATATATGTGTGTGTGTGTGTGTGTGGCGGGCAGAGTAATCACGCCGCCCGTCGATACCAGTTCCCGTAGCCTGCCTGCTTCCACCCGATAGCAGGGTAGACAAAGGCAGACCGCAACTGCGGCGATGAGCTACTAGAAAACAAATAATAATCATAAGTCGATTAAAAAAAAAAAAAAACTTCCCGGTCCGCAAGACACCGCAACTGTCCCGCCCATCATCGAATGTCTCGCCCCGGGGGGACCCAGGTCACTGCAGATGGGAGGTAGGCAGGGTGCCGTCTGGCCAGAAAGACAAGTGCGGGCAGTCCCCCCGTTTTGACACGACATCACCGCCTCGATGCAATGCGACGCGAAAAGGGGAGGGGGCAAACCATGCCAGACCGGGGGGAGAGAGGGATACACACCGCTAGAAAAAGTGGGTGGGAGGGAGTGCGCTTTTCTGACCACCACCCGCCCCATCCGTCGATGCTCGTTGGCGGTCGCGACAGTGCGCCCCGTCGCTGGATGCTGCTGACAGGGGAACAGACATTGCAAGTGGGCGTTTGTCAAAAACTCGTCACTCTCTCTCATTTTGGTTAAAAAAAATCTCAACGTCTTGGTGGGTGAGTAGGGCGTGATGGGATGGCTTGTCACACTGCTGCTACTACTACTGCTCCCATGTTGTGTCTGGAACGTGCGGTGAAGGCCGCACCACATGGAGATGCACATGGAAAGGGTTTGACATCAGCTCAAAAAGGAGGAAGCGAAAAAAAAAAAAATCAACCTTGGATTTGTGCTAGGCAACGATCTTTTCTTTTGTCTTGTCTCTCTAGTGCTCAAGAAAATGGGCGGCCGGATCTGGCTCCTCCGAGTGATCAGAGAGACGCCCGTCCTTTTTAATATCCAAGATGCAACCAAAGAAATAAAAAAGACCGCCAAGGTAACCTGCTGCCGTCTGGAGGGGCAGTACACAGGAAACAGTAAAACACCGCAGTATCCTCTCGTGCTTTGTCATGACAAGACCGTATCGTCAGGGTCATCATCAAAACGCCAGATCCAATGCTCGCATATATCTATATGCTTTCTGTCCTTATTCCGCTTAACTTGCAGTGTCTCGTGAATACGAAAAAACGTAGGCAAAGGGGCAAAAATAAACCATACTAAACCGTCATCCCGGAAGTCCGTGTCCTCTTGCGGCACCGGTGTCATCAGGTAGGTTGCGCCCTAGGGGCAAAGCGAGCGACAAAGGAAAAAGAAAGCAAAACGGAAACATGATCAAACTAGATGGAAAAAAACGCAGTGAGGAAAAGAAGAGCAGATATCCAAACCCAGTCATACAATTCATATGAGAAATAGGATCATCAAACTTGTGGACGATAAAGCAAAGAGTGAGGTCGTGAAGTGCTCCGGGCGCGAGGCCGTCATAAGTATCGTTTTTTTTTAGCGTGTCGTCGCGATGCTTCGTTTGGTTCCGGGGACCAGCCGTGAGTGAGTGCGTCGAAATCGTGGGCAGTTAAAAGATATCGAGGTCGAAGTGGAGGGAGGAACGCCGTCGCTGAATGGACCAAGACATGTGACAAAGGAAAGGTCGACAAAGGAAACAAGTGTTCATAAAAAAAAAGAGAGACTTGCTCATGAAGCAGGTCCTTGCCTTGAAGAATCGAAGACAACACTGATATCGGGCCGATCAAGGCCAAACCGCAGACGTCCGCATTGGCGTTTCCCGCATTAGCGAAGTCGTCGGGGTTGGGAGATGAGTCTTAGTTGGCGCGGATGACCAGCTTTGACAGGAACTTGTTGGATAGCGAGTCAAAGTCGTAGCGGTCAAACTTGGCGTCCTGGCGGGTCCGCAGGTAGGCCTCTGTAGTACATATCAGCGGTCGGATCAGGGCAGGAGACAAAATGGGCCCAGGAGTCGGGGGGTTATTCTTACCGTGCTTGATAACGTGTTGGCGCACTTCGGTCATGGCCTCGCAGACGGCCGGGTTGTTGTTCAGGAGCTGGCCGTGACGGCGCGTGTCCCAGTCGGTAAAGGCAGGGAGCTTCTGCGAGATGGCGTGGAAGAGACCAACAATGACACCGACGGGCATCGACTCCATGTCGTTGCAGAACTTGTCGACGGCGATGGGGTCGGGGATGCGGTAGTGGCAGTCGAACTGCATCTCCTCCCAGACGCACAGGAGGATGGCGGCCAGCATGAAGATGGTGGGCCAGTTCTTGAGGCGGTCGCCGCTGTAGACGCTCGAGTACAGCGCCGAGAGCTCCTCGAGGATGTCCTTCTGAAGCTCACGCCACATGTCGGCCATGGCACACTTGATCTGGAAGTTGATCATGACGGGAGCGACGACCTTGCCAAAGTACTTGGAGTCCTCGTCGTCGATCTGGCCCTCGGCCATGTTCTCGGAGCCCTGCTGCTCGACGAGGGTGATGTGCAGCGTCAGGTTGTAGGCCAGCACCAGCTTGAGGGCCTTGCGGATCACGGGCGACTTCTCCTTGACGTAAAAGCGGTGAGCGGTTTTGAGGATCTCGCTGATAAAGGGAGTGCCGTCAAAGTGGTCGTCAACAAAGCTCTCCCACGACTGGTCGATGTGCTTGTCGAGGTACTCGTCGAGCGCGTCGATGCGGATGCCCTCCTGGCCGACGTCGAGGCGCTCGGTGCGGATCTCGAAGTCGATGGGCTCCTGGTCAGTCAGGTGAGACTCGACCCAGTCGACATGGAAGCAGCTGTCGTCGGCCACGAAGACCTCGCGGACCATGACGGGCAGGCAGTAGCCGTAGCCGTGAGTGATCCACATGAGCGTCTCCTTCTGCGAGAAGCCCTTGACGTTGTAGACCGAGACGCCACGGTCGAGGTGGCGCTCGTAGTCGGCCTTCCAGTCCTTCATGAAGTAGTTGACGTCCTTGATGTCGATGCGCGTGCACGGCACCTGCCAAAGGCGGGCGTGCGAGGGCTTGCAGCCAGCGCACGGCTCGCCCTTGTCGCAAGTCTTCTTGAGGAACTTGCAGCGGAGGCAGGCGCGGAGCTTCCTGATCTCGCTGGCCTGCTTCCTCTGGTCGGGACGGAGGGGACCCTTACGGCGGCCAACCTTCTTCTCACCCGTGGCGACCTCCTTGCCGGTCGAGGTCCGGCGAATGACGGACTTGGTCGGCTTGGCGATGGGGCTCTTGCGAGGGCCCGAGGTGCGGCGCGCAGGAGGCGAGGCCGACGAGGAGCTGGCACCGGCACCGGAGCCGCTGGCCTGGGCGGGCCTACTTGCCGGCGCGGCAGCCTTGATGGGCATGGGGCCCACGGCGGCCGCGGGGCTGATGATCTCGGTAGGCGCAGTTTGGTGGTGGTGATGGTGCTGGTGCTGGTGCTGGTGCTGGTGCTGGTGGCCATCGCCATGGAAGCAGCCGCGATGGGCAGCCGTCGTGTCCAGAGTGTCCGACTCGGGCGAAAAGGGTGAGTACGGGAAGTTGACCTCCTCGTAGCTACCAAACTCGAGCGAGCTGTTTCCAAAATCGAGAGAGTTGCCGCCATCCGAGTTGGACGAATCCGAGTTGGTCCTCAAGTGCAGGGTCTGGCCGGGGTTGAAGATGGCCGTGCTCTGCACCTGCTGCTGGAAAGCCGCGGCGGTCTCGTAGGCTGGGAAGTCCACGGTGGCCCAGCCATTGTCGCTGCCCGACCCAAGCGAGAGAACCTCGAGGTACGAGTTCGTGGGCGAGTGGCTGCCCAGGCTGCCCACGCGGGGCAGGCCGTCGGCCTGCGCGTATGTCAAGGCAGTCGCGCCAAAGTCCTGCCAGTTGGCCATGCCCAGACTCCACTGCATGGCCTGCTGCTGGGCGCTATCGTCGACGGGCGATATGCTGTTGAACGTCGGCTCCAGCTGGATGGCCGTGTCGAGGGTCGCCGTGGTGGTGGCGGGCAGGTACTCGATCGCATGAGGGAAGTTGGTCTGCACGAACGGGTTGAAGCTCATCATGGCGGCCGCCGTGTTGTCCTGGTACAGCTGCAGGTCCTGGGGAACCTGGGTCTGCTGCGACTGGACTTGTTGCTGCTGCTGTTGCTGCTGGAGGGCCCAGTCAGTCAGGAGCGGGTGGGCGGCGGTCTGGTACGGCGAGAGCTGGTGCTGCAGCGGACTTGAGGCGGCGGAGCTGTGGTGGCCCGGCGAGGGCGCCTGTGGCGAGTCCTCGGGCGACGAGACCGAGTGGCTCTGTGAGGTGGGCGAGTGGGTGCCGGCGACGGCGGCCACCGGGGCTGTCATGTCAAACGAGACCTGCCATGAGACGCCAGGGCTCTGGCGATTTGACTGTGACACGGGCGACATTGTGATGGGCGACGCGGTCGTGAGGGCGGAGGAGGCGGCCGCGGAGGTCGTGTACTGCTGGTAGTTGTCGCGAGGGTCGTAGGCGAGCTGTTCTAACAAGACGACCTCTCCTCCGGCGGCGGTGCTGAAGTCGAAGGACATTCTGAACGGGGGGACCAGGCTTTTCTCGCGGGTCGAGGAGTTTGATAGTATTGTATCGGAATGGACCTGGACACCGCTCTTTCTGTCGGGATCTCGAGCGAGATCAGGGGCAGGTTTGGGCGAGGGTCAGGACTGATGTTGGGGGAAAAGAGGAGGTCGAGGCCAAGGGGCTTCAGAAATCGGTTAGTGAGCGCCCCGTCGTGGAAGCACTGGCGCACACTGGCTGGCTGGCACACACACACACACACAGTCCGGCACGGCGACGGACGGCGTGGAGGACGAGGACCAAAGGAGGGGAGGAGTGGGCGAGGGCCGCGGGACAAGACGTTTGTCCCCATGGGACGCAGCGGTCCCGCCCTCGTAGGCGTGCTCCGAGGAAGAAGCGGTGAGCACGCATCTGCTGGCTCGCCAGCCCCCGGCACAACGTGCTGCAGCTACACCCGCCCAATCAGCGCCGCCGCCAGCCTGCAAGACCATGGAGCACAACCGGCGGCGGGGGGGCCCGCTGGCCAATCAGGGCCTCCGGCTAAAAAACGCATGTTGTCAAGTGGCCACAGGCTTGGCCTGGGAGCTCGCACTGTCCCGGATACATGTCAGCCACCCCGCTGGCTCCCCCCTTTCCTGCCCGGGCCAAAAAGGCCTCCAGGGCCACGATTAATTGACGGACGGGACGAGGTTTTGGTGGGCACGCCTACAAAGTGGCACCCGTCGCCAGCGTTAACCGCGGTAGCATGCCTGGCCAGATCGCCGGGAAGAGCCTGGCGAGAGAGGCATTGTTGCGGCGCCGGGGCTGGGAGACTGTCTGATGGACTGATGGACCAAATTTCCGAGGTCGCCTGTGGCCTCTTGAGCTGCTGGGTTGTCGGCTCGACTCAATTGTTGAGCCGAGCCCTCGAGGGGCTGGAGACCAGCGACTGGAGGCTGGTGGTCTGGGGCTAAACGCCGAGGACCCTGGTCAGGGCACGGATGGCGTATAAGATCTGCTCTGGGAGTGACGCCAAAACTGACGACGACGGAGCGAAACCCCTCCACGGCTCGACCATCAACCATGGGTTCCTAGGGATTTGCAGTGCCAAGGGCGAGTAGAGAGACTCCATCAATGAACCCTTAATGTGCAGAGGCGTCGTTGTCTGGTCACCTAGCCACCTAGCGCCCAGCGCCTTTCACGGCGAGCACTTCCCCGGGGACTCTCCCCACCGGCTCCATTGCCGTGCGTCGACAGCAAGCAGTTTTGCTTCGCCACTCTGGACCACAGGACACCACGGCCGGACGGCTTTTCTCACTGGCTGCGCCGTCTGGGGACACATCAATACCGGTTACGGACTTGAATCAATGTTGTGCCACGTCGTGGGCGGCTTGATATGATATGGCCGGGGCCACCTGTGTGGGAGCGTCAGCAGAGACCCTGCTGCTCGCTGTGCGGTTGCGTCTTCACAATGCCAATATTGCAAGCCGGCATCCCTACCTGAGTCTAAGGGAGGGTCGGCAACGCAACGGCACAATCAAAGTCAATCCATTGACTCCATCCAGCCCACCCCGCGCCGTGACGGATGGCCCGGCGGCAAAGCCGTTTGCCATGTGCTTGTTGGGCGTTATGTTTTGTTCATCTTTTGCTCATGTCTGATTTCTGACAATGTAGTCAATTGCCTGTGCGACCCGCGTGTTTGTTGATCTTCAGCTTGTCTCACTTTGGATGCATCCATCAAACACATCAGAATCAGACGAACAGACGCAGTTAAGGTCCCTAGGTGCAGCTTCGCCCAAACACTCGCCCCGGGTCGGCTGACGTTCTCTCCAACCCTCACTGCCGGGGGGCGAAACTGCGCAAACGCACAACCCAACCAGCGTGCCAGCGTGCCAGGGACGCATCAGTGGCAGCATAATGCACGCACGCACGAACGCACGCACGCACGCACGCACGCACGCACAGGGCGGCAGAAGTCCCTGCACAGTAGGATAAGGAATACTCCGACTATCCCACGCCCGGCATCCAGTGTGGTTGCGCTCGGTTCAATCTCGAGACTCCTCCTGGAGGGTCCAGTGGTGGGACGCCAACCATCCAACCAGCTGCGCTAGCTCGCCGGCTGGTCCTAGCTTACCCACCCGCCCACCTCTGAACCCACTCTTGCCTGCCCGGCTTGCTTGTTGCAGCACCCAAGCTGATGTTTCCCCACGTAGCCCTCCTCAATATGCCGTGGCTGCGTGCCAAAACATGGCTGGAACCTCCCACCTTTGCCAGGTCCGTGCAACTGGAGGGGAAAGCTCAGCTGATAGGAGCGGGATAGGCTGAAAAGGGATAGCAGAAATCCTGGGCCAAGCTAGCTGGCGGCCCAGTCTTCTTGAAAGGGGAATAAGAGGCTTAAAAGGAAAGCGTGTGTCCGTCTCCTTGGCTGTTTGACTGAGGCGCGATTTAAAAAGGCCGTCTAGATCCATGCAACCGCGTTCCCGTCGCCTCTAGTGTTTTGGTTCGTGGCTCCCAGGCTTCCAGGTTTGCGCAGACCCATGATGGCGGCCGGGGTTTTGCCCTATTCAGCCAGCCGCTCGTCTCGGAAACGCCTAAACGCCATCGTAGCATGAGGATTTCCCGGCTGCCCCTGTTTGTTGTTGGCCTCGCTGGCTTACCTTACCCGCTCGCCTGCTCGTTCCATCTTCCGATCCTCCTCGACCCTGGCCCTCTTCGCTGGCCCTTCTTTCCTTTTGCCGTCCGCCTGAGGCGGTCAAAGCTCCGGAGAGGGCTTGGTTGGCTGCATTGGCCATCAAACCATTGGAAAATCGACGAAACGCCCGCGGGGCCGAAGCGGGGCCTAGCCAAAAGCTTGCATCTTGACCGCCGTTACGGAGTATTTCGAGAACAAAAAAAAAAACCAAGACGAACTCGTTCCACATCAATTCCTATGCACGATCCACATACGCGCGCATCGCCACTGCCCCCCTCACTCTCCTCGCCAGCGATGGCGCCGGCCAGCAAGGCCGCATCCCTGTCTAGCTCATGCCCTTACCAGTTGCGACACATCCAGACGTGCAGGGCAAGGGCAAGGTCGCTGCTGGACCGAACGCTGCTGCTGCGAGGTTCATCCCCGTTGCTTGCATCGATTCCGAGGCGGATGGTCGGCGGGAAGCTGTGATAGGCAAAGATGCCGACGCCTGCGTCCCTTGCCGTCCCCTCTCATCTCGCCGGTTTGGAACGAAAGAGGAGAGGGCGGCAATGGCTCGGCCAGAGAAGGCAGAGGCGGAGCATCGGGCGCGGGCTTGCTAGGGCCGGCAGGGCGCTGTCCCATATCGCTGCCTGTCTTGGGTCGGTTAGACTTTGTTACTGCGCGCTATTATTGCGTGTGCACATGTTTTTTTTCCTGCGTCAGGACAGGAATGGAACGAGGCTTTGCAGTAGATCCTGCAGCCTGAGAGGATCGCAGCCGAGAGCAAGGTACCTGGCCGGACAACGGTAGCCTCTGGCGCCAGCCAGCAGCAAGTGCTGGTCATGGTATGGTATAGCGCGGCGCAATGCTCCGATGAGACGACTGTCACTCCCGGACAAGCGACTCTGCACCTCTGTGTTTGTTGTTGAGCAATCATGGCCAGACTCCGTGATTGGCTCTCTCCAAACGACCAACACGAGCATGCGCAAGCTTGGCCCCTTTCTGTCCGGCAGTGGGATGTCCTCTAGTTGGGCACATGATATTTTTGGAAATGCTTTTGGAAATGTTTTTGGAAATGGTCCCGGCTTTCGTCTCCCAGCCCAAAACGCCAGTCCGTCCCATCGCCGGTTGGCGTGAGCGGCAAAAAGCGTAGCGATCGGGTGACACTACTGCACGTACTTCGTTGCCACTTGGGGCGCTTGAAGTTCAGACCGGGTCTCGCCATCGCAAAGTCACCTCGTGATAAAATTGGCAGTTGGGCGATGAGAGGCGTATCCATCAAGAGCTAGGAGCCGAGGCAGTGGCATCTGACAAGAGTCAGAGCAGGCGCACTGCAAGGGAGATCTGCCTCGGATTTACGGTCATGGCTGGATCCTTGCAAGGGATGGAAAGCTCAGACCAAAAGTCGCCTGGTGGCAGTGGCTTCTGGTGGCTTCTGGTGGCTTGTAGCTGTAGCTCCACAGGAGACTTGGTCAAAACTTGTCTCTCATCTTGGCTTGGCACCCATCTTGACTTTGATCGGGTTCAGCAGCACATAGGCTGCCAGGGAATGCATGTGCTTAAGACGATGTCATATTCGCGATAGGTTGAGATGGCAGAAGGGAAGGCCTCCAGCTAGGTGCGAGGTGCGGCTCAAGTGACTGTGGTTTTTAGCCGAAGATGATCCGAATGACTTCAGCAGGCAATCGTAGGACGTAACAAAGACGTGCGCTGGAAACGGCGCTGGACGACATTGAAGACGGCGACACGGCTGCGCAACGGCTGTAAAGGGCAGGAATACAGGGGCGTGAGCGAATGGCACAGCAGGAACAATAGCAAGCACAGGCAGAGTCTTGGTTGCGATTGTGGTTGCGATTGTGCCGCCGCACCCGGCTCGGCTGGCATTTTGAGCACGCCGACGGCAGAGATGGGCATCGACGTCCATTTCCACCTGACATGAGCTCCCAAACAAAGAGCCTCCGCCGCCGGATCAGATTCATAAGAACGACCCCGCGGACTGCGGCTTCCCCTGCACCGGGAGCGTGTGGACGAGCGAACGGCAGTTCTCAGGCCAAGGCTAAGGCTAAGGCTAAGGCCAAGACTGAGACCGAGACCGAGACTGGGACTATCGCTGCCACTGCCGCATTGGCCACCGAGACCCCAGCCGTGCCAGAGCCCGACCGGGCCGACGACAACGAGGCTGCCCGCACCGGGCACCCACAAGGCGCCATGATCCCCGACCTCTTCGCCGGCCTGCCGCCGGTCGCCGACGACCTGCGCACCAGCACGTCGACGACGCAGGAGCAGACGGCGCAGATGTGCATGCTGTACCTCTCGGCCGCGAGCAACGCCGACCTGGACCACAACGGGCACGGCGTGCCGCGCCTGGACCGCGACCGCCACGTGCGCTTCCTGCACAAGACGGTCGGCCGCCTGCCCGCGCCCTTCGTGGCCGCCGACGCCAGCCGCCCCTGGTTCCTGTACTGGTCCCTCAACGCCCTGGCCCTGCTGGGCGAGGACGTGTCCGGGGCCTACGCCGACCGCGTGGCCGCCACGGCGCGCTCCATGCAGAACCCGGGCGGCGGCTTCGGCGGCGGCCACGACCAGACCTCCCACCTGGCCACCACGTACGCCACCGTCCTCGCCCTCGCCCTCGTCGGTATCCCCGATGCCCTGGCCGTAATTGACAGGAGGGCCATGTGGAAGTGGCTGTGCTCTCTCAAGCAGGCCGACGGCGGCTTCCGCATGTCCGTCGGCGGAGAGGAGGATGTCAGGTGAGTCGTGCCGGACCCTAGACCATTTTTGCTTTCCTGGCCCCTCTCCCCAAGCACTCGCTACCCGTCGGCCAGCGCCGAAAGGTGTCTAGAAGGCGAGGCGGGGAGTAGTGGGAAAGGGGCGCGCGGCTTTCTCCTCAGTAAAGGCTCGTTTGTACCTGACAATCGGATCAAACCCATCCTTGTGGGCTCCACGTCACTCAGGGGCGCGTACTGTGCTGCCGTGGTCATCACGCTGTTGAACTTGCCGCTCGACCTGTCGCAAGATTCCGAAGCCTATGCGCGCGACCCTGGCGCGAACCTGTTCACCAACCTAGGAGACTACGTTCGACGATGTAAGTCGGCTTTCCCCGACGACGAGACTGGCTTTTTTTTTCTTTGTTCCTTCTATTTGCCCCACGCGCGGTGCGGTGGCCTTGGTCTCGCTGCTGTTGCCACTGCCTAGTCTGCGTTCTAGACAAAGCCTAGATTTGACTGTTGCTAACAAACGTACCATCTCACCGACATCGGCTACTAGGCCAAACTTTTGAAGGCGGCATATCGGGCCAGCCGGATGCAGAGGCGCACGGGGCGTATGCGTTCTGTGCACTGGGTTGCCTGTCCCTCCTTGGTTCTCCAGACGAGATGATCTCGAAGTGAGTCCGTCCCCGTGCAGAAGTCAAGCCCTCATTCCGTCTGCCGCTCCTCTCCTCTCCACATAGGTGAACTTGTCACCTTGTCTATGCATGGCGGGACTGACAGCTCGCTCGTTTTGCCACCTCCGTCTCGCTGTTTTCGCCGCCCCATCGACAGATACCTCAATGTTCCACGACTCATATCGTGGCTCTCCTCGCGCCAGTATGCCCCAGAGGGCGGATTCTCTGGTCGCACCAATAAGCTCGTGGATGGGTGTTACAGCCACTGGGTGGGAGGCTGCTGGCCGCTGATCGAGGCCTGCCTCAAGGGGCCCATCGACGCCTCCACCGCCGCCTCTGCCACGCCCGAATCCATGTTCAGCCGGGAGGGCCTCATACGCTATATACTCTGTTGCTGCCAGGACCTGAAGCGCGGCGGCTTGCGTGACAAGCCTGGAAAGTAAGTGCTACATCTTCCCTCCTTTCGGTTCATATATGTGATGGCGGGGGACAAAGATGCAAAAAGAGAAACAACGGGCGAACACTGTCTATCATTGCAGGTCTGACAGTATTCGCCGATTCCAAAACAGGTCGCCTGACGCGTACCACTCATGTTACGTCCTGGCGGGCCTGAGCTCTGCAGAAAACAGATGGCAGCTGATATCGCCCGATCCGACGTCGGCGGTGGGCGGCGGCGGCGGCGGCGGCGGCGGCGATGGCGATGGCGACGTGGCACTGGAGGCGGCGGCGCCCCGCTGGGTGGTCTCGCCCTACCAGGATGAGGTGCAGGTGTTCGACGAGGGCGACCGCGTCGCGCCCGTCCACCCGCTCTACGTTATCCCGGAGGACAAGGTCGCCTCGGCGCAGGCCTACTTCGCGGCTCTGGTTGGGTTCTAGGGCCGGCGCCTAGGTAGATAAGCCAGGGCGTTCCGGTGGGAAAAAGAAAAGGGGGGTGGGTAAGATAGGAAACATTGCACCGGCGGGAAGCTGCATCGACGTCGACACACCGCTTCGAGGCTTTTTTTTTTTTTTTCTCAGTTGTCTCCACGCGCTTGGTCTATTTTTTACTTTTCTCCTTTTTTCTCTTTGCCTTCCATCCTATCATTCCAAGTGCCACGACGTACAGCATGGCCGATGGGGAAGTTGTGCTCTCATGTATAATATATCTGAAGCGCACCTGCCACGCCCCCTTTTTGTCAGGAATGTGACAGATACGGAAACTCGAGAGGCGCCGCAGTACCTGGGCCGGCAAGCACTTCTACTTTCTTTGTAGCGTGTATGCTTCGTAGCTATAGCGGCTTATGAGGTGGCTCATGTCGTTGCGATTGCGTCCCATCCATCCAGTAAGGGAAATGCGGGACTCTCCCCAGTATTAGTAGCCTGGTTTAGTCCTAGAGGATACATATTCCGGCGTGACGTGTGCGTGCGTGCGAGTGTGTGAGCATTCCGTCCTTGTCTCAGATGAATGTCTCGGAGCCTACTGCGATACTGCCCGCCATTCGTTCGGCCCGCTTGCGCCTCTGTTACCCCTCCCAAGGGCCATATGGGTGGGTGACAGCAAGTGTGGGAGGGATGGGGTCGCCGTTGACAAAGCCGTCGGGGCGGTGCTTTCGTTTGCTGCATACCTACCACGCACAACGGGGAGGGGACACGGACACACGGGCGGACGACATGCAGATGGCAGATCACCGGGAGGATGGGGCGAACACGTACATACATACGAGCGGACGCCTGCTAGACGACAGACAGCGTGTGGGAGTGTGTGTGTGCACTAAATGGTTCGCCCGGTCAGAGAGGCGAGGCTCTGAGGGCAAGCGTCCTGGAGACACTGGTTCTTGACTGTATTTGGCAATTTCCCATCTTCCCGCACGCCCCCCATACCGCTAGTTCTTCTGCCGTTTAGGCGGTCCCCTAGAAAGAAAGCCAAGCGCCTCAGGGAAAAGAAAAACACGGGAGGAGCTGCCGGCGACGGCGTTAGCAGCTAGACAGTAAAGGGAATCCCGGACCCAAGTCACCCCTGGCGGTAGGCCGGAAGGCTTCCTTGCTTGCTTTGCTGCTGGCGTCGAGTCCCCTCCCCGACCCGCCACCCCTCCTTTCCCAAGAAATAGCGAGATAGCCAACGCATCAACCAGGCTATCAACTCGGCATGCATGACATGGGAGCGGACGAGCAGGTGGGTTGGTGGTGGTGGTGGTGGGGGAGAGGGAGGGTTGGGCTGATCGTTATGCACGACCGCACGCACTGTAGTATCTAGTGTAATATTTGAGGGCGAATCTGGAGGGAGAGGGAGAGAGAAAAAAAAAGAGAGAGGAGGCATGTGGTGTGGCCATTACGAGCGCATGTGCGCGCCGCGCGCAAAGCTCGGGGCCCTCTCGCTCTCTCTCTCGCTCTCTCTCTCGCTCTCTCTCACTTGTGTCATGCTGCGTCCGGACGGATCAGGGTCGTGGGGTGGCGGCGGCCACGCCATCCTGTCACTCTGCATCCCCTCCTCCCTCTCTCGCCTTTTCTTGCCTCCGTCGTGCTCCTGCATCTGGCCGTATGCCGTCCTGGGCGCCGGGAGGGGGAGGGACGGGGACTTTGCGTGATGTGGTGGGCTCTCCTGACCTCCTTTCTCCATGTATCTTGCACCTACTCTGCTGCAGTGGTACCCCTGGGTACATCCCGGGCAGGGTAGTCTCCTTCTGGGTTGTGTATATGGGACATGCGCCTTGGCTTTAGGCCTTGGATTCCACTATCGCCCACGTCCCGTGTTATCCCCATGCAGGTCTGGTGGTCGAGGCCTGGGCCAGGTGCTACCGACAGGGAAGAGCACACACCCACCCCCTCGCAACTTTGATACGGACCAGAAAAAAAGACCACGGCAACCTGTTTACGGTGACATAACAGGAGGAAGTAAGTTCATGGGAGCAAGGGTCCGAGGAGAGCAAAAGTGACGCAAACGAACAAGAAATCTCGGCGATATCGACACTCTTTCCTGTCGGCCGCCAGACTCGGCCAACGCGCCGGGTGGCTGCGCGAAGGGGACATATGACTCCCCCTTAAGGGGTCTCCCCGAAAGCGGCCGGCATAACAAAACAACAAAACAAAAGAACGAGATGGTGGGCGCGGGATGCAAGGTAAGGTAAGAAACAGAAAGAGAAAAAAAAAGAGGCTAGTCATCTTCCATGTGCATATGCGCTGGCCGCCAGAATGGGCCTCGCCTGCGGGGAGGGAGGCGCGAGTACCGGTGGCGAAGATATCAGATGATAACCCCAAAGCGGTCGCCCTCTAGCCCGGCAGGATGCGGGCGAGGGAGAGCTCCATAGTCCGAGGGGGGGAAGGGAAAAAACAAAAGAGAAGAGGCCCGAATGGGTTGCATGGCGGCGCATCGATGTGCGTCGAGGAGATGGACACAGCTGAGCTGGTGCTGTTGTGCGATGCATCACCAAGCTACCACTACCTACTGCCGCCTCTTCTTGCCTGATGCTTTCTTCTTCTTCTTTATTAGTCCCTTTTCTAGAGCGTCTACCTTGCTTTCCCGTCCATTCACGATCGTCCTCGGCCCTTTTCTGTATCTGTTATGTCCCGCTTGGGCTCATGGCTAGCTCGCGCGCGTGTCGATCAAACAACGCCATTTGATTTCTCGCGGTTCTTGCCGCCCACCCTTTTTGCTCCATCCGCAACCTTCCTTTCGGCTTGACCCAGGCGAATGAGATGCCATGCCCACCGAAGGCCCGGGTCTCCGAGGTCGCCCCCTTCCGGGGTCTTGACCCCGTTGGTGGTGGTGGTGGCGGTGGCGGTGGGTAAGGTAGGTGAGGTGAGGGAGGGCCGTTCCGGGGGTACGTACCCCTGACCCAGGATATCTCCCGCGCTCCTTGCCTGCCCTCTTTGTTCTTCCCGCCATCTTATGGGACCTGGCTATCCACCACAAAAGTGCCATGCGTCAGAGGTGGTCGCGAGGCGGCCGCGACCTGTGAGTAAGTGCGCCGCCCGCCGTGGGCTGCGAAGTGTGAGTTTGGAGCGTGAAGCATGTATGAGCCTGAGTAAGTACGTGAGCGAGTCTGTGCGCGTGAGAGAGGAAAGCCCGCCGCCCTCCTTCGCAGAGGCCTACACGACAGAGGCCCCCGGAGTGACGTTGCAAACATGAGGGAATATTTCTGCGGCAGCCGGAGTAGGGGTGTGTGTGTGTGCGTGCGTGTGTGCGTGTGTGTGTCCGCTTACGCCCTCGCACCAAGGCCGCCCCATGGAGGCCATCGGTGCAACAGCAGGCAGCATGGGAAATCCACGAGATATAGTGGAGGAGGCCGGAATAACGGCCATCGGAAGGAAACCGCTGGACAGCGTTGCCCAAAGATTTCCTGGTGCGACTGAAGAGGGGGTGTCTCCGCGTGGGAAAACACCAAGCACAGCGACTTGCCGAGGTCGAGCGAGAGCCCGGTTTCCGTGACAGCCTGCCTGCCTGCCTGCCTGCCTGCCTGCTGACTCTTTCGTGCATGCGAGGATATAGCCGCCCGGCGTTTTTTTCTTCCCTCGCACCCGCAGCAGACAGGCCGGGAGAATGCAGGGAGATGGAGGGAGATGATGAGGCGTTGGCGCTCTCTTTGCATGTGCTCCCGTCGCTCGAGAGATTCTAGCTAAGGTTTTGACGGAGGCGGGTCGCTGAGGCCCAGAACCGAGCTGGAGGGTAAAAGGCGCGAGAACGGCAAGCCGGCTAGCAGCATGCTGACGGACGGGGACGACTCCATAACTGAGCGCCTCTGGAGCCTGATATGTCATTTTCTCGCAGAGACCGGCGGCATGCTTCGGTGTCGGGACCGCGAGTCACCTGTTGCTGTGGGTTGCTGAATCTATTCCAAAGGGATCTCCTCTCCTTTCCCCCTTTCTTTTTGCTCTTCATACTTATTCCTCGCCTTGGGCTTCCAAGGACGTGTAAACCCAACATTTGATACCCAATGGAAAACTGTTGGCCACAACGGGACTAGCCTGGCTTGGGCTGACCATTCAGGGGAGGCGGCTAGGTGAGACACCACGTTTGAGCTTCCGCGGATCGATGGCCGGATGGTGAGTGGGTGGTCGCGGCCGCGATGGTGGTGGTGGTATTGGTGGGAGTGGTGGCCAGGTCAGGCCAAGCCTGTGACTAAATAAATGATTGATACATCCTGCGCTGGGGGTACGTATTGCCTACGTGAGTTGAACAAACCATCCAAAGAAAGAGCATCGCGACGCGGCCTTCCCAGGTACCTTCCAAGGTAGCCAGTCGTGTCCCTTGATTTGTGCCTCCTCGCTTTGCATCAGGCTCAGGTTTCTGGCCGTTCTGGCTGTTTCCGGCAGTGTTTACTGTCGCTCTTCCTGCCAAGCCATCGTCTCCACTCCACCCTGAGCCCGGGCCACCCCACCAGCGCGTCTCGGATCGGCCAGCCTCCTCCAACCACCTCTCACTCATCCCCTGCTTCTCTTGCTCAGACCGGCCGCCTGGGTCGTCGCAATTTCCTGCCAGTCTCTGTCTTCACCTGATATCAGGCCTAGGCCGACGGGATGGGGGGGTGTGCGGGTCCGACTCCCTCCCGTAGGGCATTTGATGGCGTGCGTCGCACAGCCATGCCTGGGGAGGTGGAGGGGTTAGGGTTGAAGGGACCTTGGGTGCTTGGACCAGCATCGCCAACTGAGGTTGAGGTCGCGACAAACCAAACAATAAAAGAAGAACCCCACTGCCGGAAACCCACATCACCAAGCCGGCCACTTTGCGCTGACCATGGCAGCGACTATGGCAGTGGCCATGACAGGACGGCGCGGCCACCACCACTTGAGAGCGTTTTCTGTCAACAGCCAATTCCTCCGACAGTCCGGCCGGTTTGATTTTTTTTTTCTCTCTAGCCTGACGTCGTCATCATTGTCCAGGCCACCCACCCTGTAGAAAGGGGTGACCTCGCAGGCATCGTCAATGGCTCCATGGGTTTTGCTACTCGCTCAACTGCGCGGCTTCCAACTGTGTGTGCATCCACACCTACGGTAGATTGGTGGGCCGGCCGATGACAGGTTGTGCCTGCTGCTTTCGTCGTGGGTGTTCCTTCCGTCTGATCGAACGTGAGCCCACCTTGGTGGTTGCATGCCCAACCTTTTTTTTTTCTTCTCTTGTTCGTTTGCCCCCGCCACCTCCAAGGGTCACCGTCCGAGACTTGCGAGATTTCTCTCGACCAGACGCAAAACAACCTTGCGTAGCCGGCCCATCCATGTTCTCCATTTTTCCAAACCTCCCACCGGCCTTGTCTTCATCCTGTGCTTCCATCTCCTTCTGGCCCAAGTGTGCTTTTATTTTTAAATCCTGTTGATCATCCCAGGCACCACCGTCGCACCGCTCGCTCCTGCCCAGCGGCGCGGGCTCCGTACCTGCTACTTCGGGGATTCCTGCTTCTGTGTTAATATCAAGCAAAAGCATTGCCAACTCACATTGCATGAGAGTGGCCGAGGGGCCCTGCCGTTTTTGCCTAGTCGCCAGTGCCCTTCCCACCCCTCCCCCGGCCACTCACAGGCCAGGTGCGCCGCCGGACGACATGCAAGGGTTTGCCAATCCAATCCAGCCGCTACTCGACTGTTCATGCATCTCATCCTGCTCACCGACCTTCGTGGTCTGGCTTCGGGCCAGTCGCTTGCCCTTCACCCCACCTGCCAGCCCGGCCCAGTCCCCGGGTCGGGTCTGCCAGCCGCTGGTCCATGCTCTCTCTCGGTCGCTGTCTGTGCAGAAGAAACCTGGCCGCAGCTGCCCGCCTCGACCAGAGCCCTGTCACGCCTTCACGAGACCGCGGCCGAGCCCACAGACCAGCCTAGAAACGAAAATACAGCCCGCAGAGCCCGCAAAAGACCACAGACCACAGGCCACCGCCGACCGCCCTGTGCTGTCCCCCGGCCCCCCGGCCGTCGCGTCACTCAATGACCCTCCCAACTCGCCCCGACGCCTCTGGGCCTCTGGGGTCTGCCTCCCCCGGAGGACGGGTCTCCATACAACCGTGGACGTGCACAAACACCTTCCCCCTCTCCGTGCGTCTCCAGACTTGGTCCCCGGTGGAGACTGCTGTACCTAGAAGCTCGGTATCTCCGGGCCTTCATCCCCACTTCGCCGTCTACCCCTCCTCCAATCCCCTGCCTCCTCGTCCGTCCTGGGCTCTGCTTGTGCCATGGCCTAGACCCAGAAAGCAAGCGCGCGCTGACCTGGCCTTGGATACCTGGCCTTGGATACCTGGCCTTGGGTACCTACCTATCTGCTAGAGGTGTCTACCACCTACCTAGTTAGTTGGCCACTCCCAAGTTTTAATCCCCGCCGCCGATTTGTCGGCCGAGCCCGGCTGGATCGAGCTTCCATGAATTCCACGCCCACGAGCCTGGCATATGAAACTAGCTTCTTTGCATACCACCTGTCACTTCTCAAGGAGAAAAAGAAAGGAAGAAGACTAGATCCTTGGACCGGGGTACTGCGGCTCACTCCTGCCTTTTTTTCACCCGCGTCTCGTTTTGATTCTAGCCTCCATCTGCAACCCCCATTCATTCTTTGCCGCCTCCTTCTCTTGGCTACTGCAAGCAAGCAGAACAGACCTGAATCTTGCTGCTGCTTGGACCTGCTTGCCGCCGACCCTTCTCCTCCTCACCATCCGTCCTCACCCCCACCTGCCAGTGGCAGGCCCTCACGTAGTAGTGCCCGCCTTTGTGTAGACCATGATACCTTGCATACCTCCATACCCGCCTGTTGATGTAGCGGTGCTGCCCATGCGGAGTACCTCGGCAGCATGAGGCTAGAGGCACGGCATATACAGCCAGGGTTCCATGACGGTATTCCCTTCCCAGAGGTCGGCATGACAAAGTGGGAGAGATATATGCAGCCGTGTGGGTAAAGGCGGGCGTTGCAAGACTCGCCCCCCGTGTCTTCCTCCCGTACCCTATCTGTCTTCCAGCCCTGGACGAGCCCACTCCCCCTAAGTACTACCTAGCTACTTTGCCGATTCGACTCGCAGCTGCATTAGTGGCCGCCGGAGGGGATCTCGGAGCTGGATGTTTGTTTTGTTGTTTTTCACGGTACCGCCTGGCTCACTGCACGCCTCCGCGTTCCCTGCCCATCTCCTCTCCATTTTGCTCCTGCTCTCCGCCTCTTCACTGGAACCCGAACCGAACGCCCGCCAGTTTCCCGCAGCTTTTCGGTGCAACTTGACTGGCGGCCTAGGGCGAGTGGTCGCGGCGCCCAGCTGAGGGGGCACCTTTTCCCCCCATGACTTGCTTGTCTCCCTTCCTTTTTGTCCCTCGCTGTCTCTGCTGCCGAGCGCGCAGCACGCGGATTGGCTGGAACGAGATGGTTCCATTTTGCCACCTCATCCTGCCTAGGTCTGCATATCAAATTCTCTCCTTCCTGTAGCATCTTCTCTTTTATCGTTTATTTGTTTATTCCCCCGTCTTTTTTCTTTTTTATTTCTTGCATTTTGTGCTGCACAATTTCCTCATGCCCGCCTCCCTTGACACCCCCCGCTCCGCATCTTGACCGCAGATAGACCTGCACGCCCCCCCTCGGAGCTCTTGTCAGACCCGATGGCACGGACACGCCATCTTTTTTTTTTCCTTTTCTTCGTCTGACGATGAGAATGGGACGGTGAAAAGGAGCATGGCATCAAAAACAGAAGGCAGAGGGTGTAATCAATCACCCGCAAAACCCACACCGTCCCGGATTCGTGTTCGTGCCGAAGACCGTCTGGTAGAGCTAGTACCCAGGGAGCCATGTACCTTTTTCAATGGGACCGATATCTACAAGAGATCTTCGCCAAGCGATACGCCCACCCATGTGGCCGCTGGTGGAGTTTCCTCAAGTACCCAGCGGTTTTCCATCACTGGCGGCCAGCACGCCAACGCATCAAAGATGGGGTCACACTCTAGGAGCCGCATCTTCACTTTGCGTCTGAATAACCCATACATTCCATGCCGCTAGCTTTCCGTCATTTCCTTCTTCTGCGTTGAGTTTTTCCAACACTTTCTCCGGCTGCCCCGCATCACTCCTCCGTTTCCTGCAATAAATTACACATGCCTCGCCATTGCCCGACTTGATTCCTGCATCCGAAGCCTTGACGTAGCATAACAGCCTTAATCTCGACACCACCCACGACCTCGGTCTCGAGCCCCTTTTCTTGTCTTGTAGGACAACCGCCCAAGCACCTCCCCCGACTACCAGAGTGCCCGCACCGCCCAACTTCACCCTAGGTTGGGCTCGATTGCATCAAGCGGAGTTCGGATCAGGCACCGTTGCCATCCTCATCGTCATACCCTTACTCTTTTCGAGCTCTTGCCTCCGTTTGCTCTTTCCCCTTCTCTTCTGCCGCCGTGCAGAGGGTGTTCTCCAGAGCTCGGTTGCTGTCCCACATTTAGCCACCCAAGTCTCCCACGCAAGGGACCGAGACATCATGGGCGGCTTCTACATGCAGTATCTTGAGAGTACGTATTTGCCGAGCTGAATCTTGACCATAACAATGAATGAGAAATTTTTGAAGCCCTGGAGAAAAAAAAGAGACAAGAAAATGTTAGAGGGGAAAAAAGGATGAAAAAGGGAAAGAAAACAGAATTCAGTCACCACCTCCGCTCCCCACGAGATCCGCAAATAAGCACCATCCTACCCACCCAAGCATCAAGTTACCTTGTTGGCTGATACCCTCCCTTCTTTTACCCTTTTCTCACTTTCTTGGGGTTGCCTCGTTGTTCCGGCTGCTGTGGGGACCTCAGACACGACACCGGCTTCGATAGGGCGCGGTGTGGATGGACGTGCGGATGCGAGGCAACCCCTGCGGCTCTGAGCCGGACATACAGGTGCCAGCACTTCCTCGCCCACCTCCGCCCTGCCCATCATGTACTCTACTTGGCTCCCCTGTCTATCCCCCCGAAATGCTGGAAAGATCACTGTTGATCCCGGAATCCCCGTCCCGCCCAAGCACACCCATTCGTGGCCCGTAGGGCTGATACGGACGCCCACGTTGGGCCATTATGCATACCTTCTCACGTCATTCGCTCTGCATGACCCTTAGCCCGCCAGCTGCGGCAAGGGGGGTGATTGCGGCGACCCGAGGGTGGAAGACCGAGAAAGAAAAAAAAGAGAAAAAAAGAAAGGAGAAGCCCCGATACATGTCATGGGACAGACCACCAAGAACAGGTGTTCGGGGGGTGTTACCTTGGGATCTCTCGGCCATTGCGCATTCACCACGTCTGGAAATCGATCAGCTAACATGCAATTTCTCACCCCTCCCTGCAAATAGGCCTCTGCCGACGACGCGGATGGACAGATCCGTGGTACGATTGCTCCCGCGGCCACTCTGGCTACACGTGCCTGGTCCTGGTCAACGGGCGCGAGTACCAGACGGACCTGGCCTACGCATCGGACACGCTGGCGCAGGAGAACGCGGCCATGCGGGCCTTCATGGTATGCCGCAACTTCTCCGTTAATGGCGGCATGCTGGCGCGCAACGGCATCGTCCAGGGTCTGCCCGCGGACGAGACGAGCCGCACCAAGCACAAGAGCAGCAGCAGCGGCAGCCGCCGCCAGGGGGGTGGCAGTGGGGGTGGTTCGAGCGGCGGCAGCCACCACCACTCTGGAGGCAGCAGCCGCGGTAGCAGCCACCGCGGATCCCGCTCCGGCAACCACTCGAGCAGCAGCTCGACCGCCTCGTTTGAGTGATTGGTGTGGTCCCAAGGGGCAGGGGACTCTGTCACACCACAGAATCCGCACATCCAGCCCACATTTGCAGATGGGTTTGGGTGCCGCCAAAGGTCGGACCACCACTCACCAGAGAGTATTTACGTTGCCCGGGTTTCCAGCCACTCAGCCGGTAGCAGCCCTCTTGCCCGGATCCCTTTCACGGCCTTTCAGAGGCCAAAAGGAGGCACCGCTATCCCTGTGCCCCTTTCTTTTCCTTCTCATTCGCCATCCCGGGCGTACACACTACTCCTGAGGCAGACGGGCCGCTCAGGCTCTCCTCGACACCTTTTTAAAGCCGGTATTTCTTTCTGCTTTTTTTTTGGAATTTTTGTTCTTGCCATATACAATTTGGTGAAAGCTTCGCAGCATATATCCCAGGAGGAGGCCCTTGCCGCCGCGTGGCCTCTCTTACCTGCACCACCAAAAACCAGCAGCGGTCTTTGCTGAAGAAGAAGAGAAGACGGAGAAAAAGGGCGTCGGAGCACGCAAAAAGAAGAGGTGTTGACAGCACACAAAGGCGATGAAGAAAGAGATTACGAGAGAATGAGAGAGAGGGAGAGGGAGAGTTGTGAGGGAGGGAGCGATTTCGAAGACTGGGTGGAGCGAAAACTGCATTACACGACATGTCTTACGACCTGATGACATAGAGACGACTTTCCTTTTCCGTTGGATTCCTGCGCTTCCCACACCCCTTTCCTTGCTTGGGAATTCCACATCACGCCGGCTTTTTTTTTCTTCTTTCCTTCTTTTTTTCCCTGTCACTTCTGGCGGCGACTCCTGGAACTGCCAACACATCACTGTGTCTCCATTCTTCTCAACCAACCAGCCCACACCGGCCCAGGTGCTTACCTTGTACCTTGGATACTTTTCTTGACCGTCGACTTGGACCAATCGACCGTGTTTTTTTTCTCCTTCCGCCATCCATCGTCATTCGTGGGTTGGGACCACAGGACCGACTGACCTGCCGACACGTTGTTTCGCGCGGAGTTGCTGCACTGAAGGAGAGCAAAATCATCCATGGATCTTTTTTTTTGGGCCGCCAATGCCCTTGGGGACGGAGATCCGACGACACACCACAGGTTCGCTGCCGGGCTTGGAAGGACGCCATGTTTTCCTCCTTTATCGGGGAGCTGCCATCGAGCTGATTTCGATCTGTCCGATGCTTATTTAGACCCCTTATTTCCTTTCCTTTTTGGACCTGGCTTCATTCATTCCCACGTGGATGAGGGACTAGTTGACGTGGCTCGACAAGCCTATGATAGAGAAGTTGGTAGAAGAGTGCTGTTGGCCGCCTAGGTCTCTCTGTTTTTCCGGACATGGCCGTTGGATCGTTGCAGGGATCGTTGTTGCATTTTGCGCAGAGAGGATCTTGTCAAACCGAGTCGCCGGGATATCCCTAGAAGGAGGGCTTGATCGGATTTTGGAATCGCCCATGGTGGGTGGATGACGGGAACGGGTGCATTGCGTTTACTTTCTGGCAGCATTTGTCTTTGCCATGTTGTGCTTTTGACCCCAGCGTCCACCCATCATCACTCACACACCATCACCACATCCCCCGTTCCTCCGATTTCGGCCTTCACCACCACCGACGCACCACCGCCACCTACGTTCCCAGACCGTTCTTCGACGTTCACCTACAAGGAATGATGATTTAACGACCGTAATGATAAGAATTGAGAGCGAGGACGTTTGGAACCCTGGGTTTTCTTTTTCAAATCGTCTTGTCATTCGTTCTTCACCTTGGGCAAAATTCATTTTTGATACTCGGATGCCGCGGGGATGCGTGCTCATCATGACCTCCACGAAAGTGCTATAGTAAATTATGATGCACTGGTTTAGGTAAACTGATGGGCGATCCAGTAGCTCAATACAGATGTCAATTTCACGACATTCCAAATTGCACGAAACGGGCATTAAGAGACAGCGGTGATGTCTTGCGGGAAAACGGGCTTCGGCTAAAACCAGGGGCGATCTCGCCCGGGGGGACCGCTGGGGATGCCGGAGTGTGACCGGGAAGGCCCTGGAGGGCAGCGGCATGTGGGCGGGGGGGCATGCACACATAGGGCCAGGCGGGTTGCAGTCCGAGCAGTCCCGGAATGCTTGCTGTCAGGTTTCTGACCTGATGTGATGTCCCTTTCTGCAAATCCGGACTTGGGTCGTTTTCATGGGTGGTGGGGGAGCAAGGGAAGGGCGCGTGAACATGGCGAGGTGCATGTGCCTTGATTCGGTTTCTGGTTTTCTTGTCTTTTTGTCTCGTATCCATGACAAGTATGGGCCGAAGCAAGAACCTAATGTCTGGTGCCTCACGAACCTCTTGCTCCTCCTTTCTTCCCTTGCCTGGGTCATCAAACGTCACGCCACAGCCAGAGTCGAGATGGCGGTTTCCCTTTTCCCTCCGTTTCGCTCAAACGCCACCACGAGGGGAAATCAGAAATCACGGGACTTGACCGGTGACTGTTGGCTGGAATTACCTAAGCACGGGAAACACCGCTCGCTTTGAGCGCGTGCAGCAACGGTTCGTCCGAAAAGAAGGAAGTCAGGGGGACAATATGAAGAGAATACAGATGGTAAAACAGGAGACGACGATCCAATCCGGGGCTGAGTGGACTTTGCACGCATTCGATATTCAGGGGCGGCGAAATTTGGGCGCTGGGGGTTCAGGGGGGCATCGAGAATTAAACGGCCAACGGGTTGGCATGCAATCTCCAAGCATTTGTGGCTCGTGTTCGCCACGGCGGCCCCTGATTGGTAGACCTGTGTTACGCGAGAAGGGATGGCGTGGGGCGCCGCTTTCTGGGCTGCGCCTCACCGAAGGGCTGCTGGGGTATGTCTGTCCTGCTGTTGAATTTGGAGGGTTCTGTCGATGGGGGAAAAAGGACACATGGTGGTGGCCACGCATCTACACCACGGGGAGGTCGTACATATGATGTGTATGGTTGGAAATGCCCAAAGTAGGGGATTACGAGGAGACGCCTATTAGCTGGAGTGCGCAGCTGGGCAGCTGGCAGATGGTGAGGCGACGTGTTGGACAGCTTTCATGGCGATGGTGATGGGGAAATCAATCAAGAAAAAAAGGCCGATGAGTGGCTGGATTTTTGCATTTGTGGAAACGTTGCTTCCCAAAAGAGCTTGGGACGCCCGGTTCCTTCCCTGAGCGGACCCGGTCCCTTTTCTGCAGCCGCCTCTCGCAGACAGCCCGCCCAGGAAGGCTCCCATTCGCGAAAAAGGAGTACAAGACAACAGCTAAATCAAGCTGCAACGTTCCCACCTGTCCTTTTTCCTTTCCTCCTCCTCCTTCCTCCTCCCTCCTGCACTGCAAACAACCACCCGCTCTTTTTTGACCACGACTTCACGAAGCCTCTTTTGTGAATCGCGAGCGAATTCACCTTCCCCGCCTCGTTTAGACATCGACAGACTGGAGAGCTAGCACTCGTCAATCCTCGGTTGCCGCTCCTTTCTTACGCTCGTTTAAGAACCCGTTCTTTTCTTCTTTCCGCACCACCACCACCACCATGAAGGGTAAGTTACCTCAGGCTGGGCAGAGCATGACTGCATTCAGTCTGCTTTCCATGCTTCCGCTCTCGGTGCTGCTCGGCGCAGGCCGTCGCGCCGGTGCCTCTGTTCGGCGACAGCTCGCTGACCGCTCCTCGGAACAGCTCTTATTCTCGTCGGCGGTTTCGGCACCCGCCTCCGGCCCTTGGTAAGTTGCCGCTCCTCGCATCGCAGACGGGCAGCCCCAGACACCCCTGGCACCCCCTGAGGAAGCTTGGTCCTGTGTGCGGAAACAAATAGGCTAACCTGACGCTACTTTCGCTCGCAGACCCTGACCCTGCCCAAGCCTCTCGTCGAGTTCGGAAACAAGCCCATGATCCTGCACCAGATCGAGGCCCTGGCCGCCGCTGGCGTCACCGATGTCGTACTTGCCGTCAACTACCGGCCAGAGGTCATGGAGAAGTCATTGGCTGAGGTATGCCATCACTGTCACCATGTGTACAGCATGTGTACCCCCGGCAGTCGCCCATGGGTCGACTTGGACCCTCGTCGCGGCATGTGGCCGTGGAACCCTGAGAAGCTGGCCGCTAACGCGGCACTGTCCCGCCATTGAACAGTACTCCAAGAGGTTCAACATCAACATCACCTTCTCGGTCGAGACGGAACCGCTGGGCACCGCTGGCCCCCTGAAGCTGGCCGAGGAGACGCTGCTGAAGGACGACACCCCCTTCTTTGTGCTGAACTCGGACGTGACGTGCGAGTACCCCTTCCAGCAGCTGGCCGACTTCCACAAGGCGCACGGCGAGGAGGGCACCATCGTCGTGACCAAGGTCGAGGAGCCCTCCAAGTACGGTGTCGTCGTCCACCAGCCGGGACACGCCTCGCGCATCGAGCGCTTCGTCGAGAAGCCGGTGCAGTTCGTCGGCAACCGCATCAACGCCGGTATCTACATCCTCAACACGTCGATCCTGTCTCGCATCGAGCTGCGCCCGACGTCGATCGAGCAGGAGACCTTCCCGGCCATGGTCCGCGATGGCCAGCTGCACTCGTTTGACCTCGAGGGCTTCTGGATGGACGTCGGCCAGCCCAAGGATTTCCTGACGGGCACTTGCCTGTACCTGTCGTCGCTGGCCAAGAAGGGCTCCAAGCTCCTCACGCCCACGTCTGAGCCGTACGTGCACGGTGGCAACGTCCTGATCGACCCCACGGCCAAGATTGGCAAGAACTGCCGCATCGGCCCCAACGTCACGATTGGCCCCAACGTCGTGGTCGGCGACGGCGTCCGTCTGCAGCGCTGCGTGCTGCTGTCGGGCTCCAAGGTCAAGGAGCACGCCTGGATCAAGAGCACCATTGTCGGCTGGAACAGCACCGTCGGCAGGTGGGCGCGCCTGGAGAACGTCACGGTCCTCGGCGACGATGTGACGATCGGCGACGAGATCTACGTCAACGGCGGCAGCGTCCTGCCGCACAAGAGCATCAAGGCCAACGTTGATGTTCCCGCCATCATCATGTAGAGAAGGTCTCGCGGCAAACGCTTAAGCCCGGCCACTCGCATACCCCTCTGGCTCTGGGCGGCCAGCACCTCCTTCCTGGACCTTCCTCCCCGCGTCGGCCACATTCGGTCTATATAACGTTTTGTACTCGTTCTCTTTACGACCTTTACGCGACTTCATAATGCAGCATGGAGGGACACCACTATGCGGAATCGCGATTACGGCACCCGCCACTCTCCCCTCCACCATCTCCTGCGAGGCTCCTGTTCTTTTCTTATTCGATTCTAATGTTTGTGTCGGGAAGGATATCTGCGGGGAATAAAAGCCTGGGAGGCGAACGTCTGTGGCTCGGGCCTTTCTACGCCTGAATTGTTCCAAGGTCGATCATATAGTGGAAGCATTTCCGTCATGTTGTGGGAGGCAGACAAGACGGGGAAAGCAAAAACAAACCACGAAAGGTCTATAATTCATGGGACATATGTGCGGCACTGGACTCTGAGGAGATGGGCCGAGGAGATACCAAAATAGAATCAAGAAGACATGAAGCACACGTTTTGGTTCCTAATGGTGACGACGAAAGCGGGCAGCCAACCGGCACGGTCGTGTTGGGAGAGCAAAGACGTGTAATATAGTCGTTTCACTCAGGTCCTCGACTAGCAAAACATGTGGTGCACAGTAGATACGAGCCTGCACGTCGGAGGTCCGGGGATAAGGGGGCTCAGACGGGGTGGCATTGGTCCGTCTGAAGCCCGTCAGCGGTGTGCGTCGTGGCGCTGGCGGAGATATCGGCAATTTTTCGCGAGCCGAGTATAAAGGCGACTGGAGCGAGGCTAGCTGGGAAGTCGTGACGGCTGCTGATGTTGTCGCAATCCTGGTCTTTAGGAGGTTCTGCTTGAAAAAAACAGGCACTGGATTAAAGATATCCCTGGGCGCCAAGGTGAGACAGGGTGGCCCGGCTGCTATAAATCTCGTAAGGATGCCCCCACAAACCCCAACGTCAGCGTCCGCGGGACTGCCTACAGCGGAAGATAGCACCCGCAATACAGAAGGCCACAGCGGCGCAGCGGGCCTCGGCACAGGCAGCAACAGCAGCAGAAGCAAAGAGCAAAGTGCTGAGGAAAGAGCGCAAGCACCAACGGCTACCACGGACGAAAAAAACAAGGACCACAACCGCCAACCCCGACAGCAGGCCTCGCCCGCGGCCGGCGCCTGGACACTGCCCAAGCCGCCCATCAAGCAAAAGATGGCCTCGGGCATCAGGTCGCTGCTGAGCAGCGCCAAGAAGCTGGCCCTGGGCGACAGCAGTGGCAACGGCAGCGGCAGCGGCCCCGCGGCGACGGCGGACCGGCTCTTCGCCAAGACGGAGCCGGGCGTCGACGGGGAGGCGTGCAGCCACGACTGCGACAGCTGCACGGTCAAGTTCCCGCGCGGGTTCAAGATCGACGAGTCGGACGTGCTGTACGGGCAGGTCAAGGGCTGGGCCACGCACGTGCTGGTGGCGACGGGAAAGTCGGACTGGGTGCGCGACGTGGCCGACGAGAAGGGGAGCGTCATGGAGGCCGTCGACGCCGCCGCCGACAGGCCCGCCAACGGCCGCCTCATGCTGTCGGCCTGCGACATGCCCGTCTCTGGCAGCGGTCACGGTGGTGCCGACTATTCGGTTCCTACCACGGCCCTGGTGCTGCCCGCCTTTCGGCTCGTCGACGGCGTCACGCCCGCCACGGCGCAGTCGCTGCTGTCCGACTTTGTCGCCGTCGGGCCCACCAACGACTCGCCCATGGCGGTGCCGCCACCGCCGCCGCCGCCGCCGTTGCTGGCCACTAACGGAGAGGAACGGAAAGACGGCGCCGCGGCGGCCCAGAAGGACCAACAACAACAACCGCAACAGCAGCAGCAACAGGCCGCCCTCCTCCCACGCTCCGTGCCCTCGGGCCTGACCAGCCGGCCGTGCCCGCACTCGGTGCTGGTGCTCCTGTGCTCGCAGCGCACGCGCGACGCGCGCTGCGGCCAGAGCGCGCCGCTGCTGCGCCGAGAGCTCGAGCGCCACCTGCGGCCGCTGGGCCTGCACCGGGACCCGGACGACGAGCGGCCCGGCGGCGTCGGCGTCTACTTCGTCTCGCACGTCGGCGGCCACAAGTACAGCGCAAACGTGCTCGTCTACCGCCGCCCGGACCCGTTCGGGCTCGATTCCGTGTCGAGGGCCGAGGTTTCCGACGACGAGGTTAGGGATGGGCTGCTGGCGCGCTCGTCGTCGGCGGCGGCGGCGGCTGGTAAAAAGGAGGCCGAGGACGTGGGGGCCGCGCAGTGCATATGGCTGGCGAGGATCGCGCCGCCCGACGTCGAGAACCTGGTGCGGTATACGATTTTGCAGGGCAAGGTGGTCAAGCCAGAGACGCAGCTCAGGGGAGGCTTTGACAGGCAGAAGGGGCTGCTGAGTTGGTAGGGCGGTGCTGTCATGTTGCATCTAGACCATCTGCTGCTTTGATAGACTTGAGCATCGGTGTTACTGGTATAGCATAGCCACTGAAACTATTCCAGCGCTTTATTTGTTTTTCATTTTTTCATATCTGCTCCTCCAACTATTTTCTGTCCCCGTATTTACCGCCCTGGATGCCTCTGCCCTAGAAACATACGGGATGCCATCGTTGCCCCGCGGAACGATCAATCTGCGACCGAACCCCTTTATGCACTGACGCCTCTCATGCAAGAAATGCAAAAACAAAACCAAACGAAACCGCAGTTCTCCCTCTATCTCAGATCTTCTCCCCCTCGAGGATCGGCTTGGCCTCGTCAGAGCGCCACCAGCTGACGCCGGGCTCGCCCGGGTACGAGTAGCGGTCCATACTCTCGGGCCTCATCTCGACGCTGTACCCGGGCTCGGCGGGCGTCTGGTAGTACCCGTCGCGGATGACGGCCGGGTGCAGGAAGTGCTCGTGCAGATGGTCGACGTACTCGAGCACCGACCGCACGCCCGTCACGACGACGTAGTCTATGGTGCTCAGGTGCTGCGTGTACTCGGGCAGGCCGACGCCGCCCGAGTGCGGCACGACGGGCACGCCAAACTTGCGCGCCATCAGCAGCACCGCCAGCGCCTCGTTGACGCCGCCGAGCCGGCACGCGTCGATCTGGCACACGTCGATGGCGCCCGACGCCAGCAGCTGCTTGAACACGACGCGGTTCTGGCACATCTCGCCCGTGGCCACGCCCACGCCCAGCGGCCTCAGCGCGTCCCGGACCGCCTTGTGGCCCAGCACGTCGTCCGGGCTCGTGGGCTCCTCGATGAACCAGGGCTTGAAATCGGCCAGTTGGCCCATGTACTCGATGGCCTCGGGCACCGACCACACCTGGTTCGCGTCCACCATGAGCACGTTGCCGCGGTCGTAGCCGACGATGTCGCGCGCCATGGCCAGCCGCCGCCGGTCGTCGGCCACGCTGCCGCCGACCTTGATCTTGAAGTGCCTGTACCCCTTGGCCAGCGTCTCCTCGAGCAAGGCCCGCATCTTGTCCTCGCCGTACCCGAGCCAGCCGGCCGAGGTCGTGTAGGCCGGCACGGCGCGGCTCGCCTCGGCCTCGGCCACGCGGGCCGCCTTGCCCGGCTCGACCTCGCGCAGCATGGCGACGGCCTCTTCGGGCGTGAGGGCGTCGGTGATGTAGCGAAAGTCGATGCAGCGCACGAGCTGCTCGGGCGTCATGTCGGCCACGACGCGCCACACGGGCTTGCCGAGCGTCTTGGCCCACAGGTCCCAGACGGCGTTGACGACGGCGCCCAGAGCCAGGTGGATCACGCCCTTTTCGGGCCCGATCCAGCGCAGCTGCGAGTCGTTGACGAGGTGCCGCCAAGTCGCGCCCCAGTCCGCCACGAGCGACGAGAGCGTGCGGCCCCTTATGCGGTCCGCGACGTGCTCGATGGCCGCGCAGACGATGTCGTTGCCGCGCCCGATGGTGAAGGTCTAGAGGGAGGGAGGGGGGAAGGAGGAAGAGTTTTAGTCTGCCTGGTCATGTTCTGTCGACAGAAAAGAAAGAAAAAAAAAGGCACCACCCACCATGCCATGGCCAGAAAACTCAGAATCGGTCTGGAGGATGCAGTAGGCCGACGAGTAGTCGCCGGCCGCGTTCATGGCGTCAGACCCCGTCTTGTCCAGCGAGGTCGGGAACCGGACGTCCCTGGTGGACCATCCCGTGATGGTGATTTCACGTTCAGTCATGTTCACTGTCTAGGAGTGTATGCGTCACAGAAGAGGACAAAAAAAAAGGTTGACGAATACAAGAGAAACAAAGAAAAAAAAGAGAAAGGAGAGAAGGACGAAAGTCGTCTAGCTTTGCAAAGTCAAGTCCCCTCAGTTATGTCACAGGCATCCCGGCCGGCCGCAAACCCGTCCCCCATCTCGGTCGACGTTTTTCCGGCGCGCGTGATGCTCCCCCACGTACGAATAAAGCCAAAGGTTCGGGGTATAGCATGCAAAGTGAGGGGGAGGGGATGCGTAGAACGCCGTTGTCGGATATCGGCAGGTGGAGCTGGGGGCTGGTCGTCAGCGAGGGATTTTCCACCCGTCGGGTTATTACTAGCTTCCGCGTGCGTACCTAAGCAACTTTCACATCACGGCAAACAGACTTGGCCACTGCCGCCACGAAGCACTGCCAGCCGCGGTCGTCGGCATGGAAACATAAAACACGTAGAGGGCCTAGGCAAAAGTTCGTGGCTAGAAAATAGTAAGGATTTGGTGGGTAGCTACCACTACATATGTGTGTGTTTCAATTTTCGAAAGCAAAAGAAGAAAACAAGCTGGATGACGCATACAAAAAGAAATTCATAAAAAAAAAGGACAAAATGCTGTGGCTGAAGTTTTGTACAGGGACTTGACATCCGCCTCGTCAAGGCCATCGCCCAAGAAGACTCCGATGTATGAGCCGGGGGCTGCGTCAGATACGCAAAAATACATATTTCCCTTGCTTGCAGTTCCTGCTCCGTCGCTCTCATCCCATCCCCCATACCGGGGTTTGGTGGGTTTTTTTTTCGGCTGTTCGCCAGACTAGTAGAAGGATAAAAAGAAAAGGTGGGTAAGAAGAAGATAAAGTTCATCATCAGCGCCCCTGTTTAGTACAGAAGCGTGACGCGGTTGCCCCTGGGCGCCGGAGAGTCGTCAGTCTCAGGAGTGACGGGGGCGGTGGGGGCGACGGCCTGGGCCTGGGGCTTCTCCTGTTGCAGCGGCATGGGCTGCAGGAAGCCGAGGGGCACCGGCGCCATCGACTGCGGGGCCTGGTCGGGGGTCTCCACGACGGCTTCGCCCATGCCCTGGGGACGGCTCAGCATCTGTTCGGTGAACAGCCTCTCCTGCTCCAGAGCCTCGATCTGCGCCATGATGAAGGCATCCTGCTCCTGCGGCTGCTGCGGCGCCGCCGGCTCCTCGATCAAGGCAGCGGCCATATTCTGGTCGAAGCCGTGGTTGTAGTCGTAGTTGATCGCGTTGGTCGCGGGCACGGCGTATCCGGAGAAGCCGTACGAGGCCTGCTGCTGGGGCATGGCGTAGCCGAGGTTCTGGTACGGAGTGCCGTAGCCCTGGAACTGCTGCTGGTACATGCTCTGGTCGGCCACGGCGTATGATTGATACTGCTCGTAGCTGTTGGTGGTCTGGGGCATGGCGTACTCCTGGATCGGCTGGGGCTCATAGGTCTCTTGCACAAAGGAGAAAGCCTCGTGCGCTCCAGAGATCTCGCTGCTGACCGAAGGCTCAGGGGTAATCATGGCCCGCGTAGACGCGGACTCGACCACGGGCTCGGGCTCCGAGGTCTCGACAGCTGGGAAGCTGGCAGCCTCGGCCGCCGTGACGGCGGCGTTCCACTCAGCGGCAGACGCAGCCCAGCGGGGCATCCACTCGGGAGGGTAGCTCGAGAGAGTGGCCTGCTGAGCGGCGAGGGCCCAGTCGGCAGGGGTCGCAGACGGCCGGGATGCGACCTTCTGCGACTCAACAACCGTGGGGTAGGCGCTGGCAGTCACGACCTGCTCCAGGGCGGCATTCCATTCAGCGGCCGAAGCCGTCCACCTGGGCATCCACTCGGGAGGGTAGCTTGCGCCGACAGCCTGCGAAAGAGCAAGAGCCCAATCGGCGGCAGTGGCCGACCGCCGGGGGGCCGCCGCCTGTTGCCGCTCGGCCATGGGAGGGAAGCAGCTTGCGGCAACGGCCTGCTCAAGAGCCGCGGCCCACTCGCTGCCTGAAGCAGCCCACCTTGGCGTCCACTCGGGCGGGTAGCTCGCGTTGGCAGCCTGCTGGACTGCGAGGCTCCAGTCGGCCGCGGTGGCCTTCATGACAGGGACGCGGGTGGCCTTGGGCGAGGACGACCCTTTGGGGGTGGAGGTCTGCGGGATTGACATCCAGTTGCGCTCGACCTTGGTAGAGGTGGCGGCAACCCAGAGATCAGTGGATGTGATCTTGTCGAGGGCCTTGAGCTCGGGGGAGCGAGCCTTGCGCACCATGCTGATGGCGGCGGGGCTCTCCGATGTCGACCTGGTGTCAGAGACCTTGGGCTGGAGCTGGAAGAGACCGGTCGTGGCCACGGGAGCGACGACGGGGGTAGCTGCGATCCAGAGGCTGGTCTTGGCCTGCTCATTGGTGTCGACGCTCGAGATGGAGACGGGCGAGGGGAGCGAGACGGGGGAAGCGGGTGTCTTGGCCATGGTGCCCGCCATGCTCCAGTCAACGGCCTCCTTGGGGGACTCGGGAGGGGTCGAGGTCCACATGCGAGTGCTTTCAATAGTAGCAGGCTCGGCCGGGCGTGCCTTGGCCCTGGCAGTTTCCTTGACCACGTCATATTGGCGCCAGGTGGCCTCGTCGGGCTGGGGAAGTCCCTTGCTGTGCGACTTGGCCGCCTTGGCCGAGGCAGTCCACATCAGTGCCGTCGCGGTCTGGATGAGGCTAGCGGGCTGCCAGAGGCGATCGGTCTGGATGGGCAGAGGCTCCTCCGACTGGCGAGGCTTCGACCGCGCAGTCTCGCGGACAGTGTCGTACAGCGCCCAGGTAGCAGCGTCCGGGTGAGCGACGCCCTTGCCGTGGTCGCCCTTGCTGCGCGAGAAAGCGGCGCTAGCAGACCAGAGGGGAACAGTCTTCTCCTCTTGGACCACCATGGAGGCAGCCGCAGGCTTCGCCTGGTCCTGGCTGCCAGCGAGGATCCAGACCGGGGTCTCCTTGGCTTGGCTGGAGGGCTGCCAGAACCGGCTGCTCTCAATAACGAGCGGCTCGTCCGACTGGCGGGGCTGGGACCTGGCCGTTTCAAAGACGGTGTTGTAGAGGCTCCAGGTCGCAGCGTCGGGCTGGGCGACACCCTTTCCGTGCTCGCCCCTAATGACAGGCGTGACCGTTGCAGCAGTCCACATCGAAACGGGCTGGGCCGCAATCTTGACCTGCTTAACGCCCGCGATCCAGTTTTGTTGATGAGCGTTGACGGGACGAGATTGCCAAAGCTGGTTGCTCTCAACTGGCATCAACTCCGACTGGCGAGGCTGGGACCTGGCCGTCTGGCGGACGACGTCGTACATTGCCCAGGTAACAGCATCCGGCTGCGCGAGGCCCTTTCCGTGCTCGCCCCTGACCTTGGCAACGGCTGTGGCGGCCGTCCACATCGGGACGTGCTGAACTGCCATCTTGGTCTGCTCGGCGTCCTCGATCCAGTTCCGCTCTTGCCGAGCATTGGTAAGGCGAGACTGCCAAAGCTGGTTGCTCTCGACTGGGAGGAGCTCCGACTGGCGAGGCAGAGCCCGAGCCGTCTGCTTAACAGTATCGTACAGGCTCCAGGTTGTTACGTCGGGGTAAGCAACACCCACCGAGTGTTTGCCCTTGGCCGTAGTGGCAAGACGGGCTGACCACATCGCGACGGGCTGAGCCGCCGTTTGGACGTGCTTGGCGCTTTGGATCCAGTTCCAGTTTTGGTGAGCGTTGGCGGGGCGAGACTGCCAGAGCTCATTACTCTCGACGGGCAAAAGCTCCGATTGACGAGGCAGAGCCCGGGCCGTCTCCTTAACGGTGTCATAAAGGCTCCAGGTCGCAGCATCGGGGTAGGCAACACCCTTGGAGTGATCTCCCCTCGCCTTGGTAGCAGGGCGAGCGGACCACATCATGGTGATCTTGGCGGATTTGGTCTGTTGGGTCTTCACCCGCTTCGCCAGGGGCTGCCAGAGCTCGTCGCTCTCAACGGGCACGAGCTCCGATTGGCGAGGCAGGGCCCGGATAGTCTCCTTGACGGTGTCGTAGCGGTTCCACGTCTCCTCGTCGGGTTGGGCAACGCCCTTTCCATGGTCACCCCTGGCCTTGGGAGCCGGGCGCACCGACCACATCTGGGCCGCCTTTGCTGCCCCCGGCTGCGCCGGCTTCGCCACCTTCTGCCGACCGACAGGCTGCCAAAGCTCGCCACTTTCGATCGAAGCTAGCTCAGAACGCCTGGGAAGCGCCCGGATCGTCTCCTTGACGTTATCATAGAGACTCCATGTGGTCGCGTCAGGCTGGGCGATGCCCTTTCCGTGGTCACCTCTGGCCTTGGGGGCCGGGCGCGCCGACCACATGAAAGCGGTCTCCGTCAGCGTCGGCAGCGCCTTTTGCGCTTCCTTCTGTTGGCCCGCAGGCTGCCAGAGCTTGTCGCTCTCGATGCGAGTAAGCTCAGACTTCCTGGGGAGCGCCCTGATAGTCTCACGGATGGTGTCGTAGAGGCTCCAGGTGGCAGCGTCGGGCTGGGCAACACCATGCCCGTGTTCGCCCCGGGTCTTGGTAACCCTGTTGCGGGCAGACCAGAGCAGGACAGCCACCTCCTTGTCCTTCATCTTCTTCTGCTGTTGCTGTTGTCCAGTGGGCTGCCACAGCTCGTCACTCTCGATGGGCGCCATGTCCGACTGGCGCGGCTGCGACCGGAGAGTGTCCGAGACGGTGTCGTACTGTCTCCAGGTGTCGGTGTCGGGGTGGGGCAGGCCGAGGCCGTGCTGACTGCGGCGCTTCTCCTCGCGGGCGGCGGTCCAGAGCTGGCTGATTGCAAGCTGCTGGGCCAGAATATCCGCCTGCTGGTCCTCGGTCGCCTCCATCTGCTGTGTGACAGGGAGCATACCCTCGAGACCAACAATGATGGATTCGCGGGCCTCGTCGGCCTCCTCCAGGTCCGAGGCGTCGTCCATGTAGTCGTCGACCACGGAGCTGGTGGCGTCAACCGTGCGCGGGACAGCCCTGTTCTTGGAGGGGATGTTGTCCGTCTTGAGAAGGCTGGCGATCTCCCACAGAGTAGTCTCGTCAAAGTCGTCTCCAGAGTCCTCCTCTTCGATGATGTCGTCGTCAGAGTCCTGCAGGTCCTCGTCGTCGTAGTCGTCAAAGAAGGAAGACGAGTATTCGGCCGCCTCGAACTGCCTCGAGCGGGCCTCGAGGGCGGCGCTGATGGCAGGGCCGCCGCCCGAGGTCATGGTGCCGGGCATGGCGAACATGGTTTGTCTAGGCTGCTGGACGGTAGCCGAGTCCGACTTCTCGCCCCAGGGGAACTGGAAGATGCCAAGGGTGCCTCTCCTGTCCGGAAGCGGTTGGGGGTTCTCGAGAATGTCCGGTAGAACGGTAATGCGCCGAGTGCGTCGGGGTGGCTTTAGTGTCGACGATCGAGCCGGGACCTGCTTCTTGGGCTGAGCCTGCTGGTGCTGTTGGACCTGGCTAGGCGCGAGAAATGACGAGGGCTGGGCGGGAGCATAGCATGACTGCCAAAGGCCCGTAGAGTAGCGCTTAGTGGCGGTCCGCGACTGCTGCCAAAGCTTGTTGGACTGGATAGCCAGGGGCCCGTCAGCTTTGCGGGGAAGCGCACGAGCTCCGCTGCTCGTGACCAGCAAATTGAGAGCAAAGGCCGAAACAGGGCTATCGTTAGCGCGCCGGGGAGGGGACCAGAGCAGGGATGTCGATGCGACATTGGCCTGCGTGGCTGGGGCCCAGAGCGTCCTGTGGGCCGCCGCCTGCGTCGAAGAGGCGGTGTATGCCAACACCGCGTGGGTCTCCGGGGAGAGCTCGCCCGACTCGTAATCCGACTCGTCGGAGTCCGGCGGTGTCGGGCTACCCATTTGGGTAAGCGCGAGGAAGTTCTCCTTGCGTGTGGCCAGGAGCTCCGGGGCGTGCTCCGCGAACTCCGTCTGTGCCTCAGCCAGGCGCTGCTGCCACGACGACGCCACTGATTTCGCCGGGTTGGCCGGGCTACGAGCAGGAACCGAGGATTCTCCCGACTTGGACGGCACGTTGCTGGCGCTTCGCAGCAGCTCTCGTCGTGCCGCCCTGCGCTCCGCCATGATGACGCTCGCGTGCTTGGCCGCATCCATCGAGCCGCTCTTGGGAGGCGCCGGCGGGGGCGCCGGGCTCTTCATCAACGACGGTGGCCGCGAGTCGATGCTCGGTGAGCTGCGGATTGTCGAGAGCGAGTCCCGCGCCTCTCTCAGCAGGTCGTGCTTCGTGTATCTCCACTGGTCCATCTCCTTCTCGAGGTTATCCAAAAGCTCCAGACGGCGGGTTCCCTGGCTGCCGACCGAGTCTCGGTTGGACTGATCTATCCGCTGAAGCTGCGCTTGGATCAGCTGGAGCGCGTGGTCCGGCGACTCCAGCGGTGACGGCTCAGCGGCCTTGACAACCACGGGGTTCCTTGTCGACGGCGCACGGAGGAGCAGCGGGGTCGGAGGCGGCATCCGTGATCGCATCTTCTCCTTCCGCTCCGAGAAGGTCAGCAGGTCGTCGCCAACCCGTTTGTGCCACATGGGAAAGACGTTGCTGGAGAGCATAAAGTCCTCGTCCGCTCCAACGGGCGTCTGCGGCGAGGCCTCCGTCGACGCATCAGTCGACGAATCGATCGAGGTATCTAGAGTCATATGGATTGGCTCTCGGTCATCTTCCCTGACTATGGCATCCATCGAGAGAACTGCGGGCACATCTTGGTGCTTGGCGCGGATGTAGGTGCTCTTCGGTGGTTGAGCCATCCTCTGGATGTTCACAGGCGCCACGGGCGAATGGACAGAGCCCCAGGCAGTGGTTCCGACGTCGGTCGGGGTTTTGGCGTCCATAGTCACGCTCTCTGCCCACAGGGATTCCCGGGCTGGCGGGAGAACTGGCGACGACGCCCGCTTCGCCGCGTCGCGCACCGATGGTCGCTTGTTCCGACTCTCGTCTCCTGATATTCCAGCAATCCAAACGCTGTCGATCTCGCCCCGCCCACCAGACCGCGCCGAGTCCCGGGTGATCCGACCTTGTCCTAGTCCTTGAGTGAGCTCGTCGACGTCAAGAACACTCTCGGTCTTGAAAGAGCTCTTGGTTGTCCGTGATCCTGCCTCCTCATGGGCCTGTGTCTCTACCTCGCTCATATCAAAGAAGTTTGACGGCGGCACAGTCGGGACAGTGGGTATTTCCGGCACAGACGACCTCCTCCTGTTGGTCAGACCCGAGGGGTAGAACATATTCATCTTCTCGTTAAAGGTCATGCTCTTGGTGTCGTTGGGGTGCGGCCTCGAGAAGGTGAGCCCGCCGGCGCTCTTCGGCGGCGGTGGCAGGGGAGGCAGTTGTGTTGGGTCCCCGGGGTAGCCCTGGAGAATCGATTTCCTACTCCCTATCGAGCCGCCCGACTTTGTCCTGCGGTGGCGTGGCGACTGGTCGGCGGGGAAGATGACGCGGCCCCCCCCGGACTTCCGAGGTATCGGTCTTGGGCGGTTGACAACCGAGTTTGAAGACATTTGCCCAAGCTCCATCTCCTGAGCCTCGTTGTCGAAGGCCTTTCCGGTATTCGCTCCGTCGATGATCTTCTGCACAACCGACGGGTCGTCGTAGGTAATATCGTTGATGAACATGATGGTCTGGTTGGTCCGAATTTCCGCGTCGGGTGCTGCAGGTACCGCAGGTGCGGCAGGCGCCGTGGTCGTCATCGCACGAGCCCGGGGGTTCCCAGGCAGACCAATGGTCGGGCGCCGCTGCAGGGGAGTCCCTTGCGGCTCTGGGACAACCTCGGAGGTCTCGGCAGCGCGTTGTCTCGAGGGCCGGATCGGCACGTAAAATGGCGCTTGGAACTGGCCTGCTGAGGGGGCCATGGTGGCCCGGTCCGCCTCCGTCGGCGCGCCAATAACCTTCGGGGGTGCTTCGCTCTTTTTCCTTTGCAGGGGGAAGGGCGCCTGCTTTTGGCGCGGGGGAGAGGGCGCCCTGGGCTTATCAGTAGCAGATTTCGGAGCAGGAGGCGGGCTTAGCGCTCCCAGTTCCGAGTTCTCCTGCCTCAGGGGCGACGACGCCCTAGCAGAACGCGCAGATTTGGGGCCTTCGGCCTCGGCCTCGACAGGGTCTGGCGATTGACGGGGCGACCTCCTCCTGAGCTCCTCCCCACCCGGAGAAAGCTGTGCAGAGGATGTCTTGGCCGACCCGATAGGCATCGGTGACAGCATCGTTACCGGAACCGCACCGCCATCCCCGAAGCTGCTTGGCGGCTGGGGGGCAGGCCGACTTGCCACGAGCATCGACTTCCTCTGCATCCTGGCCCACATTTCCCTCCGCTCCTTGTCTTGCCGGGCCGCGGCAGACAGGTCCATGGTGGGGATCTTGTTGAGCGGGTTCGTCTCGCTGTCGGATGCGAGGATCGGGTTCGAGATCGCCAGTCTTCCGCCCACAGTCACGGCCGCGGCCGGGCCACCCTTAATGTCGAACAGGCACCTCTTACCCTGCTGCGGCGCCACGGCCTGATGAGGGAGAGTGGGCTCGGTGGCGGACCTGAGAGGAGGAAACAGAGCACCCTGGACCGGAACTCCATGCCTTCCAATCACGACTCCATCCCCTTGCGGCATGCTAGCAGACTCGGCGGGTGCTGGGGCCTCCCTCGGCTGCGCGAACGCCTCCGACATGGTCACTTGCTCGCGTTTGAGGTCCTCGTAACGCATGGGCGGGTATCTCTGGGAGTCAGAGGTCGAGAGGTCTCGTGTGCCCAGATCCCTTCGAGGCGATTCGGGGCGCCTGGATTGGCGCTGTCTTGGGGTGCTCGAGAAGGAGTCGATCGATCCAGTTACTAGAATCAGTAGCAAGGTAAGACCTGCGGCTGGCAGCGCGGTTCGGAGGGTAAGGTCCATAGTCGGCATTCCCAGGAGCAACGTAACGCTCGTCGCGCTCCAGATGGCAAACCCTACGAGGATCCAAACAATCGCCTTGCTGCGTGCAACGCCCGACTTTGCATCCTCCACCAGCCCAACACTGAATGCCCGCGCTGCCAGCGAGACGATGATGATGGCGTCGAGCGCGACGACCGTCACCGACACAGGAACCAGTGACGAGACAGGCGCGCAGACCGCCTGCTCCTGTCGCCTGACGAAACCGACGAAGACGCCGCCGGCAATAAAGCGGCCGGCGAGAAGGGACTGCAGAACCAGCTGGCTGGTGCCAGAGTTGTTCTTGGTTCTCATCCCCCATAGCATAAACTGCTCGATCGAGAAACGGGCAAGCTGGTCGAAAAACGCCGTGACTATGCTGGTGATGGAGCATGCCAACGCCGAGGTAACGTCGATCGTTGTCGCAATAAATCCAATCTGAGCCCACAGGGCGGCGCTTATAAGGAATATCGTGAGGGCCAGCCCCAGGCCATCCCGAAATATTGTTGATCCATGGCCCTTGACATTAAGGAAAAGGGCTGCTGACGCTCCGTTGACGACAATTCCACTGTCCTCCCGCAAGTTTGTTAGTCACTTCCCCATCAGATCCCAGTCTTCCTTCCTCTGTCCGCAAGTTCCTGTCTCTTTCTCACTCGTCCTCGTCCCCAGCCTCCATCTTCCGGATCTCGCCGCGACGCCACACTCGAATATCGGATGCTGGGCAGGGAGGCACTAACAAGGCGAAAGCGGCGATCAAAGCCGAGGTGCCTCCTGGAGCCGCCATGGTGGGCGACTTTATTAGAGGAGGTTAAAACCGGCTGTTGGCCCAATAAAGAGTGTAGCGTCCCAATCAATGGGGCAAAGGACGATAAAGGAAAAAGAAAAAGAAAATGGCGTAATATGTTATCAGAGAATTGAATAGACCATGTCGACTAGTACATAGCCAAAGTGAGCACCGATGCCGCTGGTGATGGAGGCATGTTAGGCGATGTTGTCCATCATCACTGGCATGAACAGGATAGAATGGGAAGGGCAAGGTAGGATCACGAAAGAAAGAATAGACAGACAGACGGACAGACGGGGGAACGAACTGTCTAAGCGAACCAGTCAAAGTGGAGTCCAAGGCGCGTGCGTGGGTATTTCGGGAATGCAAAGAAAAGCACAAAAGGGAAAGGCGGCCTCGACGGTTGAAACGGAAGGCGTCGATCTTGGCAGGCCGCCTGCCTGTGGTGTCCGCACGCGCGGGTTCGGGCAGCACGATCGAGCCCTGGCCCCTTTGAGATCAAAGTCGGCGGCAGCGTCAGGGATTGGCCCTGGACGCATTCTCTATCGTTGTGTGCTTCGCTCTTGTGGGGTGTGGTGGGCGGTGGTGAGCCTCACAGCAGTGACCAGCAACCCACCACACACCCAAAAATGGATTGCTCCCGGTCTCAAACAGGGGTAATAGAGCCGGGGGGCCTGCTCAGGCTGGAGACTTCTGGATTTCGTCCGTCATGCCGAAGAGAAGGCGAGAGTACTGATTGGGCCCAATGCAAGGCTGGCTAGGGCCAGGCTGGGGGTGGTCACCGATAAGCGTTACTCTGTTTCACTTGAAACCCAAGGAGTTCCATGGGATCCATGACGAGGTGGGGAGGTTGAGGGGTGTCGCCAGCTGTGCGGGATTGGCCCATCTAACCCTTTTTCTCGCGTATGAAGCCGATTTGGATAAAAGCCTTCTGGACTCCTTCACCCGGCCGCCGCAGTGGCGTGCCCAGATCGTCTCTCCATCTCGATGGGGGCGGGCGACTGCTACCATCACGCCCGATAGGCTTTCGGTCAAGGGGCCGCACGATTTCCACCCCATGTTGGCCCGCCTATCCATCGCGCCAGGCACCATCTCCTACGGCTCGTCGCATTTCCATAGGTGTCGCGGGACGAACCCATGTCTCGTTTGGCGCCCTCCTCAGTTCCTTCATCCACCCCGTTGCTCGTTGCCGTTGCTGTGTGGCTTGCGCAGTCCGGCGGGGGGCAAGGAGGTAGGGGGGCCAGCCAGCACTGTTGTTACATAGTCAAGGCGCAGGCATGATGCGAATCGATGGGATTGGTGGCGAGAAGACAGCGGTTGTGCATCCCCAGTGACCCCCTTTTCTGCTCGCGTGGCAGTTTGCCGCTTTGCCGCGATGGAGAAACAGATTGGGATCCAGCACCCGCCTAGAATTCGATGTGATTGATTGATGAGACTCTTTGGGTGTGGCAGCGCGAGCGAGATTTGCTACAGGCCAGTGTTCCAGCAGATCTTGGCCTGTGCCTGCCCCGCTCGCGGGATCCATTTTGTCTGTTCTCTCGCTGCCAGTGTTGCTTTCCAGCACCACCTGGTCTGTGCGGTGGCCTGCATGCGGCTGGGCGCCAACATTCAGTGCGACTGGTACCTGCCGGGCAGGAGCTGCCAGTCGAGCTCACTGCCAGCCACCACGAGCTCGAGGTCCAGCACTGGTGCTCCAGCCGCCAGCTCCCGTCTGCCCAAAGAGGTTGGTTTCAGAGACTCGTGCCCTCGGCTCCCGACCGCCCCGGTCGCCCCGGTCACCCAATCTCGTCGGAAGGGAGGAGGGATGAGTCGACCTTGCGGCATTTGAGCTCCTGCCCGCAGATCACTCACTCGATCAATCCCACGCGCCAAGCCCAAGCCCGCCGAGGCGAAGCCATCCCATCCTTTCTCTGCTGCGCGTTCGCGAGAGACGGGAGCGGTCAATACCCCCGACTCCAGAGGTAACATCCGCCGGTGACATGGAATCCACCTGGCTCCGGATGGGACGAAAGGTTAAAATTCAGCTGCTGGGTATGCCGTTCTACTCGTCGTAAACAACCGCGGCCAGGTCGCAGTGAGCCGTTAATCTCTTCCTTGTGGCACGCGCCGACGCCGATCCGTGCGGCTGCAGAAAGGAAAATGATGGCCGAGACCGAGCCGTGGATCGAGCCTGCGTCTATGTATTCAGCCGGTGCCAGTTGATGCTCTGCCGCTTGTTTCTTTGGCAAAATGCCACTAGTGTGCTACTATTGCTTTCTTCCTGTGTCATCTTCCTGGCATGGTTGTTGCTGCACGTGTTGGGTATTGATATGAGTGAGCTTTTGTGCCCGACACTTGTCGGTAGATAAAACATCTCGGTGTTATGGCCGCACTCGTGACCCTGATATGGGTGCAAATGGTCCAAAGGCTGGCCTACTGGTTCTCACTGTGACGAGCCTCCTTCGGTGGTTTCTCTTTCATGACGAGGCACAAGTGCAACGACTAACCCAGCCGGATGGACTTGCTTGATTCAGCAATCGTTAAAGTAGCTAGTGTGTGACTAAAATATCGATGTATGCAAGCACCAGCTGTGACAACCCAAAATGGACTACCGCGGGTGAGATGCGCCTTACGCCATCGCATCGAGCATCTATTCGTGAAAGACCTGCGTACTGCGTACTGCGTATCGCGACGAGTGACTCAAATCAATAGCTTCTACGGCTGGTTCTCAGCATATTCTGGTGTATAAATGACGGGTGTATTTATTTCCTTCTCACTAAGGAAACAAGTTTGGACATTATTTTCGACTATCGCTAAAGCCCCCAGATCCAGAACACATCATCACTCTATTGCAGCATGCCTAGGGTCGAACTTGAGTACCCCAAGGAGGCCGTGAATTCGGTGAAGCGATCGAGTGATCGAGGTAACCAGTCCAAGCCACATATACGGCTTCCCTACCTTGTGCATTGACATCAACCACTAACGCCTGCCAACCAGGGGTCTATGCCCTCAGGACGATCCATCAGATCATCAACTCCTCCAGGCTCGTCCATGTCTCCTTCAACGTGCCCGACTCGCCGTTTCCGGTGACCCTCCCGATGATCGGGCAGATGGGCTCCTTTGCGCGACCCAGCGCCGACGAGGGCGACGTGCTCGACCTTTACCTGCACGGCTACGTATCCGCGCGCATGACGAATCTCTCGCGGAAGGGCACTTCGGACGGCCAAGAGGACGGGGCCGGCGGCATCCCTGTCTGCATATCGGCTAGCCACGTCGACGGCCTCGTGCTCGCCCTATCGCCCTTTGCTTCTAGCTACAACTACCGCTCTGCTGTGCTCTTTGGCTATGCGGTACTCGTATCTGACGAGGAGGAGCGGCTATGTAAGTCAATGTTCTTGCAGGCAATAATTCCCCCCCATATGGGTCACTGCCTCTTCTCTTTCCTTTGCCCATACGGAATCGCAGCTGCCAGCTTTCACCCGTTTTTTATCATCCGGATTACAGGATACCGGTTTGCAAGGACAGGACATTGGACTGATCCTAATCCATCCCAGATGCCATGGAACTCATAACGGACTCGGTCGTCCCAGGTCGCTGGCGCGACGCCCGCGGGCCACCCACGCCGGCCGAGCTACAGAGCACGAGCATCCTCCGCGTCAGGGTGAAGTCGGGCAGCGCAAAGGTGCGAGTGGGCGAGCCGCACGACGAGGCCCGCGACACGGCCGACGCGGAGCTCTGCGCCCGGGTCTGGTCCGGCGTCGTGCCAGTCCACGAGACCTTCGGTGAGCCAATCCCGGGACCTTCCAACAGCCGGGCGGTGCCGACCTACATCAGGGATTATGTGAAAGACACCAACGAGGTCTCTGCCGAAACTGCCGTGCAAGCAGCAGTTGAGCCTCTGAAGAAGGAAAAGGCAAAAGAATCCGATGATTGAGGCGAGGTGACACAACGTAGTTCAGCTCCCAAGCATGTAATAGGCAGGTATTTAAAACCGATGGGCATATGAGAAGGGAATGAAATGCTCCAAATTACCAACCCCGAGCATGCATTCTTTACATGTACAAAAAGAAGCAAGAGGCCAAGAAGCTACAAGAAGAAAGAGCGCACTTGGCGCTTCTGAGGGCTGAAACCCATGATTGCCAATGCCTTGTTGCGGCGAACGAAAGATACACCCCGCGAATCCTCTACGTACATACGCTTAACACAGCATTTTATCACCAGGCCTCCCATACAGGCCCCGGGATGACGGTCCGCATAATCTCCCAATGGCCCAGCGCGCTCTTCTCGTGCCACTTCACCAGCTGGTCGGTCGAGTTGCGCGCCAGGATCGACTCCTCGGATGCGAGGAAGTCCGACTCAAGCACCTCGTGCTTAGGAAGGAGGTATGAATCCCGCGCTATACTGCCGAGTGTATCCTGCTGGGTCGGGTTCCGGAATGTTATCCTGCCCTCGGACTTCTGGCAGAAAAAGACCATGTTTGCGAAGTCGACCCCTGTCTGCGCTACCTCGGTGTCGTTACGTGGGTGCTCGCGGTAGATGCGGCATGACGGGAACACGCTCTTGATCGTATTGAGGACGATCTTTGGCGGGGGCAGGCTCGAGTCGCCGGCGTAGTTCTGCAGGCAACGAGGCTTTGGTTAGCCCACAGACACAGTTACTGACACAGAGAGCGTACTTACAATTGCAATGACGCCTTGGGGAGCGAGTAGGGTGTGCAGATCCTGCAGAAACTCCAGCGTAAACAGCTCTATAGGCTCGGCGCCACCAGTAAAGACGTCGTTGACAATGTAATTGAACTGTTCGCTCGAGGTGTTGGCCAGTTTCCTCGCGTAGGCCACCGCATCCTGGATGACCGGAGTGTGGCGGGTAGGAACGTTGAAGTATTTGATAGCAAAATCATATACGGCTTGATCGATCTCTACAATCGTAGTGTCGATACCGTGTGAAACGAGAGCCGAGGGAGTCGTGCCAACGCCCATGCCACTGTGAAAGGTTCAAGATCAGCTCTGTATCCATTGAAATTACGACACAAATTCCTACACAGCGAGGGCAGGAAAAATGGGTTGGAATAAACTCACATGACCAAAGCCTTGGCATCTTTGTCTGGGACTTGCTGCTTGGCCCCGACAAGCCTGACAGCTTCAAGCATGGCAAAGATGCCGTATATGGGCTCCGAAATGCTGCGCCTGTACTTAATCCACTCACCACCCAGTAGGCTGTGGTCGCAGCGCATGACACGGAGTCCCATGTCGTCGTTCTCTATGACAGAGACATATCCCGTTAGAGACTCGCGCTGGTCGAGTACGGTCCAGCCATGCTGCGCCTGTAGTGCGCTGTTGAGGAGCTGTAGCGCGTGCGGCGTTGCGACATGTGGGTTCAGCAAGGCTGTGTGCAGCAGACCCGGGATGGCGTATAGCAGTAGCTTTGAAGGCGCGAATGCCGCATAGAGCAGACCCAGCACGAATTGCAGAGCCACGCGCGTGACAAGGATGCTCTTGCCGATGTACGACTGAATGGCGTTCTGAGACAGCCGTTCCGCGAGCCGATAGACGCCCCAGGATCCTATACCAGGGGCCGCGTCGCCCAGCCAGCGCGGCAGCCAGCTGAACTCGGCGCGCTCCAGATACGTGGCAGAGCACGCGACCGAGCCGACGACGACGGGGAAGAGCGTGAGCAGCTCCGTGGCCAAGGGTCCCCAATAAGCCGTGAGGCGCCCGCTGAGCTTGAAGAGAAGAAATTGCGTGGCCGGCACGTACAGGGCTAATACGGGCAGCAGGTAAATGGGCTTCACTGGCAAGAAGCGACCGAGAATCAGGTTTGTGGACCATCCGGTGAAGCAGGCCGCCATGACGAGGCGGTCGTGGTACCGCGCGGCAGGAATAGAGCCGTAAACGGGCGACATGGCCAGTTGGGAGGCATTGGCGAAGGCGGCGGCGAGGGATATCAGAGCCAGAGCCGGAAGAAAGGCTTCAGCCTGCTCCCGCGCCGTCTTGGTCCATGTCTCATCCTTGGCCTTGGCCGCGAGAGCCTTGAGCTCTCGTTCGAAACTCTCAGGGGTGAAGGATGAGTTTGGGTCAATTGAGACTTCGGGTTTCTCAGCCTCCTTTTGCTTCTGCTTCTTGGGCGCCATTCTGAGCCTCCAAGGTAGGACCCAGCGTTTGATTCGAGAAACTAATGGGGCTCTACAGGCCGTGGCGGCCGCCGGACGGCTAGAGGTGGAGCTACTTGGTTGACACGAAGGAGGGTGAATCCCGACGCGGTCACGGATGCTGACGATTTGAACGCGTCTGCAAGATAACCAACAGCCAGCTGTTGACGGCGCTCGATGACCTCTAGATAAACAGATTCGACGGCTGCAAGCAAACGAAACAGAACTGATGGATGTGTGGCCCAGCCTGCAATCTGTTCTTAGCCCATTCTCCAATCGGGTGTGATGAATCCTGCTCCGTCCTCCAGGTGTCTCGACTCGGACGTTGAGACCCCTGGACCCACCAGAGCTCCAAGGCCCCACTGGCAAATGGTTGGTGGGATGTCAATGTCGAGCGGGCACTCTCTGGGAGCAGGGAATTGAGCTTGAGCTAGCACGTGCAATTGATCAAGAGGTGGGGGTGCTAAACCAGTCCGGGAACCGTGTTACCGGATTTATTACCAGCTCTGGCCGTGGGGGAACATTGAACAAACATTTCGTCACCGCTAGGCTAGGGCCTGCTTTTCGCCATATTTTTCCATGCTGGACACGTATGCGTCTTATCGCTAGAGCGCACCACCTCGTCAATTCGACTGTTTCTATATCCCAGCGCTGCCTGATTTGTTTCTGCCAAACCCGGCATACTCACAACATTCACAATGGCCGCCGCTCCTACACTTGATGCGCTGGTAGACTTCAGCCAGAAGAGTCTGCTGGGTATGTTTGCAATTCTCGGCAAGCAGAGCCTGCATTCTGCGTGCTAACCAAGAGATCACATAGTGTCTGCCTGCTCGATCGCCTTCAATCCTCTTGCCTGGAAGTAAGAACTCATCCCGGAACCCTTCCCTTTTCTCATGGCTCACTAGACGTGCTCCAAACACCGCCCCTTGCTAACCGACCATATTTTATCGGGATAGCATTGTTGCGAGGCAGGGTAAGACCCCTCCTGACGAATAGATCCGGCCGAGATCGATGTGAAAACCAAACTAAACGCACGGCGACGCACCTCCGCAGAGTACCACAACAAAATCCTGACACGGCTCTTCGGCGGCAACAGCAGGGCGGCATGCTACTTTCTTGCCGTTGCCATCTTCAGCTTTGGCATTCTGCGAGACCTGTTGTACGAACGCGCGCTGCGGCACCAGCCAATACACCCCGCCCTTGACACGGATGCGACCACATACGCAGGCTATGCGCTGCTGGCGATGGGTAACGTGCTCGTCATTAGCTCAACATGGGCGCTAGGCATCACGGGCACCTTCCTCGGCGACTACTTTGGCATCTTGATGGACAGCATGGTCACGGGATTCCCCTTCAACGTCACGGACGCCCCCATGTACTACGGCAGCACCATGAGCTTCCTTGGCTCGTCGCTCGTCTACAGCAGGCCCGCTGGAGTGTTGCTCACAGCCTGGGTGTTCGTGGTGTACCAGATTGCACTCTCTTACGAAAACCCATTTACGGCAGGCATCTACGCAAAGAGAGAGAGGGAGCGTGCCGCTGCCGCCGGGGACAAGAACGAGCTGAAGAAGCAGCGTTGATGTCATCGCGAGAGCCGCGTGCGGGGTGTGGGCCACTTGACCCGCCTGGCCCGCCTGTTGTTGGGTCGCGATGGTTGGTGCTGAGGCGGTGGATGGGGAGGAAGAGGGGAAAAGGTGATCTTATGAGGACCCTGAGATGATTTTGCGGGGTCAATGGCGCTCGCGAGCGCCGCGAGTGCATGATGCCAGGTGCGTTCTACGCAGTCAATTCCCTGCCTCCTCACCCCAGCCCCTGCCCAACATATGCAGCAAGACTCAGCATCCCGGTGCTCACATTGACCAACTGGGTGCAATGTAGTTCCCGCTCGGTGTTTTTTTTTTTTTTTGCTTCTTCAAGTCTTGGATTTTCCCAATCGGCGGCTGGGATGGCATCCCGGGCATTCCGGGATACGGTACGAGGGGGCAGTTGAGCCTCAACGCGGCGTTTTGGAGCATTTGATACACTCGATCTGGCATTCAACTGTCATTAAAATGGTACTTATTTACACAATCTACCCTCTTCACTTGGACTGCCAGTGACTGCTTAGTCAATTGTGCATTACAGGCAACCTTTTTCGTCGCCCAGTGTGATTTATGGACGCGGGATCATCTGGTTGCTGCAGGTAGCCGGGTCAAGCCGGTAGTTCGTTTAGATTCCTTCCAATTTCGGATGTTTCTGTTTTCTCCTAATGCGGTCTATGGACAGCCGTCTTTGCTGCTTCCCGTCGTGGTATCTTCCTCTTGCGTCTAATGAATCTTGGGTCCTGGTTGAACCTGGCATGTGAGCTATCGTTGTTTACGTCGTTGTTCCAATGGATCCTGCTCAATTTGTGCACATTCGCCTCTGCGTAGGCGAATGCCAAAGTTAGAGACCATCAAATGTAATTCGAGAACGACGGTGACCCCGCGCCGAATGGGATTTATGACGCTGTCCGTCGATTGGACCGCGGGGAATATCTGCTGGTACCTTCTATGCATGTCAAGCCTTCCGTTTGCTCGCGGCTTGCCACGCCGATCAAGGGAGGTGGTGTGGCTGCTCGCGTGTGTGGGGTAGCAGTACGTGCCAGTAATGCAAAGAACAGAAGGCGGTGTACCGCAAGTGCCCGTCATAATGCCCGTTTCGGCCTGGTTGGCACTTGCCGTTTGCATGAATATTTTGGAATCATACGGGATATGTTTTGATGAGCATTCCATGGTTTTTTTTCCTCTTCCAGTGCTGGCAAATGTGCTCGCAGGCCCTTGTGTCTGGCAGGCTGTGGGCATGGAGGCGATGCGACGATTCGCTGGCGATTTGAGATGTCCCCACAGACATGTCCTTTCCATCCATGTCTTCTTGTGCCTTTGCGTACCTCGCCTATCTGCCATTTGCGTAGGACTTGGCCGTTTGCTCCTCCTCTGGCCTATCCAGAGCCTGGGTCACCTTGCCCTTACGCGCGGATCCTCTGCAGGAGGCCCAACGCTGACCACAAAGAAAAAAAAAAAACACTCGCCACGCATGGGTACCGTCTCAGCCAGTTTGTTTGTCAACCCGCCTGCCTTCTCTGCCAGTCCTGCCTGCCGGACTGCCTGACGTCAACGCAGCTGGCGCAGGAGCTGGGCAGCCATCAAGCCAACTAGCCGCATGTGGGCAGACCTGGCCATCCCTCCAAGACCCTAGCCAGCCAGCCTTCTCTCTTAAACCCCACCGCTCCCTCAACGACCCCGACCTGCTCGCCCTTCATCATTCGACTGCATAACCAGCGCAAACACCTATTCCGCGCATTCCTACAACTTCTTCTTCTTTTTATCATAGGAACTATTTTATTTCATCACCTCAATCCCATCCAAGCCTCGGCTGCTTGCCGCGTGTTCCCAGCTGTGAAGCCACGCGTTTTGCCTAGGTCAGTTTTATTCTGTGTTTTTCCATATGTCCCCATCCGCTGGCGCCAACCTCGCAAGTGCGAAGGACGTTAGCTGTGCGACACCAAAGAGGCACAGAGGGTCTGGCAAACAGGCATCGATTGGAAAAGATACGATGTCTTCTGGTTTCTGTCTGTGGCATCGGTGCCGTCTATCCCCAGCCTGCTCGTGCCCAGAGCCTAGCCCAATCCAAGATATCTTGATTTGATCCTTGCTACACCCCACCGTCTGTCTGTATCGCCAACATATACAACATGCCCCAACAGACCCGCATTTTTTGGCGGTCTCTTGTCCTAACATATCAGACTCCTCTAGTCGCTTCCAAACATTGGCCTGGAAGACCTCTTCTCATCCGACCGTCATCTGATATATCAGGGTCGGCGATGGCGGATCGAGGAGCTGGTCGTGGTCGAGGACGCGGCGGCGATCGCGGCGGCGATCGTGGTGGCGGTCGAGGTCGCGGTGGAGGTGATCGTGGTGGCGGCGACCGTGGCGGCTTCCGAGGCGGCGGTGATCGCGGTGGCTTCCGTGGCGGCGGTGATCGCGGTGGCTTCCGTGGCGGCGGTGATCGCGGTGGCTTCCGTGGCGGCGGCCGAGGTGGCGACCGTGGGGCTTATGGCGGCGACCGTGGCGGTGGCGATCGCGGAGGCTTCCGGGGCGGTGGAGGCTTCCGCGGTGGAGACCGTGGTGGTGGAGGCTTCCGCGGGGGCGACCGCGGCGGAGGAGGCTTTCGAGGAGGTGACCGTGGCGGCTTCCGGGGCGGCCGTGGTGGCTTCGACGACTCGGTGAACCGGGTTTTCAAGTAAGCCGACTACTTTTCTGCTCGTGTCCACAAAGGTGCTAACCCGCCATCACACAGCCCAACCAACTTGGTCCCTGCCCCAGATCCCAGGGTTACTGAGCTGGAGAACAAATGGATTAAGAATCCTACTTCTGTCACCACCCTGGAGGAACTCAGCGCCGGCCTTAGCAAGCTGGGAGTTACTGCCTCCGCATCAGAGCATGTGATCCTACCCCGCCGTCCGGCTTATGGCACGGCCGGAACCGCCATTGTCGTCTGGGCCAACTTCTTCAGTGTCAACATCAAGGCCCGGACACTGTACAAGTACGCAATCACAGTCATACGGTCAGCCGACCAGAAGCAAGCTACTGGGTCTAAGAAGCCAGCCGACCAGGTCCTTGGCAAAGTCCGCCGTGAGGTTGTGCGGAAAGCCGTGGCCGAGGTCCAGAAGAGGAACACAAAAGTTGTCATAGTCTCTGAGTTCAAGGGCCAAGTCGTTTCCTCGGCCGATCTCAGCCTGCCAGGCGACCGCGCGGTCCCGGTCCAGCACACCGGCAGCGGCAGGAAAAAGGCCGAGGACTACGTCGTCCAATTCGCCGACACGGAAGCGATCGACATCAACAATCTCCTCACATGGCTCAACACGATGGACGACAAGCTTGACCCGACGACCTTCCCCAAGTTTTCGGCGACAATCGACGCCATCGGCGTCATCATGGGCCACCAAGCGAGGATCTCCGATGATGTTGTCCCCCTCGGAAGCGCCCGCTTTTATCCTTCGGAAACTCACCGGCTGGCGGAGTTTGAGCAACTGTCTGCACTGAGGCAGATTGTGCGAGGATTCTTCCTCTCAACTCGACCGGCAACTGGGCGCCTTCTAGTCAATCTGAACGTCACTGCCGGAATCTTTTGCCGGTCTGGAAGCCTCGACGGTCTCCTCATGGACCTGTTCAGAGAGGTCAATCTCCAGCCTGGCGAGTACCGCACATGGAAGTGGACTGGAGTCAACAGGAAGCTGAAGCGCGTCAAGATCGAGGTCTGCATGTGGGAGAAGGATGGGAAAGAGCGCTGGGCGGAGCGTTCGATCCTCGAGCTTTCCAGAGGCACTGCGAGCGAGATGAAGTTCAGGCTGAATCCTCCGAAGGACCCGTCGTCCGACTTCTGGCTTGGAGGAAAGCCACTCCCGTACGGGACTGATGTGACCGTGGCAGAATACTACCAGAGGAGTACGTCATCAAGTGCTCGACCCTCGAGCCTTTGCGACATTTGGATAATCTGCTAACGCCCATCGCCAACCGCTAGAGTACAAGAAGACGCTTAACCCTAGGTTGCCGCTTGTCGTCACCGGGAACGCAAAGAACAAGATGTTCTTCCCGACCGAGTTCTGCAGAGTCGTCAAGGACCAGAACTCTACGGGCAGGCTCAACGCGCAAGAGTCAACAAACATGATCAACTTTGCTTGCCGGAGCCCCTTCAGCAACGCGGAATCCATCACCAAGACGGGTCGGGAGCTCTTGTCGTTAACCGGGGTCAACAGGATTCTGCGGGAGTTCGGCATCGAAATTGGCCAGAACCTGATCACAGTCAATGCCCGGATCCTGCCGAGCCCCAAGATCAGCTACCTGGGGACGTCAAGCATGGTGACGCCGTCGGACGGATCGTGGAACATGCGTAACGTCAAGGTTGTGCAGCCCGGGTCTGTTCCGTCCTGGGGATTCGTCAACATCAACGGCCAGAATCCGCGCTTCCAAACGTCGATGGAGGAGGTCACCAACGTCATGAAGGCCTTTGCTGAGTTCCAGGCGAAGAATATGGGAATTAGGATCGGGCCTTTGACTCAGAGCACCAAACGTGCTCAGATGATCCATCGAGAGGGCTCGGAGCTCGACGATTTCAGGAATGCTGTCAAGTCGATCTCGCCGGCTCCGATGATGCTGTTCGTCGTAATCCCAGACTCCAAAGACGCGACTCTGTACAACTCCATCAAACGGGTCGGTGACGTCGAGCTCGGGGTCCACACGGTTTGCATGGTGCGCAAGAACCTGTTCAACGACCGCGGCCAGATGCAGTACTTTGCGAACGTTGGCCTCAAAGTCAACCTCAAGGGCGGGGGTGTCAACCACAAGCTCTCAGCCGACATCCCACTGCTCAAGGCCGGCAAAACGATGGTGGTGGGCTGGGATGTACTGCACCCCACCAACCTTGGCGTCGACAAGGAATCGGGCCTCCCATCCGTGGCTGGGCTCGTCGCTACCGTCGACGGAAATCTTGGACAGTGGCCGGCGGTTGGTTGGGCTCAGGCGGGTGGCCAGGAGATGGCCGACTCCAAGCTCCAGGGTGCATTCGAGAGCCGCCTGCGTCTTTGGATGAAGCACAACCAGAATCGGGTCCCCGAGAACATCCTCATCTTCCGGGACGGCGTTTCTGAGGGGCAGTTTGCCACGGTGGTCAACCAGGAGCTACCCATGGTCCGGAAGGCTTGCGCGGCCATCTATCCGGCCAAGCAGCGGCCGAAGATTACCATCGTCACGGCTGTTAAGCGGCATCAGACTCGCTTCTTCCCGTCTCACGAAAGCTCCAAAACCAGGACCGGAAACGTCCTTCCAGGCACAGTGGTGGACCGCGACATCACGACGGCTCGCTACTGGTCGTACTTCATCGTCGCGCACAATGCGCTCAAGGGAACCGCCCGCCCGGCCTCGTATACCGTCCTTCACAACGAGATCTTCCCTTCGGTTAAGGGACAGAACGCTGCGGCAGAGCTCGAGAAGCTGACGCACGAGATGTGTTACCTTTTCGGCCGGGCTACCAAGGCAGTGTCCATCTGCCCGCCCGCCTACTATGCCGACATCGTGTGCACGCGCTACAGGGCGTACCTGTCGGAGTTGTTCGACGGCGTCATCTCTGGAGGGAGTGTCACGAGCGGGTCTAGCGGCTCGTCTGGAAACGCACAGCGCCTGCTGGAGGCCGCCGATAAGTTCAGCGTCCACCAGAGGATGCAGGACTCGATGTTTTACATCTAGAGTCTTGCTCAGGTGGACTCGCAGCTGCCAATCTTTTCCCATTCTTTTTCATCTTCATTTTCTGTCTTTGGACTCTAAGATTGACGACTATCTGTGGCTTATAGGCCTAGCCGGGCCTGGGGCAGAAGCGATGATTCCACATCCTGGATATTATGTACTGGATATTCATTTTGGAGCGTGTGGTGGTGTACTTGGTTGCCGCATGGCATCTTTCCGGATATCGTGGTTCTCGGGTTGGCTCAGGCCGGACGGGAATCACTAGGTAGCGAAAAAGTTTTACTGTAGGGATTACAAATACCAATGATGGTCCAATCTTTTCGGACTTCGTGGTCCTGAACTCGGCTTTGCTTAGGTTCTTTTTGTTAGGGAGCGTGCGCTATCACGGGCGCTATTAATCTCCCGTGCTGACCGTTCCCGCCGCTAGTGTCATCGGGGGTCGACTCCGACGGGCGGTGTGGGGCAGGCTCACATAGTGTGGGGTTGATTGCCATGGAGGGGGAGACCAGCAGCGATGCTCCAATGATTTCTCCAATTCGTACAGCGGCAGCACCTTCGTCTCTCGGTAGGTACTGTCAGAAGTGGGGTTCGCACAATGACGATACTTGCGGGCGCGGAGAGCAGATCCGGGGGCTCGCTCAAGGGGTCCCGAGTCTGTCTGTGCCCGTTATAAGGCTTCGGTTGCTTGCATTCTTGGCCGCCTGCCTTTTCTCTTGCCATCGTCACTGAGAATCCATATTCTGGGCTGTGTTGCTCGCTGAATATCTGGGCGTTGTGCTGTGTCGTCGACAGCTTATCCCCCAATATCACCAGGTACTTGCACAGAGCGAGACAGCCTCTCCAGAATCAGACGGCCAAAATGGGGTCCGCCCAACCACAAAAGAAGAAGAGCGTGAGGATCGCCATCGACAGGGGCGGTACCTTTACGGACTGTGTGGGCAACCTAGACGGCGAGGATGTCGTCATCAAGCTGCTGTCCGAGGACCCGGCCAACTACTCGGACGCGCCACTCGAGGGCATCCGTCGCATCATGTCGCACTTCCTCAAGCGTGACATCCCCCGCGGCGAGCAGCTCGACACCTCGGACATCGAGTCCATCCGCATGGGCACTACCGTCGCAACCAACGCCCTGCTCGAGCGCAAGGGCGAGAAGATCGCCCTCGTCGTCACGCGCGGCTTCCGCGATTGCCTCGCCATCGGCAACCAGTCCCGCCCCAAGATCTTCGACCTCGCCATCCGCAAGCCCGATGTGCTGTACTCGGCCGTCGTCGAGCTCGACGAGCGCGTCACCCTCGAGGATTACGCCGAGGACCCCTACCGCAACTTGACAAAGCCCGCCGTCAAGGCTGGCTCTCCCGAGGCTCTGACTGCCGATCTGGTTATGGGCCTGTCGGGCGAGGCCGTCCGCATATTACAGAGGCCCGAGGACCAGGCCGTGCGTCGTCAGTTGCAGGACATCTACGACTCGGGGATAAGGAGCATAGCAGTCTGCCTGATGCACGCCTACACATTCCCGGATCACGAGGCCCTGGTTGGCCGGATAGCCCGCGAGATGGGCTTCCACCACGTCTCACTCAGCTCGGAGCTGATGCCCATGATCAAGCTCGTATCACGCGCTACCTCGGTCTGCGCCGATGCCTACCTCACCCCTGCCATCAAGAAGTACATCGAGGGTTTTCAGAGCGGGTTCAAGGGGGGGCTTGGCACACGCGGCGTCCGGGAAACAGAGGGCGAGCGAGGAGCTCGCTGTGAGTTCATGCAGAGCGATGGTGGCCTGGTCGATGTCGACAAGTTCACAGGCCTCAAGGCTATCCTGTCGGGCCCTGCCGGTGGCGTGGTCGGCTATGCCATCACGTCATACGACGAGGCGACCAAGATCCCCGTCATTGGCTTTGACATGGGTGGCACTAGCACCGACGTTTCGCGCTATGGCGAGGGTCGATACGACCACACTTTCGAAACCACAACGGCTGGCGTGACCATCCAGTCGCCGCAGCTCGACATCAACACGGTCGCGGCAGGCGGCGGCTCGCGCCTCTTTTTCAAGAACGGCCTTTTCGTCGTCGGTCCGGAGTCCGCTGGCGCCCATCCGGGCCCTGCCTGCTACCGCAAGGGCGGCCCCGCCACCGTTACTGACGCAAACCTCTTTTTGGGTCGGCTGCTACCCGAGTTTTTCCCCAAGATCTTTGGCAAGAACGAGGACGAGGGCCTGGACGTCGAGGCAAGCAAGAATGTTCTGCAGGAGCTGACGGACGAGGTGAACCGGGACTCGGAGAAGCAGATGACGGTCGACGAGGTCGCCTTCGGCTTCCTGACAGTGGCCAACGAGAGCATGACGCGACCTATCCGGTCCATCACCGAGGCCAAAGGCCACGACTCGTCCAAGCACCGCCTGGCAACCTTTGGCGGCGCTGGTGGGCAGCACGCTGTCGCCATAGCCGAGGCCTTGGGTATCAAGCAGATCCTTGTGCACCGCTACTCGTCCGTGCTGTCGGCGTACGGCATGGCACTTGCCGATGTGGTCGATGAGAGGCAGGAGCCCGAGTCTACGGTCTGGGCCGACAAAGGCAAGGTTGTGGAGGACCTCAAAAGCAAGATGGAGAAGCTCAAGGAAAAGTCGAGGTCAGCACTGCGAGACCAAGGCTTCGAAGACAGCGAGATCGTGTTCGAGGAGTACCTCAACATGCGGTACCGCGGCACCGAGTCTGCTCTCATGATTGTCAGGCCGTCTGCCCAAGAAGCGGGCGATCACTTTGGCGGCGATGACTGGGCCTTCGGCAAGGCCTTCGTCAAGCAGCACCGGTACGAGTTTGGGTTCACCCTTGACGAGCGCGACATCATCGTCGACGACGTGCGTGTGCGCGGCATCGGCAAGAGCTTCAGCTACAGCGAGAAGTCGGTTGACGCGCAGCTCAAGGTGCTCAAGCGGAGCGAGCTCACGGGTAGCGCGAAGCGTCACTCGACTGCCCAGGTGTACTTTGAGGGTGGCCGGATCGAGACGCCGATATACAAACTCGAGGACCTGGCTGTCGGAGACAGGCTGCCCGGCCCTGCCGTCCTCGCCGACGGGACACAGACCATTGTGGTTGCTCCCAAGACGGCGGCCCTCATCTTGGATACCCATGTCATCATCAACATTGACGAGGATAAGAAGAAGGACGACGAAGCGCAACAGGCAGGCGGCAAGCGCGAGGTGGACCCCATCATGCTGAGCGTTTTTGGCCATCGTTTTATGGCCATCGCAGAGCAGATGGGCCAGGCGCTGCAGAAGACGAGTGTCAGCACCAACGTCAAGGAGCGGCTCGACTTCTCATGTGCCATCTTCGACGCGGGTGGCGGACTTGTGGCGAACGCGCCCCATCTGCCTGTACACTTGGGTTCCATGAGCACCTGCGTCAAGCGGCAGGCCGAGATATGGAAGGGCAAACTCAAGAAGGGAGACGTGATTGCGACGAACCACCCGTCGTACGGTGGTACTCATCTCCCCGATGTGACGCTCATAATGCCGGCTTTCAACGAGGCAGGCGACAAGATCCTATTTTACGCGGCCTCGCGAGCGCACCACGCAGACATTGGAGGCATCACGGCAGGCAGCATGCCGCCGCACTCGCGCGAGCTGTACCAGGAGGGCGCGTCGATCAAGAGCGAGAAGTTTGTGAGCGAGGGCAAATTCGACGAGGAGCGCGTGATCGAGCTGTTCTACCACGAGCCGGCGCGGCAGCCGGGCTGCAGTGGCACGCGCTGCCTGGCCGACAACATCAACGACCTGCGGGCGCAGGTGTCGGCCAATCAAAAGGGCATCTCGCTGATCGAGGGCCTGATCCAGGAGTACGGCGAGAGCACGGTCGACTTCTACATGGTGGAGATCCAGAACAATGCCGAGTACTGCGTCCGCAGGCTTCTCAAGGAGGCCAGCGCGCGCTTCGAGGGCAAGGACCTGTCGGCCGAGGACTTTATGGATGAGGGGAGCCCCATCAGGCTCAAGGTCACCATCGATGCCGAGAAGGGCGAAGCTGTCTTTGACTTTGCCGGAACTGGACCTGAGATCTACGGGAACGTCAACGCCCCCGAGGCCATCACTTACAGGTAAGGGGACTTGGCGCTTGACTGGTTTGTTGGGCTCGAAATGGGGGAGCTGACGCACACTGACACTGTCACAAAAATCAGTGCCATCATCTACTGCCTGAGGTGTTTGATCTCAGAGGACATTCCTCTCAACCAGGGATGTTTGAAGCCTATTCACGTCAAGATCCCTCCAAAGTCACTTCTATCGCCATCTGACCGGGCGGCTGTTGTGGGAGGTAACGTGCTGACGAGCCAGCGCGTGACTGATGTCATCTTCAAGGCCTTCCAGGCGTGCGCCGCAAGCCAAGGATGCTGCAACAACCTCACCTTTGGATTCGGCGGCAACGTGGCAGGGCAGACCGAGGTCAAGGGATTCGGCTACTACGAGACCATCTCGGGCGGGTCTGGGGCCGGACCGACGTGGGAGGGCACCAGCGGCGTGCATGTGCACATGACCAACACGCGCATCACCGACTCGGAGATCTTTGAGCGGCGGTACCCCGTGCTGCTGCGCGAGTTCTCGATCCGGCCGGGGTCCGGCGGCAACGGGCAGCACCGGGGCGGCGACGGCGTGATCCGCGACATCGAGTTCCGCATCCCCCTGCAGGTGTCGATCCTGAGCGAGCGCCGGGTCTACAGGCCATATGGCATGGCGGGCGGCGAGCCCGCCGAGTGCGGCCTCAACCTGTGGGTGAGGAAGGTGGCCAAGACCAGCTGGGAGAAGTCGCTCAAGAAGATCCAGGGCGGCGACGATGCCAAGGACGAGGATGACAAGTCGGTCGAGTACGAGGAGCGCTTCATAAACCTCGGGGCCAAGAACAGCGCGCCGATGCAGGCGGGCGACCGCATCATCGTTAACACGCCCGGCGGCGGCGGCTGGGGCCCCGTCGGGCAGGCGAGCGTCTCGAGCCGCAAGGCGGACCCGCAGGACAGCTGGCGCAGGGGTACCCACGGCGCCAGGGAGGACACGTCTCTGCAGGCGTAGAGGTGGTGGTGTATATGTAGTAATAGCAGGCGAGAGCAAGGCTGCTGCATGGCCGGGTTTTGGATACAAGAAGCTGCAGAGTCTGTCTGGTGATTTGAAAGGACGATGACTTATCTTGACAACCAGACCGAGTGCCCAACCTAGGTAGCTATACCTCGGATGTAGATGGGCATTGAAAGATGGGAAGGAGGGCAAATGCTCACATCCATGTGAGATAATGACAATGACATGGCCCAAAGATGAGTCCAAGATAGGAAAAGGGTACCAACTAGTACATACACGAATTGTCAGCAACTGAGTCTGGTATCTACGGCGGACCCACTACCCCCGACGTATTGCTAGCACCTGCCCTGTAGGGGAGCTGTCCCCGCGGGCTACAGCGGTAAACCCCACCATTCAGCAACAACAGACTGGTCTCCTGTAGCCAGGCCTCAATACATGTATTCAATGACATGAACACCGCATCTGACTGAACAGAGCTAAACGGAACGACACGAAACAACCCCACAAACACAAGATGGCGGTCTTCTCGGACGAGGAGTGGGCCGAGACGGAAAAGGAGATACCGCGGCCGACGGACGGGCTGGTGCAAAAGTACCTCGAGGGGCGCGCCGGGCTGGCGGCGCAGGAGGCGCGGCAGCGGAGCGACCACGCGTTCCGGCAGGCGCTGTCGCCCATCGCGCGGCGGGCGTGCGGGGTGGTGGAGCGGATGCGGGCGGCCGAGAGCGCGCGCGTGTGGAACGCCGGGCTCGAGGAGGCCATCGCGGTGCGCGAGGCCGGGCGCGTGACGGTGCACCCGGGCATGATGTTCGGGCTCGCCAAGGACGCCATGGAGACGACGGACCTGTGGCGCGTCGCGCGCCGCATGCCCAAGGGCGCCCTGCTGCACGCCCACAACGACGCCATGGTCGACATGGGCTTCCTGATCGCGGAGGTGCTCGCCACGCCCGGCATGCACGTCGCCTGCGCCGATTCGGACCTCGCCACGGCCGAGGCGCGGGCGGACTGCGCGCCTGTGTTTCGGTTCCTGAGGGCGACGCCGCCGGGCGCCGAGGGGATGGACATCTGGTCCGAGGACTACGTGCCGGGGACGTTTGTGCCGGCCGCGCGGGCCGCCGACACGTTCCCCGGCGGCGGCGGCGGCGGCAGCGACGGCGGCGGGGGAGGAGGACGGGCGGCGTTCGAGGCCTGGCTCAAGTCGCGCGTCACCATCTCGCGCACCGACGCGACGGAGCAGCACCACGGGCAGGACCACATCTGGGCAAAGTTCATGCGCTGCTTCCAGATCACGGGGTCCATGCTGCACTACGAGCCCGTGTTCCGCGCCTTTCTGCGCCGCGTGCTGCGCCTGCTGCACGACGACGGCGTGGCCTGGGCCGAGTTCCGCCACACGTGGCCGCTCGACTACTGCCGCGAGGGCCGCGACCGGCCCGAGGAGGACTACATGCACATGTTCACCGTCATCGACGAGGAGGTGGCGCGCTTCAAGGAGGAGAACCCGTCCTTTTGGGGCCTACGCATGATCTGGTCGTCGCACCGCGCCGCGCCCGCCCGGTCCATGGCGTCCGACATGGTGCTGTGCGTCGAGACCAAGCGCGCGTTCCCGCACCTCGTGGCCGGCTACGACGTGGTCGGGCAGGAGGACAAGGGCCCTCCCCTCAAGGACCTGTTCCCCATCCTGGCCTGGTTCCGCAAGTTATGTGCAGAGGAAGGGGTGCAGATCCCGCTGTTCCTGCACGCGGGCGAGACGCTCGGCGACGGCACCGACACGGACGGCAACCTGTTCGACGCGGTGCTGCTGGGCGCGCGCCGCGTCGGCCACGGCTTCTCGCTCTACAAGCACCCGCTCCTGATCGAGCTCGTGCGCGAGCGCCGCATCCTCATCGAGAGCTGCCCCATCAGCAACGAGGTGCTGCGCCTGTGCTCGAGCGTGCTGTCGCACCCGCTCCCGGCCCTGCTGGCCAGGGGGATCCCCTGCGCCCTCAGCAACGACGACCCGGGCATGCTCGGCCACGACACGGCCGGCGCCACGCATGACTTTTGGCAGGCCCTGCAGGGGTGGGACAACCTCGGCCTGGCGGGGCTGGGGTCGCTGGCCGAGAACAGCGTGCGCTGGGCCGCGTTCGAGGACGAGGACGATGCCACCTGGGTCAAGGGGATCAAGGAGGCGTCACTAGGGGAGGGCATCAAGGCCAAACGGCTCAAGGAGTGGGCCGTTGCGTGGGAGGAATTTTGTTTGTGGGTTGTTACTGAATACGGCGACCGATATCTGGACGACGAGGAGGCTGTAGAGGCGGCGGGCTAAGGGTGTTGTGGGGGTGTGAAAAGATGATGAGCAGTGTACGATATAACGAAGGGATGGACGAGCAAACGATCCGGAACGTATAACGTCCTAACCTGTCCAAAAATATAAGAAAGGAGGTTAGGACAAAATACCCAACCCAACAACCAACTACCTGCCTTACAAAATAAACAATAACGCATAAAAATAGCAAAAAAAAAAAAGGTACGATATGCCTGTACAGGCGCACCGGGAATTGAGCCCGATGCGGGGGTCGAACCCGCAACCTTGAGATTAAGAGTCTCACGCTCTACCGATTGAGCTAACCGGGCGATGGCTCCGATACGGGGAATCGAACCCCGGGCTCGGCAGGACTCGGGACTGGGAGGTCGGTTGAGAGTGCCGGATGTTAGCCACTACACCATATCGGATGATCGCTTGCGTTGTGATTGTTGACTCACCGTGGCGGCGGGAGCTTTATGATGCGTGTGGCCGTCGCTGGCCCACCGAGGGGACGGGATGGGGGTCGTAGGGCTCCGCCCTGCTGCGGTGGCCCGTCGGCGTCATGGCCGCTAGGAGGTCAAAGCCACGTGGAGGGCTTGCTTATCACGCTTGACGGGAAATGAGGACCGACAGGAGCAAACATGGCATGGCCAGACGCTAGCTACGGACACGTTGGTTGGGACGGCCACGTGGTACGGATGGTGAGAGCCGCATGTCACAGAGCTACACCATGTCGGATCTCGTGAGAGTTCGGCTTTGTTGGGAAATGGGGCTGCCATGTGGGGTTTGTAGCAGTTTTATTTTCACACGCTAGCCAGGATGAGGGTGTAGAATACGACTGCCACCGAGTTGACGAACGGGTGGTGGCCATGGGTAGTATAAAAGGAAAGAAGGAAGAAACAAGGGCGAAAATCCATATGTTTGGTTGGACTATCAACAAACTGTTACAACGTCTTGGCAACAGCTTATTTCCTGATCAGGTATTCGCATGTTACTGCTTCTCTACCGAGAAACGTCTGCAGTATCCCATCTCGGAAGTGTTTTTGCAGTTTGACAAGCGCCCCGTCGCATACTCCATGACCGAGCCCGCGGTATGCCTGCCACGGTCGACTCGATGATCGGCATGTTTCACATCTCGTGATTTCGGAGGCAGAGACAGAATCATTTCTACCGCCGCTGTGCCGCGGAGGCCTACGTCTATAGCAGTTAGCATCATCAAGACAAACACAGCCAAGACAAAATGCAAGCAAAGCGCCAAGTAGCATCGTTCAGACATATTTGAGAAGATTTTGGTAACGCGGTTGCTTTCGGCATACATCCTCTTACGGCCTCGTCCGCTCCGAGGAGCAGCCGAGACCAGGGAGTGTTCGATGGCCCCGCGGCAGTCATCACGCGATGTAGGTTGGTTGGCGAGCCTAGGAGGTATCAAGGGACAGGGCAAAAAAATGGGCTCACCTGTGTTTCTTGCCCAAAACTGCTAATGCGAGCAGTTGTGTGACGCCATGAAGACGGCGCCGCGGGTGGATTTCACGCTTCATGCCGTGCCAAGTCACGTCTCGGGCTTGAGCTTCCGCTTCTCCCTGAGCTGTTGCAGCTTGGACCTGTCGTCCTCGAAGCGGCGAGCAAGCGCGTCGTGCTCCGCCTTTTGCTTCTCCCGCTGCTGGAAGCGGTAGAAGCCGCCCGACAGCTCCGCCTTGCGACGCTCCTCCCTCTCGGCCAGGCGCTGCCTCGTCCGCTCTGCCTCCTCCCTGCTGACCGGGGCCGTCCTCGACGACCCTCCGCGCGTTACCGTAATGAAGCCATCAGCGTCGGGCTCGTTACGCAGCCTCTTGGAAAGCTCAGTAGCCTCGCGCTCGCGCTTGTTGAATAGGGTAAAGAAGGAGTTGACGGCCGACTCCACCAGCTCGCGGTCCGGGAACGAAAGCTGGTTGTGGCCGCGCAGCCAGGGAGCGCCCAAGGGTGGCGGGGCGTCCTTGGAATCGCCATGGACACCCCAGACGGGATACTTTTTGGTTTTGTGAGCCTTTGCAATGGCCTTTAGGGCCAGGCTGACACTACGTTCGTCAGCCATGATGGCCACTGCTGTGCTGCCGCTGCGTCTCAGCCGTCGCGGCCATGTCTCCAACAGCGTTCTAGCGGCTTGGAGCTCTGCGGCCTCGTCGTCGTCCTCCACCTCGCCTCTTTTCCTCTTGTTGGAGTTGTGCGCTGCCCGGGCTAGACGGACCGCCTGGGACGGCAGCAAGGAAGCGCATTTACTGCGCTTCTGGTCGTCGAGGAACGTCATGTCCTCGAACTTGCCGGCGCCCACGAGGGCAGCGAACACGGCCCGAAAGTGTGCCGAGGTGCTGTCTGCGGGGACGTTGGCCAGAAATAGAGACCGATCATCGTCGGGGGTTGGGATCTTGGGAGTGTGGCGTCTCAGGTAGACGTGGTGCACAGCGGCGTGGGGGTAGGCGGGCGAGGCGGGGAAGACGACGGGCAGGACAGAGAAGTCACCGAGCATGGCTGGCACGACCCCTGATGCGGCCGTGGCCCCTGATACCGTCGCGGTTCTAGCCCCCATGGCTCGGGCCGAGGGGACGGACCAGAGCAGAGTCGGAAGAGTCGAGGCTGGGGCCTTGAAGTTCCAAGACAAGGTTGCGGGCTCCGAGCCGGGGCGGGAAAAAGGGAGGTCCCGCGGCGGTGCTGTAGGAACAGAAAGATGTGGCGAGGGCTTGGGGTACGCGATTGAGAGCCTGGAACTTGTGGTCTGGGATTTCTAGGATTGAGCATCGTCACGACAAAACGGCCAGAAACGCGCTCAGGCGCCGATTTGGAAAATTTCTTGCTGGGGTCCTGCGATCTTATCGCAGCCCCACAGTCTCTATGTGGGCCTATGCCAGAGCGTGGCGAACCGCACCACTGCCGCCAAGAAACAGGCAGGCTGGGCAATGCTATTGGAGCCTCGATAGATCAAGTGGTTGTCTATTACAGCCTATCCTATAGGACTATCTCGTTCCTGCTTCCTACATACCTTCTTTTCCTCAGTTGCCCCGTGGTCATAACTTTCCCCTGCACCTAGATAGCCAGAGCCGGCGCAACGCGGCCAGATAGAAATGCCCAACCACCGTCGCGGGCACGTCAGAGAGTCTCCGTGGAGGCTGCTCAGCGGGGGCTAGCTAAATTGATTTCATTTCATTACCTTCTTTTCCTCATCTGCGATACTATTTTTTCTTTTTTCTGTCTCTTCTTTATCCCTTGTATCCCTTTGGCTGTGCGTTAGGTTCGTCCGGACTGCACGCTTTCGTTCGGCATGTGCCAACTAGGCTATCCTAGAACCAACACCTGGAGCCACTGACAAACACGCGGCCCTCCAGAGGCAACTTGCGGCACTCAAATGCAGCGACCTTCTCCTGATCGATCGTCATTCTCATCTGACTGCCACACGGGGTCTTCCTGGCGCCAAACTACCCACTAGCATCCCCAGGTCTAGCCGCCACCTAGACAACCGTTCTCGCATTCCTTAACCAGCAATCGCCGTTTTGCTGGCTGCCGCAGTCATATTAGTGTGACCAGGCAACGTTATCATTTCCGCCCTCCCTCCGACGTCAGGTCTGGCCTCCTCTGTTGGCAACCCTCGATATTGGTATCAATATATGGGTGACCATCCTCTAACATCAGGGCAGCAGCTGGGACTCTGCTGCCCCTGAGTCTGCACCATCCGAGCCCAGAAACGCACAACGAATGCCTCCCCTGCCCCGGCCGGTAGTTGGCTTTAACTCCCCAGAGTACACGGGTCCCAGGCAGGTGCTGGATAGCGTGCTCTCCATAGTAGGTAGTAATGAAGCCGGTTAGAAGTAGAAGCCCACATACTTGCCTGAAACCCCCTTGGCAACGGTCTGTCAATTATATTCATCTACGCGTTCGACAGCGCGGCTGGCTTGGCACCTCTCTGCCGCTGCGAGTTTTGCGTGTGTGCATACCTCATCGAGAAGCAGGTTCGCACATCGGCATATTCCTCCCGAGTGCACCCAAGGATAAGACGAGACGAGCCTCGATCAGATTCACCCTGTTTCGCTTACACCGAACCTCTGATCGGGTGCCGAGAAATCGCTATATAGACCTCTATAGCCTATGCCCCACGCTTGACCGATTGGTGTCATGCCCGTGTCAGGCTGGGCCTCGACATGGGACTGGCCTCGAGGTGCCGCCGACCTCGTCCAGGCGATGCTATCTCGGCGCCCGAGGGCGCAGGCCATGCGCGCCAGCTGCCGTCTATGGCTTGATGACTACGAGCGCCGGCTAGTCAGCCAGTATTGGTGTGATTATTGCCTCTGTAACCGGCCATGCCGCAGCTTGATGTCGGAATACATCACCACGTATAAGGGACGCCTGCCGCTCTCCCAGTCGCAGGCCGGAAAGACGAAACCCCATCACATCACGCCAAGCCGGCCATCATCATCCTCGTCACCGTCGTGCTGGCCGTTTTTGTCGACTCATTCCTCTACGGCCTCATCCTACCTGTCATCCCCTTGGCCTTGTCAGCGCAGACGGGCGAGCCCGAGAGTCAGCGCCAGGTATGTTGTAGCAAGCACGACACGGCCGGCCCCAGCATCGGCCTCTTCATGGACTACATCAGCATCGCCCTGTCGGGCGGCCTGCTCGTCTCGCCCCTCATCGTCGGCGTCCTGTACGAGACCCACGGCTACTACTCGGTCTACTCGGTCCCCTTCGCCCTGATCGTCTTGGACATTGTGCTCCGCCTGCTCATGATCGAGAAGCGCCACGCGGCCCAGTGGCTGCCCGAGGTCGTTGAGGATTCCGCCGGCTCGCAGTCCGACTCGGGCACCTCGTCCGCCCCCGACGCGGCCGGCGAGCAGGAGAAGAAGATCGTGGTCGCGGCCACCACAGCGGCGGCGGCCCCGGCCCAGCTGGACGCCGCGCCCAAGGGGGGGCTGGCGAACCACCGCTACGTCCGCCTCATCAAGTCCCCGCGCATGCTCGCCACCCTGGCCGGCGTCGCCGTGCATGCGGCCGTCATCGTCTCGCTCGAGGTCACCGTGCCGCTCTTTGTCAAGAACACGTACGGCTGGAACTCGACCGCGGCCGGGCTCGTCCTGCTCGCATCTATGCTCCCGAGCCTGTTATCGCCGGTGTAAGTTTCTTGTCTCTTTTCTCCGAAACCCCCAACACCGCCGTTTGCCCATTTTCTGACGTGTATCGTTTTTTCCCGCGGCGTGCAGGATAGGCGCAATTTCGGACAAGTACGGCGCCAAGTGGCCCTCGTTTATCGGCTTCCTGCTCTCCATCCCGGTCCTGGCCTGCCTGCGGTTTGCCGAGATCGACAGCACCCTGGCCCAAAGGTCACGCTAATGGCGCTCCTAACCGTGCTGGGAATCACTATGGGGATGGCCGACTCGGTAAGTCTTCCCAGTGGATGCGTCATTGAAAATAAGGAAGAAAAAGCACCGACTAACTTAGTCGTGAATCCAGCCCCTGATGGCCGAGATCACATACGCAATCCAGGACGCCGAGGCCGCAGATCCGGGGATGTGGGGGAAAAAGGGAGTCTATGGGGCTGCTGTGAGTATAATCCGCCGGTCCATCACCCCGCAAAACGGCGCACCTCCACGATTCGGTTTGCTGACTTGGGATCACCTTCACAGTATGGACTGTTTACCACCTTTTATGCGCTCGGGGAGACCTGCGGCGGCCTCATGGGCGGCTACCTCGTTTCGGGCGTGGGCTGGTCGACCTACACCTGGGCCATCTCACTCTGGTGCGTCGTCGGCTCCGTCGCCATCGTCTTGTACGTCGGCGGCGACAGACGGCCAGGCAAGGCTGCTTCGATTGTTTGAGAAGAATGATACCCAACAAGAACTGAGCTCAAGTGAGGGGGAAAAAAGAAAAAAGAGATAAAAGGTGAAAAGGTGAAAAGAAGAAGAAAGGGCTCACACCCGCCGACATTGCATTCAGGGAGTTTCATAGCGGAGTATAGCGTGGATTTTGGCTGGAGTATTGGTTTTCAGGAATCTGTGTATTATGTATCGGTGGTCAAGTGGCGAGTAACGAATTATGAGAGATAAAAACAAGAATTTTAAGCAGCAGCGGAAGCAGGGAATCAGGGGCCGCTAGCCGATGCATCACTAAAGAGCAATGACCACTAGCGAGGAAAGGCGTCCTCTTAACAGCACAAGCAGAGGCGAACAAGTGAGCCTGTGCCGACGCGAGTCCCGGGCCAAGAAAAGGGTGGAAACCCCAACTGTGAGGCGTATATTCCGTCGTCCCGGCCAAGCCTCTAGGCGCTTGGGGAAAGCTACCTAATCCGGAAGTTTTGGACTTTTCCCCTCCTCCCCTTGTCATGTCATGGCTCAGATCTCGACCACGATCCTGCCCACGCCGCGGCTGACGCACGGCAGCATGTGCCCGGCAGCTTTCTTCTCGTCCTCCGTCAAGGCCGTGCCGCGGTGGTCGACCTGCCCTGCCACGAGTCGTATCTTGCAGGTGCCGCAGTTGCCGACCTCGCAGCTCGACGGCGCCGCGTCGACGCCAAACTCCTTCTGCATGACCTCGAGCAACGTCTCCTCGGCACCCACCTGTAGCGTAACCTCCTTCTCCTCCTCCCCCTTGGCAGTGGCGGCCTTCTTGACGACCACGGCCTCGAACGGGTCGCCCGAGGCGTCGGCCTCAAAGGCCTCAAAGTGCACCTCGCGCCCGCCCAGGCCGGCGGCGCGCGTCACGCGCAGCGCCTCGTCCATCATGCGGCGCGGGCCGCAAAAGTACAGCTGCGAGTTCCAGGGCAGGGAGGCGACGATTTTTCCAATGTCGAGCCTGCGGCCGGCGTCGGCCGCGTATAGTACGAGGGCGCCGTCACGCGCGGCGAGGGCGTCGACGCGGTCGCGGAACGGCACGTCGCCAGCGGCGGCCGAGCGGACGGCGTAGTGCAGCGTGGCGCTCAGGTGGACGTCGCGCATCTTCTCGACGAGGGCCAAAAAGGCCGTGAGGCCGATGCCGCCGGCTACGAAGACGTGGTTGCTCGCCGACGGCGCGCGCGGCACGCCCGCCGTGAAGCGCCCCACCGCCACCACGTCGCCCTCGGCCGCCGCCTCGTGCAGGTGCCGGGACGCGCCGCGGCCGTCGGCGGCGAGCGCGACGCCCAGCTCGAACCGGTTGAGCGAGCCCGACACGACCGAGTAGTTGCGCACGAGCCCGTTGCCCAGCCTGAGCTTGACGTGCGACCCGGGAGCGAGCTCCGGGTCCTCGACCGGCTCGGTCGCCTCCAGGATGAAGGACACGACGCGCGGCGTCTGGCGCCTCTTCTCCACGATGCGGAACTCGCGCCACTGCAGGGCCTCCTCGGCCGCCGTCTCGGCCCTGCGCTCCTTGGCCCTCTGCTTGGCCACGCGCCGCCTGAAGGCGCCCGCGCACTCGTCGCCGAACTCGGGGATCGAGGCGAGCTCCTCGTTCATGGGCCCGTTGCCCGGGTCGCGGTGCAAGTATTCCTGCACGCGCTCGATGGTCCAGGTCGGATGTCGGCGCTCCACGAGCCGGACCTCGTCCCCGGCCCGGACGCTGCCCGGCCGCAGCACGCGGTAGTACCAGCCGGTGCGGCTGAGGCGCCACGTGTTGGGGGCAAAGTCCTTGATGCGGAACCGGTGGTTGAGCTTGAAGCACGGCTGGCGCGGCAGCGACACCTGCAGCCGCAGCTCCGGCCCGACCTCGACCACGTCGCCGATGCAGACGCTGCGCTCGCTCATGCGCCCCAGCACCAGGTTCTCCCCGAACGCGCCCGGCGCGAAGAGCGCCGCCGCCGATGGGAACTCGGCCTGCCAGCTGGGGTAGTGCGCTGAGCAATCTGGCGACGGTACCTTGACGTCAGCTTCTCGCATGTGGCCCAGAGTCAGATAGATAGAGCCATCTATGCGCAACCACGTCCTCGGGACTGGGCGCCAAGGCTGATCACCCCCCGCTCACAGGCATGGACGGCCTTGTCGACGCCGCCGTGGAAAGTGTAGTCGTGCTCGTCGCCCTCGATGCCCATCTCTCCGACGTGCATCGCGCCATCATGTGGCGTTTTGAAAATCCCTGTCTGCACGTTTATTTCCTCGAAACTCCGCATCTTGCCCGTGCGGACCTCGAGGACGGTATCAACTAGAACCTCAGCGGAGCCAAGTCCGACGGGCCCTTGTTGAGACATTTTGCCAGGTTGCAGTGCTCGCGTGACGATGGGTAATTCGTATCATATATTGAGCTGGCGCGGTTTGTCGCCGTTATGGTGTCTTGGCCGAATTAGATATGTAATCATGACCAAAGATGCAGTCTGGTCCCAGGAACGAGTCAACCAATCACACCACTGCGTGCGGGGTTGCATTAGCATCGGGCTTGGTGTACGGCTGGGGCGTCCCCCGAGACTGATGTTTTGAGGCTCTGTCATACCCATCAAACTTCCGCTTTCCATACGAATGGCGCAGCCAGTATGGTGTCGGTGAACTCGCCCATCCAGCCTACTGTACTCCTTCGGCGGCTGACGCTCGTATGCTGTCCTAGCGAGGTACTAGGGGCACATGAAGCTGTCACGAGATCCAGACTTAATTGCCTGGGTGGCCATAAGCGGCAGGAGGCGGCGCGAAAATATGACATACCTTGCAACTGTGAGATTCGAAAGGCCGGCCGGGCGCTGAGCCGCACAAATGGATTCGGGCGGTGCCAAGTCTGAAGCTAGTGAGGCCCTTGGCACTTTGTGTGGGCGTAGCATATAGAGGTAGGAGAGCGGCAACGGGATTGAATAATCATCTTCCTACAAGGACAAGCGAGTTAGGATGTCCAGAGCTGAGCAAGTAAAAATGGCGCATCTTGAACAGGAGCTGAAAGTCGGTCCGACCCGGGCTCGCGCCGAGTGACTAACACGGCGAAATCGCCACATTGAAGTTGCCACCAACCCGACGTGACACAATCAACAACCCCGGCCATTCACGTCGACGACGTCGGAGATTCTGTGCCGGACATGCCCTGCCGGAAACGCCATTGGTCAGCTAACAAGAGAGCAATTTATCCCGTTTGTTGTCACGCACCTCCGTGACCATGTCTCGGGAGGCAGCGTCATCTCGGCCAAGAGCGCGGCGCCTCATCCGCGACTCCGAGGAAATACGATCGCAAGCACATGGCTGCTGGAAAGAGATGGAGCGGGACCCCTGGCCGGCCGGGAAGCCACGTTTAGGAGTCGCATAGGCTGATATTAATATCTGTAGCCCCCCTCCCAATGTGCGGAAAAACAAAACGCCAAGAAGCGATCCCATCACGCAGCCACTTGATCTGACACGCCCGGGTAGGTAGAGTGACATGTAGATAGGATAGATACGAGATGTGTGGCCCATGCTGGACGGGATGAAGAGAAAGCTTGCACATCCCATAGGCCGAAATGCGGTGAATCCCGCTTTGTCCAGAGGATGAGGGACACGTCAACAAGGGAGACGTTAAGGAGCGGACTCTCAAGACGGAGATGGCCTTGTTCTCGGACTTAAGGCCACACACATGACAACAGGGTGCATTGGGCCGAGGAAGCCATGCGAGGTTTGCCAAGAGACCAATATCCGCCGCACTGAGGTTGATAGCATCGTCGGAACCAACAACGCCGCCTCCGCAGCCCGCCTTCTCGTTTATGGGGCAAAAGTGCGGCTTTGGCTTGAGCCCAAATGCCAGATATTGTGAAGGCGGGGAAAGGGGTGTAAGCTTTCCAGCCCTCGGCTTGTTGTTAGCCCGACCTGGGCAGCGAGTGGGACTGAGCTTCGAGTGCCCGTGGCCACATGCGACAAAGTAAGTGTGCAAGTGAGGCTCCCGTGTTCAACCCGGACGGTGGCTGGGCGGCTCTCCGTCGAGGCATCACAGCAGACGGATCTTCAGCCCAAACACACAACCGTCTTTTGCTGGAACTTTGGATCTGTAGCACCTTCTTCCGTGGCTTCTTTTGGCTCTTCTGGGTCCACTCACCCACGTGCGTTGTATAGATAGCCTCATAGAGCACAGGGAGAACAGGCTCGACCAACGTGTGCGATAACAGCAGATAGGAAGGGTCAGAGACTCTTGAGAATCTGAAGCGATAAAAGCGGCACTTTTGGGAGACAGGAGGCACTCGCCTCCCGCGGAACACATATGGAATATGGGGCATGTCGATGCAGGCTGGCAAGTGCGGCTCTGTTACCTGCCGACGCCTTCAGACTCTTCAGTGCCAAACACGGCGACTTCTGAAGGCCGAGATGTGGATACCCGCAATCGCCTCGTGACCGATGTAGTATGCGGGTGATTCGATAGCTTGTCACATTTCGCGGGCGGGACTGTTGGCGGCACAGCTTAGGCAGGGGCATCACACCGATGCCAGTTGGCCAGCGCCAATGTGGTCAACAAAGGCGGCTGAGTGGCTGGACACGGCGCATGATGCGGCCCGGCTGAGCTGGCTTCTGGGATAAGCGCACAATGCTAGCTGGCCCTGGAGATTTGCGCCCGAGGCCGGCTGCTAGCGGTGCGAATCTCATCGGTTAAGTTGGGTTGGCGCGTTCCTGAAGGAAGGGGGTGATGCGGCTGAAAAAAGGAGCGCGATGCTTGAAAGTAGTACGTGGCAGCGAAATGTGCATAGCACAGCAGGCGAAGGAGCCCAAACATCAATTGACCAGGGCCTGAGCAACAGCCCTGTTGACGCTGGGGTCCGCTGGGGTCCACTGCGGGTCTAGCCCAACACATGTGACCGCTTTTGGCAATTCAAGCCGCGTTTATCGGGAAAGGTGAGAGGCTGGTGGGGGGTAAGACTGTCTTTCTAGAATCAAGGGAGCTGGAGCAGAGCCGCAATTCACTGAAGGAGGGTACCGTGCTCCAGTACCCACTCCACATCATTCTCTAACCGTGCAACCCCCTAGCGCTATTGAATTTTTTTTTTTTTTCAAGCGCAGCAGAGCCGCAAACACAGGGGATTTGTGCTTCCATCTCGCTAACCTGCTCACTTCGATGGTGTTACCAAGCAAAACGATGTATGAGACGACAACTCCAGTCACGCGGTCAATGGGTGTCTACAACCAGTGCGGCGCGCTTCATTCGGCCCATCTTCATATTCACAGCCTTTTTTGAATGCAGTATGGCGACTTACGAGTTGGTCGATCCCCGTTGGTCGGAACTTTGTCGCGTTGAGCCTTGCCTAAGTGGTAGTCCAGCCCCTACTGGTACTTATCCCTGCACCCTATCACTCGTATCTAAGTAGGTACCCAGCCCCAGTCCCATGTCTCATCCATCCTTTCTGCCTTTTTCAGTATCCCGATGGCACCCAAGCCACTCACATTCCCATTCCACTAAGCTCCGGACCTAACCTCAGAGCCTGAGAATGCGGCTAGTTGAGCCGCATTGACTTGAGCCGCCTATTTGTACGCTTTCTGCCACCGTCCCCTCGTCCCTCAAGCTTCTCCTCCATATCGCCCTTTCCACATCGTTTGTTGCAATGCCAACTTGGTCCCGAGCACTCCAGACAACTGCGGCGCACTCCCTGCGTCATGTCCATTCGTCGCCTACCATGGGAGATAATATCGTACATTGTGCAAGACCTAGATCTGGAGGACTTTGTCAGTCTCTCCTTGTCCTGTCGGCACTTCCAGTCACTTCTCCGTGACGACAACATATGCAGAATCCTCCTCGAGGTTGGTTTCTCGTCATCCCTGGTTCCCATTTCCTCAACATCATGCCCCTCCTATCCCATCCCGCCACTTCACTCTGCTTGCTGCCTTGGGCTCGAGCTAGGAATCCCTCGCTGATGGAATTATTGGTGGTGCAGTCGCGGCTCCCGGCAGCCCCCGAAAGCCAGTCGGCTCGCACTACGAAGGATTACGCGCGCGAGCTACGCAAACTAGTCAAGCGAAGGGCCGCCATCTCGTCGGCCACACCGTACCTTGTTGCCGTGGTCGCCGACGCTTCTGAGTCATTTGTCTATAATGACGGCGTCCTTTGCTATATGAGCGAGGGACACCTCCGAGTGCTCGACCTCATCAACTCAGCAACTAAGGAGATTGCTGTTGACGTCCACGAACTTTTGCGCGCTAGCCCTGACCTACAACAACCCAGGAAGGGCCAGAACCACCAGTTCAAGCTAGTGCACTACTCGCATGGTTTTGTGACCTGCCACTACAGCCACAAAAGATCCATCGCTGGCTGGATAGTTGTCATCAATCTAGCCAGAGGCCGCGTTTTTAGCCACGTGCTCGAATCGGCACACAAGCTCATTGCTCGGAATAACCATGAGTTTCTTTATTATGGCACCCACACCGACACGTCGGATACGGGCCACCGCCGCTGGGAGATGCGGGGCTGCGACCTCCGTGACGAGTCCTGGTTTGAGCACAAGATTCGTCTAACCGACATTGTGGGCTCAGAGGTCAACACAAACATCTGCTTCGAAGTCATTGATGACTATTTTTACTGCGTCGCAAACCAGGCCCTTTTTGAGCGGGAGGAGATCGCCTGGACGTCGTACTACACTTATCTCAGGTTCCCCGTCAACCGCTCCAAGCCCCAGAACGTTGAGACTGTCGAGCCCGAGGAGATCTGGCGCAGACTGCACGCCGAAGGACCAATCGATAATCGCTGGACCTTTTTGCACCTGGCCAAAAACGAATCCACTGGTGCTCTGACTGTGGTTGAGGGCCGCAAGGAGTGGATAAACGCAAGCAGCAAAAGCCGCCGGACGTACTACTCGAGCGAACTTGTCTTTGCAGACCCAAGCGAGCGAGCTCTTTCGGAAGACCAGCCTCAAGATCCCTTGTCAGGGTCAGGTCTTGGCACGTCATCCAGCCATATAGAGGACTCTCCAAAGTCGGAAACGACAGAGTCACACGCTCGATGCCCTCACAACGTCCACCCCGGTGACGACGCCTCAACCCCTTGGGCATTTTCTATCAACAACTCGCTCATGCTATCCTACCACATGTCATGTCAGAGCCATCTGGATCTAGTGAACGACCCTTTGCCAACCGACCCTTACCAAAATCAGAGATTACGTCTCAGAGTTGGGTCGAGGCGCCCCCGCCTCAAGTCAGAAATGGGGGAGCTTGAGCATACGCCCAGGAGCCTCTCGAGCAACCCCTCATATCCGGAAAGCGAGATACACAAGTTGTACAAGGCTTCCGACGTCGCCCTCTGGCCTCCAGCCCACTGGGAGCAAGAGCATGGCACTGCGACCGTCAGCGAGCTTTACAGTATCCTCAGCCCGCCTGGGTATCAAGGGGACATCTCGGCGATTTGGGACGAGAGGTCGTTCTGCTACGCTACTGGCCAGGGCAATCGGACCATCGTCTTTGTGTCGTTTGATCCGTCGATCCGACTGCGAGGAATCAGGCACTGGCGTGAGGCCTTCGGGCAAGGGAGCGTGGCAGGGGCTGCAGCCCGCCACGAGCCCCTATCTCAAGGTGCATTATTGACACCTGGCATGCAGGATCAACCGATGGAGGGCCGCCCGCGCAGCCCAGGATCAGGCTGGGATAAGCAAGTGCCCCCGCCAATACCGGATAAGGGAAAGAGCAAGGCAGTGTGCAGCCACCCCGACAGCCCAACATTGACTTCCGGCCATGTCACATCGCCTGCCGCGCCTGTCTCGGAAATAGGACCTGGTGGTGCGGCGGGAGACGGCACAGTCGCAAGCGCAGAAAGTCACGAGCTGCCGATATGGATGTCGCTCGAGGATCCGAGGTACAGGGCGATCCAGAAGGGATTCCACTTCGCGTCATGAGATCGGCGAGAGGAGGGTGATGGTGTCGCATTTTACTTTTTCGTTGATGCTGCGTTGCAGGCACTGCAGTTCCTTCTCTTTGCTTTGGCGATGGCGTATTGGGGTCCAAGGAATAAAGCCAGTAATTCATCCATTCCTCCGACTTGCACATTCGATATCATGGACGCGTGGAGCCCCCCTTCCCGGTGGCCATGCAGTGCCTGACACCCCCCCTCTCTTTACACCGCTGCTTTTCCTGAAGATGATGAATCACTACCCCAGGTGCAGCACCCGTTGTAACTGCACCTCTCTGGCCTGGAGAACGGGGATGATATCCGCGGAAAGGGCGTGGGTCGCAGTGGCGTCAGGCAAAGCTGGCCTTTACGAAGCCGGGTAGGGGCATTGCGACCTCGGAAGTGCGAGTAATGGGAAGGGCAAGGCCCGCCTGAAGGTTTCTTGATGCCCTTGGTCCCCCCGTGCTTGGCGGCTCGGTACGTCGTGGCGGGGTCAGAGTATGGGTTGACAGGAGAAAGAAACGGAAGGCAGCCTAACGTGGGGCCCTGCTGCTAAAATACATAAAATCTGCCTTGCCAACAGTCCACGGGTAGTGGCCAAATGCGGTTAGGAGGAGTAAGAAAAATGGGCATTTGGGAGAGGCAGGGATCCTAGGTTTGTGGTGACTTGATGAGGCTCTTCCCTACCCCTCAAAATGGCGAACCGGGCAGGGGGTAAGTCGTTGCCTGCTTTTTTTCCTCCTCTCCCTTTCTTTTTGCATCCCATCCCCCTTCTCGCTTTGTTATCCGCATGCCGAGACGTCTCCAGAAGGGCTGAATAGGTCTTTTGGCCTTTATGAAGTGGATATCTTTACATCCCTCTGACATCTGACCCCCTCCGCTAGTCGTCCTGCTCGCAAATAAGCCGCAGCCAGCCGCCACAAACCCGAGTCTTATTCGTCACTCTTTATCCCCCTGAAGCCTACAGCTCTTGATGCCCAACTGCGAGTTCCAGTGGCACAAGACATCTGGCCTTTCTTTGTCATGCATACACAACCCGGTCCAAAGCGTGCCCAAGGCAGACAGCAGACAGCTCCGGCACCGGCCGGCCTTCGGAGCCCAGATTCACCGGGCAATCGGTCTTCCGCACGTATAGGAAGTGGCCAACAGAAATGCCAAAAAAAAAAAAAGTAGCCCCATCAACGCCAGGAGCCGTGTGCTTACCCGCTTCCTCAACCCCACCCTGCCGCGTGCTAGGCCGGTTCTCGAACAGATCGCCATGTCTCGGCGCAACCTACCCGCGTTGCATGCCAAGCACAAGTGTGCACTTTCTGGGGGAGCCGGGCAGCGGCCTTTTCGTGTCAGGTGCTGTTTGGGCCGCCGGAGGGACCCGGGGCTTCGCGTGGGGACGTGCCTACGCCCGGCTTCTATACAGATGCTTGCGGGAGGGTTTCCGGTGGACGAGGCAGGGGGCGCGCGGTATGGCTACGATGCAAGCGGCGGGTGGATAGAGAGCCCCCCTCCCAATGACACGCACGCCATCCGGTTCCTTCTCCCGACGACCGACAATGCCCGGTCCCTTTTTTTTTGGGGCCCTCGCCTCGCCTTGGGGGCATCAACGCAGGCTGCGAATCGCACACACACTCCACACACGCACCGCATCTCAACCGTCACATCGATGAAAACGGGTCCCGCGTGGCGGCGGATGACGCCCGCGGACATAGAGGGGCAAGTAGCCAAAGGGGAAAAGCGCCGCCGTGTGCCCGAGATGTGCTTCTGCGCGTACACATGTGCATGCAGACGACGTCCGCCCGCACCTGCCAGCGCAGGTTCCAGAAGCCACGGGTCAGCAGTGCCGGGCGGAGGCCTCCTGTGGAGCCCTCGAGTCGGGCATTCCCCCCTCTCTCGTGCTGAGCGACAGTACGTGATTGTCAGCGGCCAGTCGGGGCCATCTTTCTGGTTACGGTTCCTTCTCGGCCAGTCAGACGGCATGCCGCGCGGGCAGCTAGCGGCGATAATCACGCGGCTTTATGCAGCCAACCCCCTGATAGGAGAGTCTGGCACGTCTGATAGGATAGTGCTAGGGTGTGTCATGTGCGGAGAGACGCGTTGGGTAAAACAAGTAGAATTTCCTTTGAACCTGGGTACAGTCCAAGCGTCGTCATCAAGAGGAGGCACTGCGGTTGCAAGCTGCTTGTTCTTGCATTCTACAAGGAGAAGGCTAAAGTGATACATTCATTTCTGCTGGGCTTCTAGGTAGTTATCGTATGATCAGAACAATAGCCTCTCTATCTTGCCTCCCTCTTCACTCTCGACCGGGCTGCTCCTCGTCTAGCGCCTTTAGCACGAATCTCCCGAGGTATTTAACGAACGCCTTTATGAACCCTCCTATCCCAGAAACGACTTGGGCTAATACACAAACAAAAGACATGAGAAGAACAAACCGTTATGAATGGCAGGCAGCCCACTCCACGCAAAACATATTACAGGGCTGGCGATGGCATGACGAAAGGCCACGACAACCAGCAACAAGATCCACGTCCCCGCTCGGTGCGCACTCAGCCGCCTAGTTGCACGTAATTCCCTGTTGTGCGGTATGTGTCAGCGCCTTCGCGTTTCTACTAAATGTCCGGACGGGCCAATGGTTCGGGGAAATAAGGGTCCTACCTGGAAACTGCCCACTCTTGCCATTCAACTTGCCCGTCCACCACTCGTTGGGGTTTTGCGTGCGGGTTACGATGGTGATGACATCTCCGGCCTTGAAGCTCAAATCCCCTTCTTGCGTGGCTGCGTACTCGTACAGTGCCGTCACCGTCTCGGCGGCTGGCGCGGCGCTCAACCTGCTGGGCTTCGGCTTAATGGCCGGCGGCGGCTTCGGCTTCGGCTTGTTGGCAATCGCGGCTGCGAGAGCGGCTGCCCCTGGGCTTTTAAGCCCTGGGGAGTATGGGGGTGGCGCCTTCTCGGCCGGCTGCTCGGCCGACTGGCTTTGAGGCGCAAAGGAAGACTGCACTGGCCGTGGGCTCGTTGCTGTTGCCGTCGCTGTTGCTGCTGGGGAGGTGGACGCGGCGTTCGAGGCTGAAGGTCCGGCCGTGAGCAGGCCTTGAGGCTTGGGGGCCTCGAGCGCAGGCTTGTTGCCATACCTGGGCGGACGTGGACGGCCAGTGGTCTTGAAGCGCACAATGGATAGCTTCTCGGCCTGCTCCTGAATGTCGCCACGCTTCTTGTGAAAGGCCTCTTCGATGTCGAGAGTGAGGTCGAAGTAACCAATGTCACAGTGCTGCATCTTCTCGTGCAGCGTGTAAAAGATATTAAGCTGCATGTAGTAGAAGGACTGGAACAGGGGTTGGATGAACTCGCGCTCGAGCGCAAACAGCTTCGGCAGCTCGTCCTTGAGCAGGTCGTTGAAGTAGTTGAACTCCTGGGTAGCCTGTTCGACTTCGCCCTCGGCCTTGTAGATGGCCTTCTCGTCCTTCATTGTCTTCTCTTTCTTATCCTGCAGCTTCTTGAGGTTCGCGCGGTGGCGGTCGTAGTCTAGTTGCTTGTGCTCGCGCTTCAAGGCGGCTTTCCTGATGACTTTGATGACGTCAAGCAGTTCGTTCGCGGGACGGATGACCCTGCTCTCGATCATTTCCAGCTCGGGCGCCAGCGTCTCCTGGAGATCCTTGACCACGGCCTCATATTCCTCGCATGCCCTGATGCCCTCTGGTATCCCCTCGATCTCCATGGACGAAGGATCCGACATGCGCCCACTTATGGGCCTGTAGATCTCCGTCATGGCCCTGGAGAAGGCAATCTGGTGGTTGAGCATGCTGTTGATGGCCTCAAAGTACTTTTTGCTCTCGTCGTGGAGTTTCCTGGTCTCCGTCTCGAGCTCCTGGAAGCGCCGTTCGGCATCGATGTAGACGGCATCTTTGGTGTGTTCGCCAATGTTGAACTTGGATTTGAATTGTTGGGGCGCCTGTGACGATCAGAGTCCGGTTATGGTCAGTCCAAAGCAATTCGCCTGGCGCAATCGTACACCCCGTTGTGGCCGCCGTCTTGCGCACTCGTCGATGCGGCGCGCAGAGACTGGCGCGCATCCCGGAAGTCCGGGGGATGCCCAAGAACAGGCGTCGGCTTACTCACCCGAGTCAATGACTTGGTAAAGCCCTTGAAACTCATCGTGTCGTCTGTCTGCCGGGTAGGCTAGTGGGGTTGCGCTCGCAGGGCAGGCTGCGACAGGTCTTTAGGGAGTTGCTGGAGAGAAAACCAGTGGCAGGGAACGCGGGTTTGCGAGAGGGGTGAGCCGATTCTTTGTTGGTTGGAGTTGGAAGTCATGCCCAGCGCTGGTGACGCCTTCAGTGGCTGAGCCCCCGCGCCAGCTTGCTTGGCCTTGTGGCTCCCCCTGGCGGCGATGACGAAGGAGCTGCGGCTGATGCGGCAGACAGCGCTTGTGGAATTATTTGCCAGGCTGATGCCTCAAATCTGGCATACAGGGAGGCAGGGATGCGACGTGACAGGGGGGAGCTGGGCAGAGCTGAACAGACGCGCAAGCTGGTGTAGGCAGACGAATTTCAGGGATGCATGCTAGTAGAAGAAGGTAGAAGCCTGATTCACAATGATAACGTGTTGTCGTGGCAGCAACTTGAATACCACGGACTGTACCGAGGGATAGGTAAAGCGCCTCTGCTGGCTGCAAACAGCCTCTGACTTGGAACACCTCCTGACTTGTGCTTTGGCGGGGACTGGCTCAGCAGAGAGGGCCATCACGTCACTCTTCCATCGCAATGCCGGCCGAACTCACCTCCTCCAATTCCTCCAGCCAAAATCCCCAATCTTCAAAGGTGGCGGGGCAGACGCCCACACAATGGGTCCTCGGACTAGGTGACCAATCAACCACAGTTATTTCTCGGTAACTCCGAGAGAGGCCAGTGGACTAGTGTGTCACGTAGGAAATAGTATTCGTAATAATTAAGCAAAATGCCGCTTCGGCCGACGCTTTTAGCCGAGCACCCCGCCCACCGGCGAGGTCAAAGCTGCATCCCGAGAAAAAAAAATGGGAAAGCGTCGAAAATTCCAATTCTCGAAGCAGGCGCTCGTCGGCACTCCAACACAAGCTTTTCATTCCCCTCCAGCCCCCTCTCCATCTCCCAAACAGCCATGTCGACGCTAGCATCGTCAGCATTGAGGCAGGCCTCGCGCCTGGCTGGGAGACAGTCGGCGCCCGCGGCCTCGAGGCAGGCCGCCAGGCGGGCGTCCAAGGTCGCCACCCAGCTCCGGCCAGCGCCGGCCAGGACATATGTCTCGGAGACCAAGAGGGATAGTGCCCAGGTCACCGAGGTCAAGATCGAGACGGCCATCCATCTGGATAAGAAGGATTTCGAGAAGGCAGGGCTGGCTATGGAGTCTGGCGATGGCATTACCGTTTCCCCAATGGCAGGTAAGAGACCCAGTAGAATGCATGTTTCCCCGCCAAATGTCACTCGTGAGCTAACCTAGCGCTCCACAGAGATACTCAAGGGCGCAGCTGTCATGGAAGAAGGACAGCGCCCGATATATCTCGATATGCAGTCGACAACACCCGTCGATCCGCGCGTGTTGGATGCCATGATGCCATTTTTCGTCGGCGTCTACGGCAACCCACACTCGCGGACGCATGCGTACGGCTGGGAGACAGACAAGGCTGTCGAGGACGCCCGCGAGCACATTGCCTCGCTCATCGGTGCAGACCCCAAGGAGATCATATTCACCAGCGGTGCCACTGAGAGCAACAACATGAGTGTCAAGGGTGTAGCCAGGTTCTTTGGCAGGTCCGGAAAGAAGAAGCACATAATCACCACGCAAACGGAGCACAAGTGCGTGCTCGACAGCTGTCGGCACTTGCAGGACGAGGGCTTCGAGGTCACATACCTGCCCGTCCAGAACAGTGGCCTGGTAGACATGAAGGAGCTTGAGGCCGCAATCCGGCCTGAGACGGCTCTGGTCAGCATCATGGCAGTCAACAACGAGATCGGCGTCATCCAGCCAATCGAGGAGATTGGCAAGCTGTGCCGGGCCAACAAGGTCTTTTTCCACACAGATGCCGCACAGGCCGTCGGCAAGATCCCAATGGATGTCAACGCCATGAACATCGATCTGATGTCCATATCCTCGCACAAGATTTACGGCCCCAAGGGCATTGGCGCCTGCTACGTGCGCAGGAGGCCGAGGGTCAGGTTAGACCCTATAATCAGCGGTGGAGGCCAGGAGCGTGGGCTAAGGAGCGGCACACTGGCCCCGCCCCTGGTTGTGGGCTTTGGCGAGGCGTGCCGCATTGCGAAGCGTGAAATGGAGGTACGTTTCGACTCGCTCGTCTTTCTTTTCACTACACCCTACCCCCTTGCGTTATGATGATATGCTCTTTAGACATGCATGGCTTTCTGAATGCCGTGACAAGCACAATGTGTTGAGATGCAGCACCTACACTGATACGCGCGACTATCATATGGCACTATCTATGATTCTTGATTGCACCCTCAGGCATAGTGTTTCTAACAGGCTACGTGGATTTAGTACGACTCGAGGCGGATCAAGTTCCTGTCAGACAGGCTACTCAACGGTCTGCTCTCGATGGAGCACACCAACCAGAACGGCGACCCGAATCACTTCTACCCCGGCTGCGTCAATGTGTCGTTTGCCTACGTCGAGGGCGAGTCGCTGCTGATGGCGCTCAAAGATATTGCTCTATCTTCAGGAAGTGCTTGCACATCGGCTTCGCTAGAGCCCAGCTACGTGTTGCGCGCGCTTGGAAACAGCGACGAAAGCGCACACTCGAGCATTCGGTTCGGTATCGGGCGCTTCACCACCGAGAGGGAGATCGATTACGTCCTCAAGGCAGTTCAGGAGCGCGTTTCCTTCCTCAGGGAGCTCAGCCCCCTGTGGGAGCTTGTACAGGAAGGAGTTGATCTCAACACAATCCAATGGAGCCAGCACTGATGAGCGTGATCACGGGGGCTGCTTTGGTATACCGTTCGTTTGTATGGGATGAAAGGAGCCGCGAAACCGGCGGCTTGGGCAACCTTTTCTCTTCGTGTATAACATTGTAAAGAATGATGCCGCCTCATCGGAGAGTGCGGGATGGACTCTGGATTCCTGGCAAGCGAGCAATTCGAACACGTAAATACTTTGAACATGAAGGATGGCGACATTGTGGTGCCGGCCCTGGATGTTGAGCATGTACTGTGGAAATATGGCGACTGTAACGACACGCATACCATGGCGATGGTATGGCATGGCGGCATGGCATGGCATGGATATTACAGGGCATCGCGCGGAATGAGCGACGATCGGGCTTTCGTAACGCAGTACAGCCCGCAGGTCTGCCAGCCACGCGACTGCCTCTGCCCCCAGCTCCCGCTTGCCCAACTAATCCCACAAGGTACGGCAAACGCCCTTTCGGGCAAAGGACTCAACGCCGCGTCGTCAGACCCTGCCAAGATGGTGGGACATTTTTGGGTCTTATCACAAAATTACGTAGTTTGTCTCGCAAACATAACCGCGAATTCCCTCACATAAACTGCCATGCACCACCAAAAACCGCTAAACGTGCCTGGCTGGCGCGCTAACCGGAGTCGCCGTCTACATACTGGGGCAGTTTACTTGACCGCACCGAGGCCGCGGCTGAAAGGCGTGATGGGTTTCGCCGAAAGGCTGCGACCTATGACATCATCCCGCTATATGACATCATCGAACTGTTTGAAAGACGAGATGGGAATCTGAAATGCTGGATGCTAGACACGGCCAACAGCCAATCACTGGGCGGCTAGTCGCCCAGCTGCCAGGTACTGCTGGCGTCTAGAACTGACCAGAGCCAGATCGGGCAAGGGCGGATGCGCATTGTCGGCCAGGCTGTGGGCAAACGAGCAACTTCTCCCCCACCGTGAAGCTGGGAAGCTGCCACGCCACCGGTTTTGCTTGTGGAAGATGCGATGGAATACTCAAATTCGGGTAGGCGCGGGGGTGTGCCAAGGCCCTTTGCCAGTGAAACACTCCTCCTTCCCAGATATAAAAGACGCACTTCCTCTCCCCACGGGCAATCTGCCTTCACTCCTCCCAACACATCATCACAACACCGACCACAACAACCAACTACCACAACGAGATCCTCAAACTCCCACAACCTTACAGTTCTTGCCTAGACACCCATCCCATCAGTCAGCATGTCTTCCAACGACAACACCTCCACGCTCAAGAGCACCTACGACAGCGTGGTCGGCGGCATCCAGTCGGCCGTGGGTAACCTGACCGGCTCCGCTGGCGACCAGGCCGAGGGTCAGGCCAAAAAGGACAAGGCCCAGGTCGAGTACGATGCCTCCAAGGCGACAGTCAAGCTCCCCGGAGCTACCGCGACCACCGCCGGCGTCGCCACCGACGACCCCGACCGGACTGCCGGTTCGTGGAACCAGACCGTTGGGTCAACTAAGGAAGCCCTCGGTGGACTTGTCGGATCCGAGGTAAGATATTGACAACCTCCATGTCTGTCCGCGCTTCGTGGCGACTACCCGGCAGACATTGATCTAACATCTCGTTTCTTTGCACCCTATAGCAACTCAAGCAAGCGGGCCGCCAGCAAAACCTCGAGGGCCAAAAGCAGGAGGCCACGGGACAGGCCAGCGACCTCGCCTCTGGCGTCAAGGACCGCGTGGAGGGCACCGTCGGCGGCGCCGTCTCCGGCCTGACAGGCGACAAGTCCAAGCAGGCCGAGTACGAGGCCCAGCATGACCACGGAAAGACTGCCCAGCGCGGCGTCGAGCACGACCTCCAGAAGCAGGCCGACGCTACTGCTAAGCAGTAAACCGACATTTCTCATCGCTTGGTTTTCTTTTTTTTTCCCCTTGCACCCTGTGAAGGAGACGGGTTTGGAACGGCGCACGAGAGCAGCAGCATGCATTTAGATACCCACTTTGGAGGCAGAGGATAAGCATACCAATTGGTGCCTCCCTCTGCATCCACTTTGACATTGGCACTCTGGAGGAATTTGGCTCTTTTCTTGCCCTAGTACGCCTCGATAGATAATCTGAGAAACCAAAAGTTCCCCTCAACCTATCGGCTATCTTGAGTGCCGTATAGCCTTTGCATGAGTTGCCGAGTCAATGCCAACGCCCGCGTAAAGTGTAACTCCCATGTACAACAACTAGAACCTGCATGGTTCGAGCGTTGTCGTGGATGTTTGCCTTTTGGTTTTCGTCCAAGTTTAGTTGCTATTTCCATGAACTCTTACAACGCTCTATCCGACCCCATCATCTGCGTTTTGTGATCTGAAGAGCGGGGTTATTTTTGGAAATGTGCAGTGGCATTGGCGCCATCTGCAAGACATAACGCCTCCTATCCAGCTCTACATCTAGAATAGTCTCATCACGAAGCCGCTGATTCGAGATTGGGCTATAATCGACCACTTATCCCGACTCTGAGCGCGAGTGTGTCTCTAGGGATGGTATCCATGGTGTTACAGCTACAGTCGCAGCAATTCTAGTTACAAGGGCCCCGTGTTGTGTCCATGAAGCAGTTTGATGTGCTTCTGTTATAGCACCGTACGAAACGAGTACTCTTATTTCATCCCTGCGATCTCTTTTCTTTACAGTGGTCCTCGGCTCTCCGTAGCGAAAGCAGAATCACGTTATTTCTGGGAACGTTTAATGGAAGCAGCAGTCGATGAGGTTACCGCCCGGACAAGACCCATTGGCGGTGCCCTCCGACGGCGTGATTGAACCCCTGAACTTTGGGTCGAGACGCAGGGATCTTGGATTGTCTGTCTAGTTTGGATGGTTCATGGTGTGCACAGATTGTCTTGCACAGATGCAAATGTCAAAAAAGACGCCGCAAGCTTTCACAGGCAGAGATTCCAGCAGAAAGAGGTGGAAGGCGCTCGTTTGTGCAAAAAGGAACAGGAAACCTAGACAGCCTCCAGCTCCCTTTCTCTGGTGCATAGTGTTTGCATGTGAGAGCCCCAATATGAATGCTTGTCCCAGCCCCCCACACCATGTCAAGCCCCGCCAGCAGCCCACCCTCCTAATCGCAACAGGGCTTTCCTACAGGTGGCCTGAAATGGATCGAGAGTTGGCGCAGGTGTTCTGCCGCTGCCCCCTGCAGCCTCGTGATCCATTCGAGGGCCACCCGTCATACGTCACACTGGGCGCTTTGGAGGGGGCCTGAAGGGCACGCGTGGCCAGATCCTGCGACGACTTTTTGACGACTTAGGCATTGGCTCAAGGTTCAGGTGTTCTGCCTGGCCCTTCGCCCTGCTCCACTTTGTGGGGTTTTTTTCCGTGCCTCGGAAGGTCGCTGCTTGGCTGACACTTTATTGGCACGACTCGGCCAGAGAAGGACTAGATCAAGGCCTGCCTGCCACCTGCACTTGTGCCGCCTGCCACCTGTGCTACTCCCTACTACCTACTAGCCCAAGCTCACTGCGGCCAGTCGCTGCCCGCCGAGTCCTACTGTACCTGCCACCTACCCGGCCTATCCGCACCATCCCAACTCTCGATCCTGCCCGCCGTCGTGTTTGTCGATATCTGGCTGGCCCAAACACGCAAACAAGGTCCTGAAACCGAAGCCGCGCTGGAGGTGCCCAACCCGACCAGCTCCTCCACACCCAACTGCCACCACCCTTGCCAAGGCCCCCACAACCCGCGCGCCCGCTGGATGACGACCATGCTCGCGTCCAACATCCTCCAGTCCCCAAACGCCATACCGCCGAGAACCTCCTCGACCGGCGTCTACCCCATCACCCACGCGCCCTCCAAACCCGTACTCCGGCCGCTGCCCGAGGCCGACTGGATCGCCAAGAGCCCGCCGCCGCCCTCGCCCCACGCACACGCACACGCCCCCGCCGCCAACACGAACGGCATGGCTGGCAGCGCCGCCCCCGCCCCCGCAGCAACCACCAACGGACACCACCCGCGCGTCAACCCACGCAAGGCCTCGGCCGGCAGGAGCTCGCAGGCCCCGGCGGCGAGCATGCAGCCGCCCGCGCCGTCCAGCTTCGACGCGGGCCGCTACGCCCACGAGGACTTCAACTTCACCACGACCAAGCGCACCTGGTCCGACCACAAGGAGAAGATAATAAGCGGGCCCTTCGACTACCTCTACGGCCACCCAGGCAAGGACTTCCGCACCCAGGTCATCACGGCCTTCAACGCCTGGCTCGAGGTGCCGCCTGAGAGCCTCGAGGTCATAACCAAGGTGGTGGGCATGCTGCACACGGCGTCGCTGCTGATCGACGACGTCGAGGACTACTCGTCGCTGCGCCGCGGCCTGCCCGTCGCCCACAGCATCTTTGGCGTGCCCCAGACCATCAACAGCGCAAACTACATATACTTTTGTGCCCTGCAGGAGCTGCAGAAGCTGCACAACCCAAACACGCTCACCATATTCGCCGACGAGCTGCTCAACCTGCACCGCGGCCAGGGCATGGACCTCTTCTGGCGCGACACCCTCACGTGCCCGACCGAGGACGACTACCTCGAGATGGTGGGCAACAAGACGGGCGGGCTCTTCCGCCTGGGCATCAAGCTGATGCAGGCCGAGTCGCGCTCCCAGATCGAGTGCGTCCCGCTCGTCAACATCGTCGGGCTCATCTTCCAGATCCGCGACGACTACCTCAACCTCTTCTCGAAGGAATACAGCGAGAACAAGGGCATGTGCGAGGACCTGACCGAGGGCAAGTTCTCCTTCCCCGTCATACACAGCATCCGCACCGACCCGGCCGACCTGCAGCTCCTCAACATACTCAAGCAGAAGACGACCAACGAGGACCTGAAGCGCTACGCCGTCTCGTATATGGAGAAAACGGGCAGCTTCGACTACACGAGGAGGGTCCTGGCCGTGCTCATCGAGCGCGCCCGCAAGATGACGGACGAGATCGACGGCGGCAGGGGGAAGAGCGAGGGCATCCACAAGCTCTTGGACAAGATGATAGTTGCGTCATGATGAGTTTAGCAGGGTGGGGGCCAATGAGGCGGCTTTTTTGTTTCTTGATGCGATCATGGTGCCCACCGCGTAAAAGATAAAATGAGCAAGCACGGTGGAGCGGAAAATGACGAGTTTTATTTAGCATGGAAGATACCACGCTCACGGAGCGCAACTAGCACGATGTTTTTTTTACGGTATTATGACGGCGCGGGAATATCGACTGGAGATTTCCCACCCATCCTATCCTGTGTTTATTTATAGGCAGTCTTGCCGCGTATCGGCTTTGAATCCGGATGCCGCGTATGGTCTGATGGGTTGGGGTTGCAAGAAATTTGTGACGACATACTGCAATTGGATTTCAGGGCCCGAAGGGTGCAATCTGGCATTGTTTTCTTGACTATATCTGTTGGGGGTACGACACGGGGGTATCCAGCCGAAAAATGGGACGGGAAATCGGGAAACAGCCTAGCGAAACACCGAGACGAGACAATAGCATCTGTGGCACGCCATCCTATGGCTAGTGAATGCAGTGAGTGGTTGTGTTCAAAATAATAGCCCAGACGCCAAAGAAGAGGAAGAGCGGGGAAAGCACCAGGAAATGGAAGGGGGGCAGAGAGTAAGGATATGGGTAGGGTTTCCTGCAGCCAGCCTATGGAAAGATGATTTACACCAACAGCTCGTCGTGTGGTCAAGTATACCCGAGACCTGTGGTACAGAAGCACGGATCGGAGTCTCTGCGTACATGTCCCACCATGAGCCAGGCCCAAGCCGGCCGCACTGCGTATCCCTACGATCAGAGATATGGGGGGGATCGAGTATGCACTGCGTTTATTAATCCCGAGTCTGAGCGCCTGCTTGGACTTTTGATGACAGGGGCTTCCGTAGCCTAGGCTAGGCCGCGGCGACGACCTTGGTCCGCTTTACGAGCCGCACCCACCGCCTCCGCCTCCACTCGCCGCGCCTACCCACACCCTCGAAGCCCTCCTCCCAGCTGACGTTGTTGGAGGAGTTCTGCGACGCGGAGCCGCCTCCGCCAGCAGTCGTCCCCTTGGCCAGCTGCGGCTGCTCGACGACGCCCGTGAGGCCCTCGTGCTCGTTGTACATGTCGTAGACCCAGCGCTCGCCCTCGGTCTCGACCTCGACGCCCGTGATGATGCGCTCCTCGACCCACTCGCGGCTCCAGAGGTCGAGCGCCCACTTCTTCTCGCTCCACTCCCAGCCGCCGGGCGCCAGCACGTCCTCGAAGTAGCGCGTGCCGCCGGGCGGGCTGGAGCCGGCCAGGCGCGCGGGGGACATGGGGTCGTAGGGGGTCGGGCTGAAGGTCCAGGGCTCCCACTCGTCCGCCTCGGCGGCGCTGCGGCGCTGCAGCTCAAAGATCTCCACCTCGCGCGTCTCGGGCGCCTGGTCCAGGATGATGTCGGCCTCGACCCAGCGGTCCAGCAGCGCCGCGGCCTGGGCGTGCGGCGGGGCCTCGTCGCTGCCGCTGCCGCCGCCGCCGCCGCCTACCATGGGGGACGACGCGACGACGAGGCCGCCGAGGCTCTCGTAGAGGGCGGCGGCGCGGCGGGCCAGAGTTGGGTGGCCCGAGGCGGTGGCGGCCCAGCCCGAGACGAGCAGCAGCAGGCGCCAGGGGAGCAGGTGGGCGGCGACCGACATGGCGCCGGCGGCGAAGAAGCAGGCGACGAAGAGGGCCGACGACCGGGCCTCGTCGCTGAAGTTTGTGGCGGGCACGACGTTGTCGACGACAGCGTCGTGCACCACCACGAAGTCGTCCATGCAGTTCTGTAGGTCGCGCATGTTCTTGAAGAAGTCGCGGCTCAACTCCTTGACGGGCTTGACCGTCCGCGCGGGCGCCACGGGCGGGCCCCTGGGCGAGTAGGCCGCGTGGTGCGCGTGCGAGTAGTAGCTGCGCGTGTGCGCCGACTCGTCCGGGTTGGCGCCGCCGCTCCCGCCGCTGCCTCCGGGGCCGCTCCCCGCCGTCATGGCCGTTCCCGGGCCGACGGCGGTGCCCGGGGCCGAGGACCCCGAGGGCGGCTCCGGGTGGCGGGCCACGAAGCCCGGGATCAGCACGGCGACGAGCAGGATGGCGGGCGGTAGCACGGCCAGCAGGTGCGGGTCCAGACAGATGAGCGTGTACACGGCCAGGAACGAGAGGGTGTGCGTCGGTCGCCGCCACGACATCAGGCGCGAGGCGCGGCCCTGGAACTTGAAGACGACACCGATGCGGGCGTTGAAGCGGCGGAAGTTGTACGACATGGTCGTGATGTTGAATCCCGGCCGCGACTCCAGGTAGCCGTCGTCGGGCACGTCTGCGCCGGGCCCGCTACCGCCCGGCGCGTCAAACTCGGCCGGGATGACCTGCTGGAGCAGCCTGGGTTCGCGGCGGCATCTTGTTAGCTGGCTAGAGGTACCTAGCTGGTTCCACACGGGACGGCAGGGGCCGCGAGGGTTGCACACTTCTCCAGCAACTTGTCCTGCATGTTGGCCCCGCCCTTCAGCAGGCCGCGCAGGCTCCTCCGTTTCTTCTCGGAGCCGCTGCCGGGCCCGTCGCCGGCCTCGGAGGTCTGGTAGCTGCGGTCATCGCTCCCTGGGGCGCCCGCAGTGCTGGGCTCCTCGGTGTGGATGAGGAGTCCGGAGTTGAAGTCATCCATGTAGCCAGAGCCTGTGGGGCGAGGTTGGGGTGTTTGCCCGTGATGGATGTCTACCGCATCGATATTTATTGCATCCGATCCACTGAAGTTGTCTTGGTTGATTTCCTGGCAGGATGGTGGCCGTTTGGCTGCTTCCAACTCAAACAAAGCGAGCGATGACGCCTTGGGAGTTCGCCGCGGCTGTTGCGTGTGGTCGTCACATGTCTCTGACGTGCGCGCGCAGCAGGAGCGCTCGTGACCTCATTGGATCCAGAACCTAAATCCTAGACCTAAATCCTAGTGGACGCTGGTGGCTTTGGACGCGTCCCTGCCGTCCTTGTCAGCAACTTCAGCTCCAGCATCAAACAGAAAACACCAGCAACCACCCTAAATTGTCTTCTCGCCCGTCAAGGTTTCATGTTCGTGGCATCTTATTACCAGTCAGTCAAGGCTGCCGCGTCACTTTTCATCTCCCTAAAATCATCGCTTTTTCCTGCCGCCCCAGATTTCAGCCTCACCGGGACGGCCAGCACAGGCTAGCACACTGTGCACACCAACATCAAATCGACACGGCTAGGTGCGATGCGGTCACGGGATCCCGCATAGCACGACTGTTTCGCCACATCGAGGTGGTGGAGAAACCTACTATTTAGCACCTACACAGTCGGCACGTTGCCGTGCCATCAACCGCCCGATCAGTTTTTGGACGTTGCGTGGGGATACGGCGGGGTCGATGTGTGATTCATCGGCAGGCCATCAAATCCTAAACAGCAGTGAGCACGGGAGGCGTGGTGGAGCGGACGCATTATCTGCAGCTCTTGTTGATGTGAGAAACGCAACCCTTGACTAGTTGAGTGCGGCGCGGGAGTGGTTGTTCCCTGGCTTGCTGGGGTGAAGAATTCTGGTTCAACGAATAGAATGGGCTGCCCGAACGCTGCCATGGCTCAGCAATCAAAAACACCAGCTCATCCCCGATCTTTGGTGACACCATAAGAAGAGCGTGCGTCTGTGCGGGACGCCACGAGCAGACAGTTCCAAATGTCCGGTCGTGTTCCTGCTTGCTTCATTCAACGGCGGTTTCGCCAGAGGACAGCCCGACTGGAGCATTGAAATTAATCCGCCCCTTTTCTGACTGGCTTTGTGGTAGACCTCCAAGAAGCCCACCCCTCGGGCTGCTCCCAACGCGCCTGATGAAGAGACGAATTTCGGACAATGCCTTCGACTGGTCTCGTTTCCCCCATTGGTGCCCGACATCTGACCCTCCGTGCTCGGCCAGGCCCACGATCGTCACCCGCAAGGCGTGGGACCAGACGGAACCAAACTCAGGCCGGGAACCAGCAATGGTGTCGTTGGCGGGTGCCTGTGCTGGTGCCTGTCAGGTCCCAACTTAATAGCCGCTCAATAGCGATGGCTATAGCCCATCCGTGCCGGATTATATCAACAAACTGGGACTGGTCTGCTTGCGAACGTGTCGACGGTTTACCGGGCAGCCCAATCCGCCTCGTCTCCCATTCGTCGCGCTCCGTCCGGGTGCTGTCGAGCCCCATCCCATGCCGCTCGCCTGCCTCGACGTGTCGCTGCCCTCGAGTCCCTCGTCCCCACTCTCCGGCACCCCAACACCTCATGCATGCTGATGGGCGCCCACTAAGAGAGTCCGTGCCGCTCCGCCGCTCAGGAACATGCAACCCACCTGGCAAGAATTGGGGTCTGCTGCGGGTACATGCTACATGCTGTCCTCCCATTTGCCTCGTCACGGAGATGCGCAGAAGACGTGGAAAGGCTTGATTGTGCCCGCATTTTGACCGCCAGTGTCGTCGTGCAGGCCCTTGCCCCTCATGAGGGCCTTTGTGGACGTGACCCATTTAGGGTCACGGAGGCAGAGGAGAGAGCAGCTACCTCGTTAGAAGGCCTCGACCCCGCGCACTGCCGCTGCGTACATCGTAACCATCTACCTACGTTGTCTGCTGCCGATGCCAGTCGTCATGCGCGTGGCGCTGGCGGTAGGTGGCACACGCACACGCACACGCACCGTAGAGACTATCTCCGCTGCCACAGGCGCTAGGAACAAATGCGCCCCGTCCAGTTCCCGTCTCGGCCACCGCTACCTCTTGACTTGCATGTAGCGTGTACCCTGGCGATGCGGTCAAGGTTCGGGCCAAATAAACCCTGAGCGCAGCCACCGCTCAACAGAGAGATAGGAGAGATAGGAGAGAGAAAAAAAGGTGAAAAGGTTGAAGCGACAATCAGCAGAAAGACACGCCCTTCGAATCGCATCACAAGTCTCTTCGGCGGCAGGCATGGTGTCGAAGCCAAGTGTGGGTGTCCCCCGGCTGTAGAGACATTGCGGGAGCGGCTTCTCGAGGCTGAAGGGACCTTCAAAGTAGGGCATATCTTGTTGACATGGACAGCCATGCCTTTTGGGGGGGGGG